ATAAAGAGTTATTAAAACTTAAAATTATTAAAAGATAGTTATATTTAGAGGTCTTTAATATTAAATAAAGAAATAAAATAATTAGCTAAATAAGCTTAAGGGATTAAGCTCCTTAGAGAGGGGGTAATTATAAAAGTATTTAAGTTATATTAGTTATTACTAATAAGTTAATAAATCCTTAGATAAATAAAAGGGCCTTAGGCTATATAAAACTCTTCTTACTAAAGGCTTATAAAGGCTTTAATAAATTAAAGTTATATTAATATATAAAACCTACTCTTTTATTTCTAATATTATCCTAATTATGCCTATTAGGCCTATACCTTTATAAATATTTTTAATATTAAATAAAAAGATAAAATAATTAATTAAATAAGCATAAGGGATTAAGCTCTTTAAAGAGGGTATAATTATAAAAGTATTTAAGTTATATTAGTTATTACTAATAGGTTAGGGAATCCTTAGATTATTATATAGGCCTTAGGCTATATAAAACTCTTCTTATAGAAGGCTTATAAAAGCTTTAATAAATTAAAATTATATTTATATATTAAATTTACCTTTTTATCTCTAGTATTATCTTAATTATACCTATTAGGCCTATACTTTTATATATATTATATTAATTTTATAAGAAAATATATAAGATCTCTTTTTTTTTAAAAAAAACCTTAAAAAGATTATATAGGAATTTTACGCTTTTTATTATATAATTTAATATATTTTATTTCTTTTATACATTATAAAGCTTATAGACCTCTTTAATAAGGTTATTTTAATTATATAAAAAGGCTTATTAATAAGTATTAGCTATATTAGTTTAATTATTTAATTAAATGTCTTTATAAAAAGTAATTATTATAATTTTCTTTTTATACTTAATTAATTATAGTTATTAGTTATAATTAAGCCTCTTTTTATAAGAATAATAAAAGTAATTTATATTTCTTTAAGTAATTAAAAATTATAAAGATAATTAAAAGGTTAACAGTAAAGGGGAGAATTATTATAAAAAGAGGATATTAATCTCTTTAATTAATTTAAGATATAATCTCTTTATTATAAATAGAGCTATTATTAAAGGTATTATTAATTATATAAATAAACCTTATTAATTTAAGCCTATTAAGATCCTAGGCTTTAAGTATAAAGCTTTTATTATTAAACCTATTAAGATTTTAATAAAGATATTTTAATTTCTTTTTTAAGTAAAATAAAATCTAATAATAATAATTAAAAAGTTAAAAGTAAGTTATAAAGTTATTTAATAACGAGAGATTAGGCGAAATAATAATATTTTACTTCTTATATACTTAAAAAATAAATCTTTAGGGCTTATATATATAATTAATAATAGTTATTTATATTAATAATATTACTTATTTTAATTATATAAAAGGCTATATTAATAAGTATTAATAATACTAGTTTAATTATTAGGTTAAAGGACTTTATAAAAAGGTATTATAATTTCTTAAGATTTATTTAATTATTATTATTAAGTAAAAAGATATACTTAATAATAATAAATAAGATAAATAAAATATTATAAGGCTAAGAGATATTAATTAAAAGATATTAAGAATTAATAAAGGTAAAAACTTATATAAGTATAATTAATATAATTAAGGTTATTAATTTATATATATTTATATATATTTATATCATTAATAAGACATATATTAAAAAAGAAAATTATAATAAAAATACTATAAGTAAAAAAAAATATATATATATCTATAATAAAAAGAAAAATTTAGCCCTAAGAGGAGGGGTATTATTATAGGCGAGCTTATTAAGATAGTTATTTCTTTTAGGAAAAACTACAGCTAGGTAAGCCCTAAGCTAAGACTAGATTTATGACGAGAGGATATTTCCTAAGGGATAAACCGGTCATATGGGTTTATATTGGCACTAAATTATATTATATTATCTTAAAGGGTAATATAATATTATATCTAGTAATATACTTAAGGGTATTAAGTATAATTAAGTTATATTAATAGCTAAGGTAGCTATTATATAAGAAAGTATAATATATATATTTTATATATTATCTACCCTTTGAGTCGAATATAGTTAAGTCGAGTTAAGTTATTAGCGTTTAACTTATATAATTAAGAGAAGTTAAACTAATTTTATTTAACTTATATATCTTCTTTCCCTATGATTAGCTAATATAATAGGGTTAGTTTCCTGCCCGGCGTTACCGCCCTCGACTATGTCATGGCTATGATAAGATTATAAATATTATAAAAATATTATAATAAGGCTATAGCTAGTTATGTTTTTTCTTAGTCTTAGATATTTAATTAATTAATTTAACCTTCTTATATAAACCCGGTTTTAACTTTAATACTACTAGGCTTAATTAAATAATCTCCTTATAGGTTTAAAAAGAGAAGGCTAGTTTTTTATAAAGTATAATATAATCCCTAAGAGTTTTATTAATATATACTTACTCTTAGTTTCTTTTTATTAATTATTATATTTTAATATTATAAAATTATAATAGAAAAAATAAAAATAAAAAATAAAAAATTAATACCTAAGAATAAAAGTTTAAGTTTTTTTTTCTAAAAAAAGGATATATTTTAAAGTTTTTAAGAAGGTAATAAATTACAGAGAGCTATTTTTACTCTTATTAAAAGGATATATAATAAGGGCTCTTTTCTTATATTTTAATTAATATAAATTATAATACCTTTATACTAACTAATAATTCTTTTAAGAGTTAGATAGAGACATTACATAGTGTCCTGTAACCTGATTGGTCGCGTATAGGCCGCCCTGTGAGCCGCTCGGTTATAAGCCTGCTTTTTATATTACTTCCTTTTCTAGAAAATAAGGCTCTTTATTATCCTCTTTCATATGCTCAAGATAGTGCAAAATAACTGTTTGTAACAGGTATGAGCCCGGAAATTATCGGGTTATAAGTGAAAGAAGAATTATATTGGACGCGTAATCTTGCTGAGGTAGTGCACTAGTTTCATTGCAAGAGCTACCGCAATATGTTACAAAGGTGCTGGGGAAATCTTGGGAGTTGCCAAAATAGGTATCATTCAGCGCTCGTGCTTTGGTGCGCGGGTTTCCAATCCATCAGACCAAGGTTCAGCCAATGGCATGCTTATATGTGAGCCACGACTAAGCTGATCGCCATATGAGAGAGTATGAGATGGAACTGCCCCCCTGTAGGGCTGAAAGTTATTTCCTCCCCACCAGCTTGCGTCAGGCATTGGCTGCATGGGCCACTGATGGTACAAATACGACATGCCACCATCTCAGACAAGGCGTAGATTGCAGCTCATCCACCAACCCTTTCACCATGGCCGGAGCCCCGCGCAGCCGAGGCTGCAACAACTGCCGGAAGATAAAAAAACGAGTGAGAGACATTGGGCACATTGCTTTGCTCATGGGTGCTAACAGGTACGCAAGTGTGATCAAGCTAAACCCAGCTGTGGCAGATGCACTCGCCTCCTACTTACTTGCGCGGGAAGCGGGACTCAGCGTTGGACCTTTATACAGCAGAGTTTCGGTCGCAACGTGCAGCATTTGACGGCAAGTCCAAGACCAAGTCCCAGTAACGAAACCACGAGAACCGCTTCACACCTCGTTTCTCTTCTCGAGATTCAAGATGTCAGATACAACTTGCGGCACTTTGGTGGCCCGTATTGCATTGAGCTTCTCCACCTTCTGGGCACCAACACGGCGCTGGACGCATCTATATCTGCCTTTATTGCTTCATACCGTGCGACTCAGTGCAATCAGTCTCGAGTGGAAGCTCTCACGCGATATGGGACTGCAATGAAACTCTTGAGGACATCCCTGAATGACGCCGATCAGTCCATACTCCAAAAGATCTTTACCGTGATTAATGTCTCTCTTTGTCAGGTGAGTAAAAGAGATTCGTCTGGGTGTGACATGGCTAACTAATGATCTGGCTCGTAGCAATGGATCAATCTGACACAACAAGAGACCTCAACACACCGCGAAATACTGGCATATCTTCTCGAGGCTTCAGTGGTTCGTCAGAGGCTCAAAGATATTAGGCCAGAGTTTATAAATGGACTCTGCCAAATCACTGTAAGTAATTCTCGGGATCAAGCCTCGACAAGGGATAGCCTGACCTTTGAAACCTCAGACATGGGAGAGTATGGTTAATCCTAGGGTCAAACTGGGCCCCTGGTTTTGGGAAGCTCTCCGTGCATGTAACCACCTCCACCCGCACGTACGCCAACAAGATGACGTGCCCAGTAGCGAGATAGTAGTTCATGCTACTGCATCTCTATGTCTCCGTGAGCCAGAACAAAACTTAGCTCATCTCAGAGAGATCTATAAGCTCATTCAGCACGACAAACTCAAGGTGCACCGCATCATTGAACGGTGGAGTGCCGAGACCGATATGGACACGATGCTCCGCGTTTCCAGCCAGTTCGGCTACCGGTTTGGCTATGGGCTACTGCTATCTCTTGGGCCAAGGATAAACCGCTGTCTCCGCAGATTCGACAAAGACCCGGCCTTGGTTGTAGAATCGTACGAGTTCTGTGACCAGGCAATAGTCTTGGGAAGACAATGCCTTAGAATACGACCTTTTGGGGCTGGGTTTGTCCCCACCTATCTGAAGAGTGTCTGGGCGTCAACTCCTGATAAGTACCGCTATCCTGAGCTGCAAAGGTTAATGGAGGAGTATGAGAAGGATTTCCGAGGAGTGGGATATGTCCAGCAGGCTGAGTGGATAAGAACTCAGTTTGATATATTAGAAGGAGCGCCTATAGAATAATAGTAAGTCTTTAAAGTTTAATTTAAGAAATACTTAATTAGATAAAATTCTTTATTAAAAGTACTATTAACTTAACTTAATTATTTTATTTAATAATTATTAAGCTAAATTTAATATATTAGGGATCTTTATAACTAGAGTATAAAATCATTTATTTAAGATATATTACTAGTTTATTTAAAATATAGTTCAATTACTAAGACTTAGTATACAAATTAGCCTATGTATCTATACTAATATAACCCTTTTCTTCCCTTGTTCTAAACTGCACTGCTCTGCAAAGGTGATAGAGAGTATTAACTACAGGCATACCCACGCCATGCTCCCGAGCGGCCCTGCACGCTTCACCGAGAATAACTTCGTGCTCGATGTAATTCCCTTTCTGGACATCTTGCTGCATGCTTGGCATAACAAAGGACCTGACCGAGTCGCCATCGATGGCCGATTCTATGTCATCTTCAGTCAGCATGGCATTAGCCACTGCGAGAGCAGCGACCTGGATCTCGCGCATGGCAGGCATGATGAGCCCTTGAACGATGCTGGGCCCGTCGAGCATGGCAGTCAATCTCAACCGTCCGGTATCGAGGCTGGTCAGGGCGCAAATTGGGTTGAAGACTGCGTTGGTAAGAAGCTTTCGCCACCGAACTGCCTGGGCGTCGGGGTGAAAAGACGTCCTGACATTCCCAGATGCCTCATAGAGACGCACAAACTCCCGAGCCTTCTGGTGCTGCTTCTCCGAGTCCATGGATGGATTGATAAAGGCACTGATGGTCGAGACGTCTGGCTCATTGTGAATAATGTGGCCAGGACTTGTCTCTTGGACGCCGCAGAAGCTGACTCCAGAAAGACAGACGTTATCGGGGAACGCTTCAAGAAACGGCTTCTCAATCCCCAGGCCATTCTGAACTAGAACGACTGTGGTGACGCCGGGCGTGACGGCATGTCGGATCATGGTCTCAAGCCTCTGCCCGACATCTGGGATATTCTTTGTACAACAGATGACCCAGTCAAACACAGGACCTGCCTCGACCTTTGGCACTTCTCGGAGGATGCCGCCCAGAGGGCGCCAAGCATCGTGTTGTCCATGATCGCACGAGGTGACTGTGAAGCCTTTTTCTCGCACAATATCGTAGTTTGAGCGTAGGACGAAGGTGACGGCGACGTGTCCACCAGACTCGAGATTAAATCCGGTCAATGTTCCCACGCCTCCGCCGCCAATGAGCAATGCCCGAGAGCGTTGTGGCATTTTCGAGCCAGGAAGTCAGCTGCTCAAGTTCCGGGGGAAGTCTTGCTCGACTTGAATTCTGTGTCGGCCAACAAGGCGAGGGTTGTGCAAGACAGTGAAGGGTGAGACGTAGAGACTTATCCGGATCTCGGACTAGGATGAGATAGCTGAAGCGATATTTTAATGAGCCAACGCACAAGATATTAATTTTTCCGGCTATTATCTCGAGTAATGGCATGGCCGAGAGATGGCGTCGGAATCTCCGACTCCCCACTCTCTTCCATGTCAACCCATCTCCGACCCGTCCCCATTACCGGAATTTCCATTCTTGTCATTGATATCTTTCCACCAGAAGGCTGTGAATCATCGTACTAGCTAATATCAACCATCACTGGCAATGGCTCAGCTCACCACCATCTCCATTGGCGAGCTTAGCCGCCATTTCCAAGACGACAATGGATGGATGGCCTTGAACGGTGTTATCTGGGATTTTTCCAACTTTGCGGATAAGCACCCTAGCGGCCGCGACATTATCCAACAACATCTCGGCAAGGATGGAAGCCAGGCGTACAATGAAATCCATAGTTCTGGCATGGTTCTGCGATATCTGGGAGAAGAGCGAAAAGTTGGCGTCATGATGGAGCAGGTTGAACACGACGTTTCCAAGAAATCAACCGATAAAACGGCAAACATGCCCGGATTGTCTTCCCTCACGCACCTCTCACAGTTTGAGCAAGTCGCCAAACACACTCTCAGCGAGAAAGCGTGGGTATATATCTTCTCAGCCACCGAGGACGGCATTTCCCATGCGGCCAATACAGCATACCACCAACGTGTCATATTTCGTCCCAAAGTGCTGAGAGGAGTCGGACAAGTTGATATCAGCACCTCCTTCTTGGGCCAGCAACTGTCCTGTCCGATACTCGTCGCCCCAACTTCATCCATCAAGCTCACTCATCCCGATAGCGAAGGAGCCATGGCAAGGGCCTCACAGGTCAGCGGGGTCCCTCCAATCATCCCCTCTATGGGATCCTATTCGGTAGCCGAGGTTATCGAATCTCTTGAGCCTTCATACCCTTTCTTCATGCAGCTCTATATCCACCGCAATCGCGCAGAGACGAGACGCCTGCTAGACGATGCTTGTCGGCTCGGGGCAAAAGCTATCATCGTCACGGTGGATCTTCCAGTGCTAAGCAAGAGAGAAACATCTACGAGCGCATCCTTGGGTGGCGAGAGAGCTCGGGACAAATCAACCGTGGCCCCTCAGCAGGCACCGACACCGGCCAACACCATCATCGATGCGGATCTCAACTGGCAAGACATCAAATGGATCAGAGACACGACCAACCTCCCCGTCCTGATCAAAGGGGTTCAATCAGCCGAGGACGCCAAGCAAGGGTTGGCCATCGGCTGCGCTGGCATCTACTTATCCAACCATGGAGGCAGAGCTTTGGACGCTGCCCCGCCAGCCACTCTTGTGCTTCTGGAGATCCAAAAGACGTGTCCGGAAATCTTGAAGCAGATGGAGGTTGTCGTCGACGGTGGGTTCCGCCGAGGTTCCGAAGTGTTGAAGGCTATATGCCTCGGAGCTACTGTGGTGTGCCTCGGGCGTCCTTTCTTGTATGCACTTGCATATGGCGAGGAAGGGGCGATTCGTGCCTTTGACAGCAAGTCTTAACCCATCCCTTGAGTTTCTGATAGTTCTTGCTAACGTTTTCGCTTACAGTCCTGAAGGAAGAGTTGAAGACGGCAATGCAGTTGCTTGGTGTCGTGAACCTGAAGCAGGCCGATTTGGGCTACTTGAACACCAGCAGGCTGGAAAGGCTGCTGCCGTTGCCTGTGACAGACGGAGCGGGGCTTAGCAGGCTATGATGTTGTTCCCTTTACTGTGTCGGCGGTGATAATACGGCTGATAGAAATACTAAGTGTTAAATAGTATTGGTTTGATATCGTTGTGTTGACGAATGCTATTTGCTGCTATAGCTGATATTCTCCCTGGAGAAAGAAGGTAATGGATATTCTGGAAAGAAATCTTGAGATTTTAGGCACGGCCCTTTTTATCAGGATGGAGGAGTTCCATATAAATGAGAAGGGATGTGCCCAGCCTCACATCCAAGTTGGAGATACAATGAGGAAGAGCAAGAAGTCAAAGGCAATCAACATATGCATCGAACGCTGCAATTGGTTCTACAGACATCAAAGTCTATATTTGACCCCAGAACTTCATGTTGGCATACAGCCCGTATACAACCCAAAAGATGATCCACTCTCATTAGCGACTTGGAAGATCTCAACAACAGATATATGAACGTGCCCTGTCTACTCCATCGTCGAGAGTCCAATATGCTCCCCAATATGCTTCGCATTGATACTCCAAAGACCGGGCGACCCCTTGGGATACTGGCTGCGGAAGCCCAAGAACTTTTGAAGACGCAGGGGCATCTTCCTGACCATCTCGAGATCCAGCGTCAGGGCATATGCTTCTTCCTGAGTGAAGCAATTGGTCACGGCAACAACAGAGACGACTCGGCGAAAAAAGTCGCTTGTAGAGTTTCGGCCTCCGCCGTGGACGATGCGCCCTCCGATCATCATCATGTCACCAGCCTTCAGGGGACACGTCTGGGTGAGATCTTCACTGCCCAAGTTGTGATCATCCGCCGAGTAGGGCCAGAGGTGGCTTCCGGGGATAGCACGCGTGGCCCCGTTCTCCTCGGTGGTGTCGGTGGTGGCCATGAGGAAGTTGAGCATGGTCTCTGGAGCAGTGGGGGGCATGTCAAAGTTTGGCCACCAGTTGCCAAAGTCACGATGCAGTGGCTGCTTTGGGTTCCCAGGACCAATCTCCATCATCTGCGCGGCGCTGAGCCAGTAGCCGCCGGTCTTCTTGGTGAGGATCTCTTCGCAGATGTCGTGCATGAGGTTGTCATTGATGATTTCCTCCCTCCACGTCTTGCTCAGGGTGATGAGGTTGGTCAGGCGTCGAGTTGCAACGCCAAAGAATTCCCTTGCTTCGTCCGGGACGCCGTTGAGCAACCCGGCGGGAGTCAGCTTTTTCAGCGGCTCGTCGAGGTCAGTATTCAGCCGATCGACCTGGTCGCTGCTCAGGAACTGCTCGACGATGATGGCGCCATCCTGAGCGAAGATGGAGGCAATTTCGGCCACGGGCGTGTCTCTTGGAACACGCCTCACAGGGCCTGTGGGCTTCAGGCTCTGGGCGGGAGCAGTGCTGGAGGTGACAGTCATGGTCTGCATGATGAGGGATGGGACTAGTTCAATCGAGTGATTGCATAAGATGATTTACTTTAGCAGTGATGGTTTGCACAGGAAAACAACCTATTCATATGTATCTGTGCTAGTCACACTTGGTTAGACGGGATTCGGTGCTGGGCATAAGCATTGAAGCTTGCGCCGGAACCTCCGAAGCAGCAACTCTCGGACCCACCGAGATAGTCTCGGTCCCGTCTCCGAGCCTCGGAGGCTCCGATTACGACTCTCACTGAAAGTTGGATAAGCCTGATGGAGGATGTGATGGCTGATAGCGGATCTACTAAGCACCTTTCGGCTTGCTTAGATGCGTGGCTGTGATGCTGCAAGGCTTCCACACCTATCTGGATCAGTTAGTCTATTCGGAATCTCTAGGCGAACAGGGTAACTGGACGCATAGCGTTGCGATTCGTTGGGACAGCACGCAGCTAGGTATGGCTCTTCTACTGCAAGCAGCAGAAGGTTAGGAAAAGTCCCGCTGTGTTGGCATTGGGATATGATGCTATGATGTGTTGAAAAGGTGATCATTGTAATAGTTCAAGGCTCCCATCTTCGAGAACCTTGTCACTGGGGATAGATTCTTTCCTTTATGGTGAGGGAGGATGCAGGCGACCACCCCAAATATAACCTTCAGGCATGCAATTCGCGTACACCCAGGAGATTTCATGGAAGAAACCTTGGCGACGGCATCATGAAGTTCACAAAGCTATCCCTCAATTTTACGAGAAGCTCCAACCGGGCGAAGGCAGCGCTCATCTCTATGAAGGCCAGCGGGAGAACTCAAGTTGATAAACCAGTGCCAAGTAAGTAAGATATTCATCGAGGAACTCGGTACTTCTGAATAAACTCGCAGTCATATTGGTAGATTGGATCTTGTTCCCTTCCAGAATTTCATAAACGCAATACTCTTGTTTTAGGCCTTGGATGGAATTACCGGCAAGGGAGGTATACTGACGAGATTGCAATTCGTCAGCGTTAGTACAAGTTGAGTTCCCATTCGAGCTGGCAACTGTTTTCAGAGTTGATAATTGCTTTCAGCGCTAGCTTTCGCTATACAAAAAAAGGAGAAAGGGATCCTCTATTGGGTACTTTATTTAGGGTTGGGACAGGCCAGATGTAGGCCAGCCTCGGAGAACAATTAGCAAGTCAAGTGGGTGACGAGGCACCTTGACAACCAAAGTTTAGCCAGGGCTACATCTATAACCAACATATCTATCAAAGACCTCTATACTCAATAGAAAACCTGTCTAGGCTAGGTTAACTATGCCATGCTCGTCCTCAACCTCGAACTCCAAGATATCAACTTCCAAGGGGCCCGGCTTGTTGGAGCCAGCATCTGGGCGGCTTGCGTACACACCCACCCACAGGTTCTCATGCCTGCTATCTCCCGTCAAGGCCCAGTAGATCACACGAACAGGAATCTTTGTCTCCTCCCCGTCAGGTCTCTTTGACCAGCATTATGACGAGACGGAAGTCATATTTGACGGCCTCCAGAGTGAAGCCCTGCTCGACCTCACCTTCATCGAGGAGCAAGGCGCTAAAGTCGAGCGACCCATTATTAGCCACGAATGCCCCAAGTGGCGTGCCGTTGATGTTTTCAATTCCCGCTTTGACATAGTGAGGGGCTGTGTCCTCGGTGCCCGGGTTAGCAGCATCCGGAGAGGGCAGCTCAGGAGACGGCCAGGTAAAGAGGAAGCCGGCCTGATCCCAGTTTTCGGCATAGCCGTTTGGGCATTTGAAAGTAAGTCGTGCGCGGCGAAAGGATGAGGTAGGCATGGAGACACGCAGCACTGGTGAAGAGAATCGAATTGCGGATTCTGAGGGATCGCTGCTTTCTCGTGATATGTCGGTTTTTGCTTTTGCTGAGAGCTTCAGCGGCTTGGAGGCTGAGGCACCGTTGATACTGACGAGAAGGTTCTGACGATCCATGATGGGGTCGATAAGAGAAAAATTTGAGGTGAGATGTTGTTTCTAATCTAAATCTCTAGCAAAATATTTATACAAGTATTTTCCAAATGATATGACCTTCGGGAACCGTCACGGCCATGCTCCGAGAAAAGTGCCAGCCATTGCGTAGGTAGAACCAGCATGGCGCTTGTTCGGAACTTCCGTTGTCCAAATCATAATCCACCTGCCCGTTCAGTTAGAAGAGAGATAGGTCCTTCTTCGTACGAATCGAGATAGACCAGATGCATGCCATGATCGTTCTCCAGGGCGTCACATCAGGGCACTTGAGGTTGCATTGCATTCGATCTGACCAAGAATGCAAATCTCATCTAAATAATCGAGCTTCCATATCTTCATCATGTATGGTCTCTTCAAACATATAGGACCTGACTCAAAATGGCATTTATAATCATTCAAATCTATTCTCGACCATTCGTACACCACGCAGCTCTTATGAGAACCTGCAATACCAACCTGGGCGGCAATAGAGGCAGACAGGGAAGAAGAATCCATATTAATCACCTTCAAGACCAACCAACCACCGCATCTTTAACTAAGCCAAGGCCGAGAGAGGGTTGGATCCATCTTATTACCGGACATCCCCTCTTACACCCCGTAGGGTTAGGGTTACCTTGGCTAGTTCATCATGTCCTCCCCCGCAATCTGAGATACGAGTCAGCCAAGATAAGGCAGTTATCAATTGTGCAACAAGGGCCAGCGGGGGGGTGTTGATGGCAGATCCTCGAATCCCAGTAAAAGAGATAGATACCATGGGCTGGAGTCGGAGTTTCCGAGAGCCTGAATCTCAAACTAAACCACCACTAGCTAGCTACGCGACAAGGCCACCGAGTGAAACTATGTGATAAAAGCTCTTGCCCCATCCTGACAGGATCGACTTCAGGATTTCTCTCATCGACTTGCCCACGATCCAAGCTCAACTGCAAGCCATGTCACCTCCGTCTCCTACGCCCTCTAGGCCGTTGCCGCCAACCTCCCCACCGGGATCCCTCGAGGATACCAAACTGGGGGACGGCGCCGCTCTTGATCGAGCAGCCCTCATCGCCGAAGCCTCCATCTCGCCTGAGGGTTCAACCCAGAAGCGACGCTACTATGGCCTCGCCATCATCTGCCTGCTCAACCTCGTCTTGACTTGGGCGTGGCTCTCGTACGCCATGGTCAACACGTACGCCCAGGAATGGTTCGAGGTCGGGCCTCAGTCCATCAATTGGTTCTCCACTGTCTACGGTCTCGCCTTCATCCCGTTTCCTCTATCCGGATGGTTCATTCATAGATTTGGACTTCGAACTAGCATCATCACCGGTTCCATCGTCACGGTGGTCGGCAATTGGGTACGATACGCGGGCACGGCCAAGGTATCCTTCGCCGGCGCCATGGTTGGCCAGACGCTCGTAGGAGTAGCGCAGATATTCATCCTTCCAATCTCTTCGGCCTACTCGGAACTGTGGTTTCATCGTCACCATCGCACAACCCCTACGACGGTGGGTTCCATCAGTCCGACCTTGGGATCCATGATTGGCTCGTTGGCCACGCCGTATCTCGCAAAGAAGGCTTCGGAGCTGCCTCAGTCGATCCTCATTGTGGCCGTCATCTCAACAGTCGTCGCCATTGGAGCCCTCTTTGTCCCAGGAAAACCCTCATCAGTGCAGACCACCCAACCCGACGTGTCGGAGAGTCCATCACGAACGCATTTATCCAAGAACCACCTCCTCATGATGATCAAGAGTCCCGAATTCTACATGGTTGCCGTGCCTTTCATTGTCGGACTTGCCATCTTCAACTGCTGGGCGAGTCTGTTGCTGCTGTACCTAGTGCCCTATGGGTTCCCCATCGAAGACACGGGACTCCTCACGGGGCTGTAGACCGGCATTGGAATGATCGTCTCTCTTGTTGTGGCGCCTGTTGTTGACAAGTGGCGCGCACATATACCCACCCTCAAGGTGCTCACCGTCATTCAAGTTACACTATACGTTGCTTTTGTCTTTGTCCCACCATCGCGCAGCAGAGGCTTTGCCTTTGCTGTTGCCATCCTCATGGGCGTTGCTGGAACTACCGCTCTTTCTCTGAGTCTTGAGACACTGGCCGAGATTCTCTACCCTGTTCCTCCCGAGTTCACTTCAACCGCTTGTTGGTGTATAGGAAACGTGCTGGGAGCGGTATGGTTATTCGCCTTTGCAGCGGGCATGAATGAGAATGGAGATCCTCCTGGAGAAATGTCGAGGACTCTATATGCGCAAGCTGCTCCATCCTCTATTCATCCACTCTACTTAGGAAAAAAGAACCATCTAACTCGATACCATGTCCCGATGAGTAGACGGTTCAGGTATTGAGGTGCACCAGGACATGACGATACAGCCCGCTTGGATTTCATTTCCGATGCCTCCATCGTATCGACTAGGCCATTAAATATCCATCAACGCTCGAAGTCTATTCCTCTTGGCCTTGCGCGCTGAGCGAATGTTGGGTGCAACCAACTCAGACCCGTGAGGCACACCCGAATACACGTGCAGCTCAAGAGGTTGGTTGGTGGTGTCTGTTGTTCTGGTTCAAAGTACAGGCTTTGGAAGATGCTCTGGTCAGTCGAGCTATGTCGAAGGGCTGCACAAAGAGAATTAGAGCAGGAGGTTGGAGACAGCTGGACAGACGCCTAAGATCTACATACCAGGTATCCCAAGGGGCGTGAATCGGCCTCGAAATGAGCTTTGTAGGTTGTTGAGAGACGTAGGAAGCGAAAGCTTGGCCAATTTGGTGGGTTTGGCTTCAGGCAAGTCGCACTTGTTCGACCTCTTTTGGCCCATGCGGTCTTTGGTGGATAGAGACAGCTCCAATGCTGAAGGCGAAAAAGGCGAATTAGCCATTCCAGCTGAGTTATGTTGGTTGTTCGACTTGCGGCTTGAGGCAAAAGGCAACTTTTAGATAGGTACTTGGCATTCAATCTTGGGAACAGGGATGACGAGGTGCTGACAGGGACAATTACAAGGGTCATGCTCCATTCCCCAGGCACTAGACCTCTTGAAGGGCGATGTTCCTGGGGATTATGAGACCCTGGATTCAAGACTGGCTGTAGCAGACGGATTCTCCGAGATCAGGTCAGGCCGGTCGGACGGAACTTCCGGCTTGTTGCCAAGGGCCAAGCGACATTGACGACAAGCGACGATTCGATGCCTTGGATAAGGACGATAACAATTTCGTCTCTTTGCAAGAGTCTAAGTATCAACTAGAACTACTTGAGCTGGGCCAAGACTGAATCTACTCTCTGTTTGCTGCTAGAAGGTGGTAAAGTAAATGGTAAAGCTTGTCCCAATTTTGGAGTGGAGAGGGATGGGCACTGGATTCCATCACAATACACACATGATTTCCGTGTCTACAGAGTTAAGGGAGGAATATTTATCGTGTTTATACTAGATCAAAACTTTTCTGTTGTTTGAGAAGAATGTGCACAGGATTGTCTGGGTGCTTGCCCAATGGCATCGTTTAAGACGATATGTAGTCGTTCACTAGGTTCTATCGGCATGCGAGCTATGTAATCATCGCCACTCTCGGGTTGATCACGGCGATGTGTCACCTTAGAAAGCCTCCGCTATGAACGGAAATTCCGAAAAGCGCCTATAGCGGGGCCATTGAGGCCGAGGGTGTCGCGAGGGAGATGTGGACGAACTTGAACGAACCCGCTATATCACCTCTGTCTGATCCTTCGTCACATCACATAGGTAGATAACACACAAGCTTGTGCCTGCCACTATCGAGAATCACAGCTCTCTTCTCCCGGGGTGCAATCTTTCAGACGTAAGACGCTGGCCTGAGTGTGTTTGTTTGCGTAATAATGATAGCTGATAGCCCTAGTGTGCAATAAACATGTCGCCATCGGCCGATCCAGTCACCGAGTGCACTCTCGTTCAAAACAAGATGCAAAAGACCGTGCATAAAGCAGCGCCAGATGACAAAACTCCGCTGCAGGCTCTCTCTCACGGACCCAATGGCCTGTCCCTTCCAGGTGTACCTCGCTTTGTGAGCTTCTCCGAGCACCGAACCTGGATACGAGAGCATCTGGCGGCTGTCTTCCGCCATTGGAGCCGTGAGGATTACGTCGAAGGCATCTCAGGCCACATCTCGGTCCGCGATCCAGAGTTTCCCGACGCCTACTGGTTCAACCCTTACGGAGTTCACTTTGGCGTTATCAAGGCGAGTGACCTGGTGCTGGTCAACGTAGATGGCAAAGTCATCGGAGGGAACGAGCAGTGGCCAGTCGTCAACGCGGCCGGGTTCTTGATACACACTGCCGTTCACAAGGCCAGACCTGATGCAGCTGCCGTGTGCCATTGTCACAGCATTCACGGCAACGCGTGGTCAGTGTTCGGCCGCCGCCTCGAAATGCTGACACAGGATACCTGCAAGTTTTACGGCCAAGCTCAGGCTGTGTACGACAACCACGGTGGAGTTGTTCTCGGCCCAGAGGAGGGGGAAAGGATCGCCGAGTCGTTGGGCCCGAATGGAAAGGGCCTCACTCTGCGAAATCACGGGTTACTTACAGTCGGCCAGACGGTTGACGAGGCTGCTTTTCTTCTGACGTCCATGGAGAGGAGTTGCAAGGTTCAGCTGCTTGCCGAGGCAGCTGCCGCCAATGGACTACCCAAGCAGGTCATTTCGGACGAGGAGGCCAAGTTCAACTACGAGGCGGAGAGCGATGCTGACTTGTGCTATGCCGAGTTTCAGGCATACTATAATTTGGAGGACTGCCCACCCACCCCCCTTGCTTCTCTAGGCCCAGAGACTGACGCATAGGTAGCTACCCGGGCATTGCTTGTGACATTCCGGCTCACATCTATCAATTTACCTGGGCTCCAAACCCAACCTGGGGCGAGTTGTGAGTTGTCCTTGGCCCTCGCTGTCACCCCACAAGAGCTGACACCCTCTTCCTAGCTATGCGTCCGGTCCAGAGATTCTACGCTACTTTCAAGACACGGCCAAGAAGTTCGACTTGGAAAAGTATGCCAATCTCAAGCATTGTGTGACAAGGGCGGAATGGAACGAAGACGACGGCACTTGGAAGTTGGAGATCCTCAACGAGGAGACCAAACAGACCATGACAGATTACTGCCACTTCCTCATCAATGGATCGGGCTTCTTGAAGTAAGACTCCGTCTCTGGTCGTTTTAGCAGTCATACTAAGGTTTTTCTCGGCCACTGGACCTTTCCAAACATCCCAGGTCTGCACTCATTCAAGGGACCTCTGATGCATACGGCCAACTGGGACAATGATGTGCCGTTGGATACCAAGAAAATCGGTCTCATTGGCAACGGATCCTCTGGAATCCAGCTCCTGACAGCTATCCAACCTCGTAAGGGCGCCATTTATCTCATAATGAACCCTATTTCAGTACTGATTAGCTATCTCAAGTCGCGAAACACCTCACCACATTCATCCGCTCGCCGACGTGGATCACCACTGTCTATCTACAAGACTACGCTGGCCCTGGCGGTTCGAACTTTGAATGTCGGTTGCTTCCCCTTTGGAAGGGAGTATCTTTACTGACCATATACAGACACACCCGAGCAGATCGAGGAGTACAAGAAGAACCCGGATGAGTACCTGAGTTATAGAAAGGCAATGGAGTCTAACATGAGCGGGAGCTTCGATATTGTAAGCGTATATCAACGTCCCCTGACATTTACCATAACTAACTGCAATATGAAGTCGCTCAAGAATAGCGATTTTCAACAGATGGCGCGCCAATATCTCACGGAGCAGATGAAAAAGCGTTTTGGAGAGGGCCATCCGCTTTCACAGAACCTGATTCCTGATTTTTCAGTTGGGTGCAGGTACAGTCCCAATGACTCTAGAATCTGACCTTGGCTCACTCGTTTCTCAGGCGTCTCACCCCAGGAACTGGATATCTAGAGGCTCTGACACAATCTAATGTCACGGTCGAACGTACTCCAATAGTACGGGTCGTTCCCGAAGGTATCGAGCTCGAAAACGGCGAGTTAGTAGAGCTTGATGTACTCGCATGCGCGACCGGCTTCGACGTATCCTGGGCCCCTCGCTTTCCCATCATCGGCCGAAAGGGTATCAACCTGCAGGAAGAGTGGTCCAAGACAAGGGCTTCAGCGTACATGGCGCTGGCCGTGCCCAACTTTCCCAACTACACTCGTGCGTACCTCTCTGCAGTGTCTCTCTTAGAATATGTTACTCATTGCATCATATTCTTCCTCGGCCCTGGCGGGCCTCTATCCCACGGATCAGCTCTTCCAAGCATCGAGCACCAGACAAAGTACATCGCACGACTGCTCTACAAGATGCAGATTGAGGGTTACAAGGCAGCAGCGCCTTCCCAAGCAGCTACACAAGAGTTCATCAGCCACATGCACAAGTTCAACGAGCGCACTGTCTGGAGCGGGGACTGCAACTCGTGGTTCAAAGGCGGTACGTCTTCCATCGCAGAAACAAGTTTGCATATGTTGACTTTTACGTTAGGGGTCAAGGAAAACAAGCCCCTTTGCCATGCGGGGAGCCGTACTCACTGGTTCCACATGCTAACAGAGCCCCGGTGGGAAGATTGGGAATGGGAGCGCCTGTCGGAGAATAGGTTCTCATACCTTGGCAACGGATGGACGACTTGGGAGAAGACAGGACAAGATCTTAGCTATTACCTAGATGACCCAGATTCAGGATATGAAAGCAGTAGGTATTAAGGTAAAGGATAGATTAGAAATATCATAAGATAGGGTAAGTATTTATATATATAAAAATTTAAATCGTATATAGCTTCTATATCTAGCTAATAATTATTTATATAAATAGCATTGCTTATGTTTTTTATTTCAACCTATCCCAGAACTTGGCTACCGCGACTCCTACCTCTCTTGCTCGGTCCCTCACAACGCCATGTCCGACCTGGGGGACCACAATCACATTAGAAAGGCCATGATCGCTCAATTGCTGCTCAGAGCACAAGCCATCCAGCTCGCCCAGGACCGCCAGTGCCGGGATCCCAGTGCCTACGGCCTTGGTAAACTCAGCATGCTTGTCCATAACCCCACCGTCTCTCACGATGGCAACAACAGAAGCGGTATGCCCAAGATGCTTGCGCATCTGCCACTCCTTGACGGCTTCGGCAACAACCTCTCCCTTCTCAACACGCTTCTCCCAGTCCGCCGGCACAGTCAACTCGCCGCCTTCAAGCCATTCGACCACCCACTTCCTTGCTGCGGCTTCGTCGCCCCCGCGTAAGTAGCCCTGCTCCTCAGCTGAGAAATCGGCAAAGCGAAGCAGACCAGCTGGAGCAACAAGAGTGAAACTCTGCACTCGCGATGGTCGCGATGCAACGTATCCAGCAGTAAGTGCGCCGCCAAAGGAATACCCCACAAGATGGGCTGAAGGCCACTCCAACTGGTCAAGTAGATCATCAATCAATTGGTGAAACAGTCCTGCTTCGTGTGGGATAATAGGTGTATCGCTCAGACCGTGACCCCAAAGATCGACAAGCACGAGGTGTGCGTTTGGGAATGATGTATGGAGTTCCCGTGCGAGTGGCAGCATGCCAAGAGCCGGGGTCTGCACGCCATGAATAAGAAGCACACGGCTAGGCGTGCTTGGATCACCGCCGGGCGACAAGGGAAGTAACTCGTAGTATGCAGCTTTTCCGGCAGCCGTGTTGAGAAACTTGGCGGGTGGGAGAAGTGCACCAAAAGTCTTGGTGAAGATTTCCTCAGTTGGGCCGGAGATTGGTGATTGCGGTGATGCAGCAGCCCCTCCAGGGCGTGGGAGAACGAGTTGGTCTGCGTTGAAGGACATGTTTGTACGAGTGTTGCTGATCGGGGTACGTAGTACAGTACAAATGAAATTGAGACTGCATGTGGTGTGTGTGAGTGTCAGATATGCTGTCAAACAAAGGGCGCATGCTTATTCCCGCTAATCGAATAAGGGCTGTTCAGGGGTTGCCAAAGATAAGAGACTCTCTGGCCAATGGGAGTACACCCCTGCGGATGTGTACGGTCGACCATAACAACGCTCTCTCGGCACAACCGCATGGACAAAATAGTCCAACCGTGCCAAGTGCAATCTACCTTGGTTGATAAAGAAAGGTTTTTTTAATTATGTTTCACTTTTATTCAGGCGCATGTCAATAATGCAGCCCTTTCTCTTTTCAGTCAGGCGTCTGTCTCAAGACCCATGAATGGCAACGCCAAAGAGGCGAAACACAAGATACGTTCGTTACGACTCTTCCCCATCTACAATCTACCTATGCAACCAGGAGTATTCAATTCTCGTAAGTTGTATTGTCAAAAGTTGCATCACAGCGGACAGTTCCTCAGCTTCCGCCCATATACCGCCAGTACATGTTTGGTCCGTTATCTCGAGCCAATTGTGCAGGGCCAAAAGCCGGTCGGCGATTCATCCTAACTAAGGCTCTTACTAAATCATCAAGGCTATCGTTAGAGAGAACACACCGCTTTTTAGCCAGGCCATCCCGTCAATGATGGAGGTTGTTTTGTGTTTGTTTAAAGTGACAGGACAGAGTGGGGTGGAGTTTCCATGGTTTGAGCGCTGAGGCACCCAATTGTGGGATTTAAAACAAGTAAAAAGAGACTTGGTATGTCAACCTTGTTCACAGTATTATTGTCATGGGAACTATAAGGCCAGTATTATATTCAAAATTATCATTTGTACTCTTGCGCCTCTCTGTCAGTGTGGATAAACCGCAGCCCAGTTAGCTCTCGACAAGTCTTGTTTATGTCATGGGCTTCATCCACTGCTAGTGAAGGACTTATATAGAGCGATCTTCGGGCTCAGTTAACCCATCGAGGGCCAGGCTGCAACTATAATAAAGAATAGATCTTCAACATATCATAACATCATAACCCGATGTTAACACAGTGGCCTATTTAAACTTCTGCTGTTCAGAAGAGTCATACCTAGCCATATCGTCATGAAAGGTCTAGCCTCTCATGGGTGTTTTGGCTGCTCTAACCTCCGATCGAACTCATCATTGAGCACGAGTTTCCTCTTCTCGGGAGAATTACTTCACCAACGAGGACGGGATTTCTCTCCCACCAGCGCTCCTATTCGAGGATGTAACCGTGACTCTAGATACGTGGCCAAGGGTTGGGGTTGTCTTCGCCTACAGCCTTCCCTGTACAGCAAGAATCAAGTATCTAGTTTACTGAGAATCTGAGCAATGCGTGTGTATGTCCCTTTCGGGGAGTTTGTAGTGCTTTGTGATTTCCAATATTTGGTCGAATTAGCCTTTTGATGCACTTCGCTCGAAGAATCATTGGCACATTCCACTTCTTCAGAGCTATCACGACTTTCTGCCATATCCTCATTTATAGACACAGCCCAAAGAAAGATGAAGGCCAAAGCCTCTATCTACAGAAGCGAGTGTTGGCCGATATGCACATCATGCCAGGTAGGGATGCCCACGTGTTTCCTCCAACTGCCCAAGCCCAGAAGTGGTCCATGAATGAATATGCTACCAAATTCTCCATGATATCCCAAGCAACATCCATACTTGTCAATGAAAGAGAGATTCCAGCCCCAGGGTGAACAAAAAACTTCAGCATGGTGCAGAATCCGGAGTGCGAGTCGTAGCCATCCGGCGCATTAGGCGACATATATCCCATTTGCGCTGGCCGCCTTTCTCAAAACATTCATCCCCTAGGGTCAGCCACCCTTCTGACATTCGTTTCACATTTTCAAGTTTTTAGTGATAGTTGGGGTTCTGCGGAGCAGCATTGTAAGGCTGGCCTGTGGGTGAATGTGTTGACCAGCCTTGCATCGAGACTGGGCTCTGAGTTGAGGTCGGAGCAACTGAAGAACCTCGCCAGTCAGACTGGGTTGGTGAGGCTGGCGAGACGAGGCCAGTGTGTTCGCTCATTGGCGGTACTGAGGACACGGGAGTCTGGTGCTGCATAGGCGGTGGTACAGGCGCTGGTTGGTTCGGAGGAGTTTGGTTCTTCTTGTTGCGTCGAAGCAGCCAAATGGCACCCAATACAATCAGCGAAAGGGCGACGAAGCCGCCAATAGAGCCGCCAACTATAGCTCCGATATTGGGACCGTCACTTTTCCCATCTTCGGTTTCCACAGGCTTCTCACTGGTGACCCTGCCCGGATCAATAGTGATAGTTGTGGTTATATCGTCAGATTCAGTGGGTGTCTCTGTCTCGGTTTCGGACTCCTCTGGTTCCTCAGTTGAAGATGTAGAGGTTGAGGAGGAAGTCGGAGTCTCGGCAGCATCCCCAGCAACTGTTAATGTTGTGAAACGCCGCCCTCTTTGGCCATCGTAGGTGAATGACACCTCCTGGGCCCTCGACAGGCTTGCAGTTGCGCATCTATAGTCCTTGACTCCATCTTCGTAGGAGTACACTGCGCAGTACGCTGATGATCGTTCGGTGCTGTAATTACTCCAGTCAGTACGAGCATGGCATCGATCAAGCCAGGGGTCTTACCAAAGCAGGTAGAAAGAATTGCTTTGGCAAACATCGTTACAGAGCTCCGTGTTGAGCGCTTGTTCCCGATTGTAGCAAGTAATATGTGCGGCTGATCCACACATGATTCTAGTAATGTGCGCAAGCTCCCAGCTACACTTCTCGCCATTGGCGCACTTAATGGCATTGCCTGGAGAGCCAGATAGGAAACCGCATGTCTCGTCGGGGCTGCTGACAACTGTGTAGGTGTATACCGAAGAGGTTTCTTGACGCTTGCCCAGGTGAAGAAGCTGCTTCTGAAGCTTCTCCAGCTCGTGCATCTCAGGCATTAGCGTCGGCGCTGGTTGATAGAGGTATCCGGCATCGCGTCGCTCCGTTGGCTCCGAGATGGCCATGGCGGCCGCCGAAACGGCCATGGCACCGAGGGCCAACGCTTGGAAATGCCGGTACATGACAAGAGGCTAGGACTCGAGGAGATCAAGGCGCAAGAGCTCGGGAGGTCTCGACAATGGCAATTGGGGCGGGGTACAGCATTTTCATACTCCCAGCCTCAAAGACTCACAACCACGCAGCCCGCTAGCAAGGGTCAATGAAGGTTGGGGGTTGATTGGCGCCAAGCGATGGGCGTTCTGGTAAGGCAGCTTCTGATTGACGATGCTGCTGCGTTAGACAACACATGACTCCTCGAGTGGCTTGCATGGGCTGAATCCCTAGGTCCCCTCGCTTCGCTAGGGAATGCGCCAAAGCCATTGTAACTCTCAGCCCGGCTATCTTCAAAATCAGGCTGTGCAACTGCTCACAGTAATAGGGCGTACGCTACACAAAGTTTGTAGCTCATCACCAGTTGCACAACGTGATCGATCGCGACGTACACACACAGCGTAGCACACGCCCAACATCCTGCAGCTTCAGCTCTTCTTGGCCTCCCTTGGCAAGTTGGGCTGAGCTGCCGGGTTCTGCACCCGGGCTGCAAGGAAGACCCTAGCATCAGGGTCTAGAGCTCAAGGACAAGGGTGTGCTACCCCTGCCTACCATTCAGAAGCCTCAGTCGATGTGATTGGTCTTCACACAAGCGGTTGTTTCAAGGCGGTAAAGTTCGCCTAGATCCCGGTCTTCGGCAATCAATTCTCCTCGGGGACAAGTACCACAAAGTAGCAGCATCTTTTTCCCTCAGCATGCAGGCCCTCGCTGTTAGCATAGCACAGGGCTGTGCAAACCACCTGGAGGAAATCCAAAAACTCCACCAATCATCCACAAGCATCAACTCATTGTGAGAGAGAACCAAATGCCCTAATTGTTTTGGATCATGCCATTGTAACGCTATCAGAAATAATCCATGGTGGTAGGAAATGCGCGAAAACCCAAGCAAGTGGTGGAGAATATCTCGCGGGTGGCGGAGGCAATATGGATCCAGGGCCCAATGGTAAGCAGTAGCTAACACTATCAACTACAAAACATAGAGGTATACTAAGATAGACTTTGCTTTCGATACCTATACCGTTGCCTTGAGCTGTTCAGAAATCTCGAAAGTAGATATCCACATAAAAAAGCCTGACTTGGCTCGAAATCACCATGTATGAAAACTACTCCAGCAAGCAGCACAATAAGTAGTACCTCAACCGCTCTCATTCAGTCCACCAATACAAACGATCCCCCATTGTCGACTTCCACGATATTGGGTCTTTCTTTCTTAGCGGAATCGGGGTCGACCTTCTGCTCTTCCTCCAGCATCCAGCTCACAGTTCTGTGGGTATCTTGAGTCCAAGAGAGATACATGAAAATGCCACCATAAAGCAACTTGGAATGATGACTCAGAATCCAATACTTGACTCCTCCAATCTTTCGGTAGAGTTCGAGTCCTCCCTTGGCCCCGAGTGTAGTCTGACGCCCAAATGTGTAGCTTTCTTTGAGCCCATGGAGCATGGCTAGCATCTTTGTCTTGGGCTCCGCATTGCGGAAGGCTTCCAGAGATCCTTCGAAGCGAGTTCCATGCGGTGAGGTCAAAATAACTTCGTGAACCTCACCCTCATCGTTGGTGGTATGTGTCCATACGATAGCAAGAGAAAAATTGAGGACCGCGAAGCCCGGAAGACGGATTGGTGTTAGCCACACAGGCAGAGGCTTACCAGGGTGAAGCTCTGGGGTGCGCCATGACTGAACCAGCGGTTGCAGGTCTTGAATAACCTTGATCGTCTCGAAGTGGCCCCAAGGTCTGACAATATTGGCGGCTTCAGGTGTGGCTATAACAGGGATGTCTTTGGAGAATGTTCTAAGCGTCGCTTCGTGAACATGGTCCAGGAGGTAAAATGAGAGTAAAATGGCATCTATTCCACCGCTATCTGACTCCTCTGTCGATGCCTTTGCCGATGCATCGCCTGATTGAGGGAGATGGATGGCAGCCGCATCTTCGATCTCTCGAACGACACCCTTAACAGCTTCAACATCAAGGATTCCGGGGCTGGAGCTTAGTGTGATGTTGATCATCCACCATCCAAGCATACTAGTTGGCCCTTCGAGCCATGGTTCGAACACGACGTGGTAAAAGACCTTCCCTGCTGCCGCCCGCTCGGCCTCGGGCCTTGGGAAGGACATCAGCCAACTGTTGTCCCCATTCAAGGATGTCAACACTGGCCGAGGCTGCTTCTCAGCAGACGACAGCTGAGTCTGAAGCACTCCACGACGTCTTTCACTCATAGTAGCGTAGTAGGGGCTAGTCGTGTGTGAATGAGATGAAGAAAAGTGAGGAAGCGTCAGCTCCGGCACGCGTCATAGACAGCGGCATGGGGATTAAGTACTTGGGGGCATCTACCCGAGACACTAGTTGGTTTATCCATCTTACGCTCAACCACAACCAGCTCAATGCGCCGCTCCCAAGCCAAGTCTCACGCAAATGCTAAATGTACCCTGTTGAAGCTAGTGTGGCTTCCGATGATACGTGGGCGTCGTCGATCAGGATGGCGTGAATGTTGAATACCGAAAACTCCATTGGTAAGGACATCGGCCAAGCTTCCCTCTTGCTGGTGCTTTGACGGATCACCTCTGCCGAGAACCCTTCTGGGCCTGATGTAAGCGAACCGTGCTACCATTACGGTCAGTTATTCTGCATTATCTGAGTACTCACTGTGGCCGGAGCCGATGGTCACAGAGTCTGGGCGTCTGACTAAGACCTGAACTCTATCAGACGTAAATAGAGCTCGCAAAAGCATGTCCCTTTCCACTTTAGTCTGCGATACATGTAGAATGGATAATGACTTCAAATTGAACAATTTCGCATATAGGCTAAATCCCGAAGAAAACCACGGAACAAACGAGAGTGCGTTACATCATGATCTAAATGAATTCATGGAGATTGATTGACGCGGCAGGCGTCTGTTCCTGGATCTCGTACTTCTTCCGGCAGACCTCCTACGGCAGCATCACTAGTTCTCTCCAGGTACACACTTCCCCCACGTCAAGCTCACATATATACATTTTTTCTGACCTAGCTACCCTGAACTACATTTTATGAGACTTCTCATCAAATGAAGAGGCTACGTCAAGGAGCAAATGCCCTCATTGTAACTTTCGCGACTGATAGCTACAATTTACGAGAAGATGCGAGGTCAGAAGTCTATCTATGAGCTCTGAGGTTCTTTCTATATGACATATCCATTCAATCTTAACCCAGAAAGCTTCTCTAAGAATCGGTATGATTGTCTCGGCAACCTGGCTAGCCGTGAAACATGGCAGCAAGCGCATATCTCTAAAGATATGAGAAATGCCCAATGTAAGGCAATTTGCTGAGCCATTCAATCAAGTTCTTGGCATACCGTTCAGGTTTTATCCATAGAGAGTCAGTTACGTGAGGCGCGTAACCACTGAAGCCTTTTGATGGAGGGAAATTGATCCTTGGTCGCAGACACACAGCCTGGTGAGTGATGCCTGAGTAATCTCTGATGTCAGATGCGAACTTTCAATGGTAAGCAATGACAGAGATTCTTTACAATGAGTCTTTAATATCAGAGAAAAGGCGTCGAGCCTCAAACATGCTTTGTTCCGGTCAGATCGACGTGACCTGAATTGGGTCTCGGTGACAACCCCGTGACTCAATCGCACACTCACCAAGCACTGTACAAATACAACTTATGCACAAGTCACTATGTGATTAAACAGTGCACTGTCTCGAGTTATGAAATGACTGAGAAATGTTTCACGTTGTTTACTTCTTCCGGTCTAAAGCGTCCCCCTTGGTGTCTCTCTTTTTTTCCTTTTCCTGCTCATCCCACCACCACGAATCCTGGCAGTAAATCTCGCAAGAGGTCTCAGATCCTGCACTCGACTGATTCACTGCTAGCACGCTTCATAAAGGATGTGACAGACCAGGGCCTCTGCGCCCTCGGCCGGACACTCGGCGTCTTCCCCTCCAAGGTGTGCGCAGATCCCTCGCCCTTTCTGTCTCTCCTCAGGGACCTTGTTGCGCGTGAATCCCATTTCCATCCCCACGGTACTGGCTGAGTGACAGCTGAGACACTCACAGCTATCAGAGTTGAGAAGTGACAAAGGGAGTGTGGGCGATAGTCCCGGCGTTCAGGTCGCCAGCTGAGACCCGGGTGAGTCTAAGGTGGACCTTTTGCTTCCCTTCCGAAGCATCTCGGTCTCTTTATTCGTACGGCCAATAGCCTCGTAATGGTCGTCATGGCTGCCCATGGGCTTTTGAGCCAAGACGGACGCGAATGTGTTGACGCCTTGGTGAACTTCCCGAAGGAGGGCTAGAACAAGCAGCCACTCAACCCTTTCCATGCGAATCTATTGCTGGGCGTAGCTGATTCATCATCTGAGGTATGCCCAAAGGGCAACTCGAGCTGAACATGGAGACTAGGCCTTGAGACTGGAGATCGTTGAGGCTGACGACAGGCTTACAAGGTGTTCGTGGGTAGTTCGTAGGCATTCATGTGGCGGCATCGGACATTCGACCGTAGCCAACAATAACATCTCATTCACGATGACCTCAGTCCATTTTCGGTGCAACTCACAAGCACGGGAATTTCTCCACGGCAACTCACAAGTTCCCACGAGATCCCACATCTTTGGGTTGGTCGCTGCAGAGATTGCGGCCTGGCCCGCCAACCACACCCTCACTCACCATGTGCCCTATAGCCTCACCCGTGAAGACATCCATTCATTACGGCCGGACTAATCCACCCACCCACCAACACCCACGATGTGACGGCGTGCTATCCCTCGGCCATGTCTGTCTTCCAGAAGGATGGCACGCAGTTCAAGACAGAGATCTTCCCATTCCAGGACGCCTCTTCGCCAACGAACCGCGTGGCAAAGAAAGGCCGAGCTGGCCGTGACTCAAAACGCCAGAGGTTTCTGCATCTCCTTTCCATCACCTACCTATTGTCTGATAATTTACCCTGAAGTAGGTCAACCCGCCTTATCCGTCATCTTGACGATTGAGCGCCATCAACCACATGCGTCCAGCATGGGCCGCCTGCCAACACCAATCTGTCTCACCTCAGTGGGGGACAATCCGATAGGGCGCCGCTGAACAAACGAGAAAAGAAAGGGATGATGAGTCTAAACTTCCGCTCTTGGGCGTCGCGGAAGTGAATGAGTTGGTATGCGGCAGCTGCAGCAACAGTTATCGGTCCACTGAAAGCATGGCCATGAGCTTAACGGTAGAAACGGCCAGAGACCAACGTTGAAGGTTTTGACATCAATCAATGACTCAAACTGTACCTCCAAAGAGGAACCTCCACTCTTTTTGCCCTTGCTCAAATCACAAAAGCAAAGTGATACAAGTTCCTCTCAACTTCGTCATCACCACAAGCCTCATCCTCCCGGGATGTGTCATCAGCTCTTGGCTCGACAGCGGAAAGCCAGCGGACCACCAACCCCGGCAAACAACCTCCTTTGCTAGCTGTGTGGCGATAGTTCTTCAGCTGGAGAGTTGTGATGTGCCATCAATAGTCTTCTACAAGACCTGCCCGTCCTCAAACATGTCGCAGACGAGCCCACAAGACACGGGTTCCTCGCTCAACATGGCCGCCTCGAACACGGTGACCTTCGTGGCCTGACAATGAACATGGTCTCGGCGCCCCTTCTCAACCCCCCGTGTAACAACGGTTCTGTGATATAACTCACCCTGAACTGGCTCAAAGTAGACGTAAGTCGCCGCGTGCCCCCTACTCCAGGGATGAGGCGAGGCTCGCTTCGAGGGGAACAACGAACCGGGCTCGTGGAGACGCGTAAATGAGATCGCACTCTAATTAGAAGCATGAATTTGATTTCCAATAGTTCCCTACAAGTCTCACTATGAGGGAGGCTCAACGCCGCCTTCAAGTTGTGTTGACCATCGGTTGGCTAGACCCAACACATGCAGACGGATGGTACCGTCAGCGCACGAGAACGGACTCACGAACTGGAACCATATTATGGAACAACTCTTTTGGACGCGGTGAGGTTTTGCTTCTGCCGTCTCCATAGTGGCGATGTCTTTGACGACCGCGCTGGTCATGGATGGTCGAGAAGGGAGTCAAACGCAAAGCGGTTCGTCAACATGATCAAAAGCAGAGGATCAAAGCACAAATGTACGACAACTATGGCGTTTTCGTGAGCCAATTCCCGCAAAAGGGCCGGAGCAAACTCGTTAATCGAGCGCTTTGATGGCGCATTTCGCTTCGCCAAGTGGTTGAGATCTATCACTTCAACCCGGTCGACAGGGCAATCGATCGAGACGAGATTGCAAAGTAGCCATAATTGGACAAGTATGGAGACACTTTTCGGTCCAGAAGAGAACAACATGATACATGACCAGGAGCAAATCGTAAGATTCGGAGAAAAGGGCCAAGAAGGGCATCAAAAGTTCCCTGGGCCGAGGTCATCCCAGAGTGACGCGCCATCAGGTAATGTTGAGAACGGTGGTGCAGACAACACTCAAGACACTCATCAATGCACTATCCAAAGCCACCAGTGCCGATAATCTCTTAACCATGCTTTCAGCGCCTATGTTGTCAGGGCGGAATGGATTATCCAAGATGGACTCGGTCGACAATGATCGCCCCGAGAGCAAGGGTCCACTGCCACCACCGATATTGACGGGTTTCCGGTTCCCAGGGAGAGCCAATGATCCATCTCATCGGGATTTCACATCACAACTAGTGATGCTACCCCAGAGATCTTCCTCGATAAAGGGCTCCTTTGTCGGTACGTGATTGCGGTCCCTTGGCCGGGCGCCCACCCCCAGCCCAAGCATCCCTCGGCCGGCTGAGGTCCATGTCTCATCGCCATTGACAGCCATCACATTCCTCCCTCACCGGACTGCTCCGTCCACATTCTCCGTAGCCGGGGCCGGGTCCGTATGTAACTCTGGACCCCGGGGGCGGGCGTGGAATGCTGCAGTAATTGTGACAAGAGCTGGCGCACCCGGCGTGCCCTCGGCGTACAGAGGTGCACTACATGTTGCCAGGGGAATCAAGGGCAATTTCGATAGTTGGCGACGACGTCAACCCCGCGGGGACACTCAAGGGACAACCAAATCTTTGAGACGCCGATGGTTCTGGTTATCGAATTCGCATCCATCAAGATGAACGACTGAATCAACTTGGCGAGGGTGAGTTGCCACCGCCGCCACGTCGTCTAAGACTATATAAGTCTCGAGGGATATCTCAGGGTCAACCACAACGGTCAACAATCAGCATTGTCTCTTCTTACCTTCATTTTCTCTTTACAAAGTTCTTTCCATCATGACTGTGACAAATACCCGGCCGGGAGATCGCCACCACGAGTCTCAAGGCCGGCTTGGCCACGGAGAGCTTCTCGAGCGTCCATTCCCTACTGTCACTGCCGCCTTCTATCACCATGCGATAGTCTGTCCGGATGCCACAGCCGTTCGTGATCTCTCGGGATCTCCGAGGGAGCTGACCTATGCGGAACTTGCTGGACGAGCTCAAAGCTTGGCCGCCCAACTCAGAGCTCAAGGGGTAGTCCCTAACTCGAGGATCCCACTTGTCGTCAAACGAGGGCTAGACATGATAGTCGGTATCTGGGCGATTCTATCCTGCGGCGCCCAATACATCCCTCTCGATGGTGGCGTTGTACCTGATGAGACGATCCGTCGGATTCTGGAGGAGTCTAAGTCGGGTGTCGTCCTTTGTCTATCCTCGACCAAGCATCGCATCACCACTCAACATCCAGACCAGACCGTTGTTGTCATTGACGAAGCCAACACCACATCTTTCGATTCTAATCAAGGCGACTATGTCGACCTCTCAACACCAGATGGGGGCTGCTACGTGATATACACATCCGGTAAGTTGAAAGATGCATATCTCCATGAACTCTCGTTAACAACATCGCAGGAACCACAGGACAACCGAAAGGAGTCGATGTAACACACAACAATGTCGCCAATCTGGTGTGCCTCTCTCCCGGAAACCTAGGGGTTTCAACCGGGACCTGTGTGGGATCGCTTCTCAACATCAGCTTTGACATGGGTAGGTATATCATCCCGATATCACCATCAATGCTAACCCAGACAGCGGCATGGGAAATCTTTTCTTGTTTATGCAACGGAGGAACACTTGTCCTCCGAGGCTCCGACTGGGAGCCGACTCTACAGCAGGTCCGTCAGTCCTTTGTTGTGTGAAGCATTGACCAGTCCGACTAACAACATAGACAGATTGACGTCTTGATCTGCACTCCCACGATCCTTTCCAAGTACCATCCTACTCAGTTCCCCAGAATAAAAACGGTCGCTACAGCGGGTGAGCCGACCACCAAGGGGTAAGTGGCCTGCGGAGACTGCATTCCTGCTCCCTCGCTGACCTGTCCCCAGTCTTGCCGACCTATGGGCCACCCACGGCACGTACTGGAACTGCTGCGGCCCGACCGAGACAACCATTGTCAATACCATGCAAAAGCACATTGTCGGACAAGAATTGACAATTGGTCAGCCAACCCCAAACAACAAGGTGTACATCCTGGGCGAGGACGGTAAGCAGCTCGGTGTGGGTGCTGCAGGTGTCATGTGGGCGGGCGGACTGGGAGTTTCTCGAGGCTATGTCGGACTCGAAAACAAGGCAAAAGACAAGTACAAACCGGATCGGTTTGCCAATGATGGGTAAGTGGTGTTGAGAGTAGACCCTGCGTCAAAGCATGCTGACCCATGAATGCCAGGTCCACCATGTACAACACCGGCGATCTTGGACGATGGTGTCAAGACGGTTCAATCGAAATCCTCGGCCGGGTAGACGATCAAGTCAAAGTAAAGGTTCGTCTGAATCTCGTCTTCCATCTGTCATCTCAATCTGACTTGGCTAGGGTTTCCGCGTGGAGCTTGACGGCGTGTCCGCCTCCCTCGCATCCGCCCCCGGCGTGTCTCGGGCGGCTGCGCTGCTGATCAACGGGCAGATCCATGGGTTCACTTCGCCATGCGGGAGCGATGTAACCACCATCCTCAAGCACACGCAGCAACACCAACCCTACTACGCAATCCCGACACACCTCCACCTCCTGGATGACCTCCCCTCAACTGCCAACGGCAAAGTAGACAAGAACGCACTCAAGGCATTGGCATTGGCCAAGCTATGCAATGCAGAGCCATCTACACACCATGGCGAGAATACGAAGGGCGTGTCTGACCATGGCGAGCTCAAATCGCAATCTTCCATGTCAACTCTGTCGACTGTGGTGGAGAAACCAGACCTGCTGCGAGACTTGCCTGACAAGACGACCAACCAGCCGTTCAGGGGTCTGAGATACAGAATCTTCATCGTCTATCGCACCTTGTTCAGTCTGATCGGGATACTAAACTTGGCCGCATTGATCTGCGTGATCACCCTTCAGCCAAGGTCTGAATGGCTGGGTACCATTACCGCCATCAACCTCGCAACTGCAGTACTCGTGCGCCAGGACAGCATGATCAACGTCCTGTACACCGTTGCCTGCTCGGTACCAAGACAACTGCCGTTGTGGATTAGGACCCGTTGCGCCAAGATTTATCACCTAGGTGGTGTTCACTCCGGCGCGGGGGTTTGTGCGACCGCATGGCTGGTTATCTCAACGGTCCGCGGCACCGTCTGCAATGCAGGCTTCTGCGAAGGACACACATCGGGCTCCCTGGCCACTCAGGTGGTATCGTGGCTGTTGTGCGGGCTGCTGTGTTCCATGGTGGCGACTGCATGGCCATCGTTCCGGAAACAATATCATAATTTCTTTGAACGCTTCCATCGCTTCGCTGGCTGGACAGCATTGGCCATGTTCTGGGTGCGCATAATCCTTGCCATTAACGACTCTCGGCCTAAGGACCAAGACCTCGGCCTGGCAGCTGTCAGGAGTCCAGACTTCTGGCTCCTGGTCGTGGCAACCTGCAGCATCGCCTCCTCATGGTTCTTCCTTCGCAAGGTGCCGGTCGAGGCAGAAGTCCTCTCCGACCATGCAATCCGGCTGCACTTTGACTACACCGTGCCCGTAAATGGAAGCTTCACGCGCATCTCGCGGCGACCCTTGGTCGAGTGGCACTCGTTTGCGACCATCCCCAACCCAGAGGCGACTCATCATGCCAAAGGATACTCGCTAGTGGTCTCCAACGCCGGCGATTGGACGCGTTCCTGTATCCAGAACCCTCCCAGTGCGCTGTGGGTGCGTGGTGTGCCGACATGTGGGGTGATGCGTGTCGCAACTCTGTTCAACCGCATTGTGCTTATCGGCACGGGGTCTGGAATTGGGCCACTGCTTGGACATATTACCCGGCAGTCATGTCCTACCCAGCTGATCTGGTCCACGCCACGGCCAGAGGAGACCTTTGGCAAGGACATCGTTGGCCTAATCCGCAGCCATGTTCCAGACGCTATCATCCACGACACCAAAAAAGAGGGTCGACCGGACCTTGTTCGAATGGGCTACAACATGGCCAAGTCCTTTGATGCCGAGGCCGTGATTGTAATCGCCAACGAAAAGATAACAAAGAAGATCGTATACGGTCTCGAAACGCGCGGCATACCGGCGTACGGTGCCATCTGGGACAGCTAACCTGCTCCCAAACACTCTCGATTCTCTTATTCTTCTCGACTGTGCCTCCTTCAGGCTTCGTTTCTTAATATTTCCTCCTCTAGCATGTTACCAGATCGAGCGTCGTTTATCTGGTGATCGTTCGGCGTCTATCGTTTCCTTCTCTCTCCGTTTCTTATGTCGGTTATTGTGGTAATCATCGTCGCGATGTGTGTAAAATAGTTGTTTTGTTTTGTTTCCTCAGCGAGCTAAAGGCATGGGCGACCAAAAAGTTGTGACATCATGGCCCACTTGAGACCATTTTCAATCTATGTACCTTAGAAGCATATATGCAGCAAAGCGGTTCCAATTGGTTCAGTCTTACCGAAAATGGCAACTTTTAAATCTAATCGGCTTCTTGAACAAACAACTTTGTCTCTCATCGTGACAGGAAACATGTTCTCCCTGCGAAGGATAGCGACGACGGCGGCGCCTACTATTAGCCGTCAGGGTCTTCAGGCTACATCTGCAAGGATAAGACTGTACTCCCAGGTCTCCCAGGTCTCCCAGGTCTCCCAGGTCTCCCAGGTCTCCCAGGTCTCCCAGGTCTCCCAAGACTCCCAGGACTCTCAGGACTCTCAGGACTCTCAGGACTCTCAGGACTCTCAGGACTCCCTGGCCTCTAAGTACCCCAATGCCGTTGGCCCATTGTCCTATGATCTACATCACCCACGTCGTCCTTATACCACCTGGAGGCAAGACCCAATTCTCTTTCTTCACGGACTATTCGGATCCAAGAAGAACAACAGAACCATCAGCAAGTTTGTAATTACCATTCGTTGTCAATAATTGGGTCACTGACAATGGAACAGCGTCCTAGCCCGGGATCTTGGACGATATGTGTACTGCTTGGTAGGCACATCCAGCCAATCAAGGATACAGCGCGGTTGAGACTCAACGATCAATTCACAGGATCTCAGAAACCATGGCGATTCGCCTCACAGCCCCCAGCATGACTACCTTTCCATGGCCGACGATGTAGCAGCGTTCATCGAAGAACATCGTCTCATGCGCCCAACAATCATCGGCCACTCAATGTAAGCACTCACAAGACTTCTGTAAACTGACCGACACGCTGATCGAAACCCAGGGGCGCCAAGACTGCAATGACTCTCGCCCTGCGCTCTCCGGAACTTGTGGCCAACATCGTAGCCGTTGACAATGCCCCCGTAGACATGACGCTCAGCAGGGACTTTGCCAAGTACGTTCGCGCCATGAAGAAGATCAACGACGCAAACGTCACCCGCCAGGCCGAGGCCGACAAGATTCTGAGCGAGTACGAAGAGTCCGTCGCCATCCGGCAGTTCCTGTTGGGCAACCTGTATCAACCCCCAGGCGAAAAGTTCCGCAAGTTCCGCATCCCTCTGGACATCCTAGCCAAATCTCTAGACAACTGCGGAGACTTTCCCTACAAAGACCCCAACGAGATCCGATTCGAGAAGCCCGCCCTGTTTGTGCGAGGCACCAAGAGTAAATATGTTCCGGACGAGCTTCTCCCCTTGATCGGCCAGTTCTTCCCCAAGTTCCGTCTCGTCGATGTAGACGCCGGGCACTGGCTCATTTCTGAGCAATTTGAGGCCTTCAGGCTAGGTATGTAATCATTGACATAATTCCAGGCCAAGTGGTAGCAGAGGCTAATCGTCGATAGCGGTTTTCGAGTTTCTCGATACCGGTAATCGATGGGGTAAAATAGACAAAAAACACCGAGTAAAGAGAGTGTAAATGCGTGAAGGCACTGAAGGGTGGCGAGTCCGCTATTGGCCTCGATTTTGGACAGGATGTAGAAACTGCCTGTGTCACACTACCCTAGGTATCATATACAATAGACGAGGGCCACTAGAATTGATCACATTTCTCATTCGTGTGGCGTCAGGTTGCATACCTACCCTTCGAAACCACTGCAGTCAAGCGAGCCAAGCAAAAGTCACAGGGTATCAGCTCAGTTTGTCTCTACCTACGGCTCACTCATCTCGGCTCAGCAGTCTCCCTCTTTAGCTACATGACCAAGCCAAATCGTCACAGCATCATCGTAACCAGGTCACGCGTCGTAAATCATTCGCCTTTTTGACTGAACGTTTTTTTACCATTCAAAGAGACATGACCCAATCCCCTAGCCGCCCTTGTGATGCTACGCCATTTGCGATGACCGAAACAGTGCCAGGGATGAGTTTATTAGCCGCGAGGTCCCTATGCCCTCCCCGCGCCAACAAGCCAAAAAGCCTTTTAAACCTCCTCGAGAACACGCTCCTTGAACTCCCGCTCAACCTTCTGGCCCTGGTCATCCGTACCCGACTCGCCGTGCAGAGCCATCAAGGCACCAAGGTCGAACTTGGGGGACTTGAGCAGCTTGACCTTTCGGATGTGGACCTGTTGAGTGGCGTGTCAGCACACAAAAATTTCCAATGGTAGTAAAAAGGCGGGGAGTTCGACTCACGTTCTGGAGGGGGTAGATGCCCTGGGTGGACTTCTCAATCTCGCGGCCAATGACCTCGGGAATGAGCTTGGAGGTGAGCTGGGTGAGGGTGCAGCTGGAAGCCTCACGCTGGATGATGTCGGTCATCTTGCGTCGGATGGCCCGAATCTGGGAGGAGGCAGCGTAGGTGGTCTTCTTGATCTGGTTGGGGCGTCGCTTAGTGAAGGCGATGGCGAAGAGGCGGATGAGGTAGTCGTCGGTGGTCTTGACGGTGACGTTGGCCTCAATGAGGGTCTGCCACTTTCGCACCAGGGATCGGAGCTTGTCGGAGGTGAAGTCGAGGCCGTGGAAGTTGGTCAGGCAGTTCTTGCCCTGGACCTCATCGACACGGAGGCGAACCTTTCGGAAGGCGTGGTCCTCGTCCTTCTGGAGATCGGCGAGGGAGACCTCGACGATGCGGCCCTTGAGGGCATCGTTGGCGTTCTTGAGACCAGTGGTCCGGTTCACGAGGGTCTTGCCGACACTGCAATATTTGGTCAATCGCTGCCCACAAAATATCAAATTCTCGATTCGCGTCGCAACTCACTCTCGGACGTTGAAGGGGTTAGGGGCCTGGAGAATTCGAGTCAGCCGTGTTCATAGCAGCGCGCATTGCATCGCATCGGATCGAGAAACCACCCACCTTGATCGAGTACCAGTCCTTGCGGGTGAAGGGGTCGACCGTCTTCTTCTTGAGGCCCTTCTTGCCCTTGGAGAGTCTCTTGTTCCTGCAGAATCGCGTAAGTCGATAATCCTCATCGCTGCTCGTCGTGGTGATGCTCACTTTCCAACCGCCATGTTTGCTGGCCTATGTGTGAACCGTTGGAGAGAAAACCGAAGGTACTGTCTGGAGAGATTGGAGGAGGGGCGAAATAATTTCAGGCTTTGTGTGCACCAGCTTAGGTCTAAGCGAGTTGGATCGAAAATTCGCGGCTCATGGTTATTCCGGCGCTAAAGCTTGTGGGCTTTGGAGAGGGCAAGAGCGGCCTACATCACGTGCCGAGAGAGACGAAAAATGTGTGTGGGTCAGCTGAGCCACGTTTCCGCCACAGGTGAGATCCAAGACTTTTCTCTCCAGCCCCTCGAAACGATTGAGTGCCTGGTGAGACATTCGTGATGAGGCTCGGAACTTCACAGGTTGACACGGCCAGGCACAGGACAGGTGTTGGTCGTTATCGATGCATTTATCGCTTTCTTATTCGTCGCCTGTCAAAACAAAATAGGTATCTATCCATCATTCAGACAACGCCCATAGCAAAATGTGACTTGCTGTACATGTTTGTTTCGTCGACTATGTTTTACAGAATGCATCGCTAAATCCAGAACCTCGGCGTCTGGTTCGCCATTCAAGGGTCGCTATTAAAGGCCCCGACTTTTGGTTTGTTCCTCATCCGTCCCGTAACTTCACCTCGTCGAGGTGCAGTTCGTCCCTCATCTATCGTGTACAGCATTGGTCTCAGTGTCACCTCTCATGAGGCAGGAAGCCTTTCACCGGCATCCACCCAGCCTGGTCCTAGAGCGTAACCTGCCCGCCGCAACCTCGTCCTCCCGCGGCTGGTGGTGATGCGAGCAGGCGGTACGGTTGCTGGCGGGCGACGGGATACCACTCCCTCCGGATCTGTGCCTCGCTGTCACTTGCTCCTCCACGGAGCCTCAGCAGGACGCACAACTCTATATTGAGAGCTTGGTCCTGCTGGTTGAACGATTCGCGTCGTGCTCATCGCTGTCATGTCGTCTGCCATCTCGGTTCGAGGCCATCCGGTTCCCCTCACCCTCGTCCCCCTTCACCCTTCAATCATCCGAGTCCTTGTCGATGTCCTCAGACTTGTCCCTATTCCACTCCTCAAAGCTAGGGAAGCTGAAGTAGTAACCTTGGGTCGGTGTCAGCTCGAGCCAAAACAGATGATTGATGAAATCGCGAGTCGACATACCAGAGGGTGAGTCAACCAAGACTACGTCTTGACTTCCGGGGCTGCCGGTGGGAGACTGGTCTCGATCATCGCGGCAGATGACAATAGCTTCGGCGCGGTGGGGGATCGGCTCTGGGGCTGATGATTGCTCTGGAGGCGGGGCATAGACGACAACGCGGCTGAGCAGATCAGTTGCTTTCTGCGGCGATCCAGGTCCAGCGAGTGATCCGCGAATGGCATTGGATGTGGTGATTGATGGTTCAGTCGCGCTGGAGCGAAGAAGTCGTGGTCGTTGACGGCTGGTGTTGTGTGATGATGACGACGACGACGAGTCTCGACGGTGAGCTCTCATCGCACTTCGAGTGTCTCGCGAAAAGGAGGCCATGATCATCGAAGATGTATGCGAATGTTGTTATGTTTGCTTGTTCAATCAAGGGTGCAAAGCCTTGTGAATTAAAATGGAATATAGGCAAAGGTGGGTTAGCATTGAAAAGAAAGCAAAAGCCGTAAGGTTCGTGGAAGCCGTGGACGGCAGTAGCTGGCAATACATATGAATCTGCAACCACCTGGACAACAACCAAGGCATCCACATCCACCCCCAAGGCTAGGTACAACAAACAAGTCAACGCGTCGACGTTACGGTACGTACAGAGACAAACATGGATGCATCAAAAGTCATCAAGCTTCGGCGGCAGTGCGGACATGGTCCACCCGTTACCCGACATGAGCCATCCCATCACCAGGGCAGACCTGGCCAGGGCATCAGCAAATTCACCCGTGGTTGCCCGCCATCCACCGCGCACCTCTTCCCACAGCATCACGCAACAACAGGCCCTGGGACCGTCCTGAAAGTGTCCTTGTGGTGCCTGGGGGTGCCAGCTTCTGCTCGCCACTTGTCGGCTCATCGCTGCATTGGGTGCCAACTTCGTGTCTCGAGGTGTATGGCCCAAGTATCCCTGGCGTTGGGTACGCCCGGGCCCCGGGGCCTGCAGGCGGGCTTCCCGTGCAGTTGCATGCGGGGATCTTCTAGCCCACGAAGCCAGTGAAGGCTCGCCCTAGCCAGACAAGACTCGGGCGCGTCGGGGCCGGAGCTATTGGTAAAGGTCGGTAAGGACGCGGGAGCGAGACTATGGAAACCGCCGTCGAGCTACCGTCGCATTGCTACCCAACAGGTCCCCCAGATGCATACCGCTCATGTTGGATGCCATCCATCCATCCATCCATGGCAGCAGATACGGACGGCGACTATCTTCCCTGGAAACAGAGAATGGTACAGTACGGTAGCAGACACGAGGGGTCAGCGGTTACGCTCCTTGCCAGCCAAGGCCGCTCTAGCGTGCTACCTCTGGAATATGGTGCAGTTGGGAGGGGGTTGCGCTGTGCATGTACGATGATGGGGGCGTGATGGCATTCACAAAACGGAGCAGCCTCGGATCAGCATCACAGCTGGACAATCCCGCAGCCCTGAACCGCGCTGTACCTGGAAGCCAAGATGTGCACGTTGTCTGTCCGGGTCATTAAATACAGTCTAGCACGTTCCCATTTCTCGACAGCCCCGGCCGCTCTGCCGTCGAGATGGTAATATGATGGATCATTGATCGCCTTCCAGGCCGGGGTGCGCAGCCATCGGAGTATTTCCCTCAGGAGACACGACACTCTATTATTGCACTTGTCAGACGCTACAGCAAGACGTGCTCTTCACACGTGTACCCAAGGATAAGGGTGCAATTTCCAAGTGGGAACGGTAAGAGTATCCGTACATAGGTAAAGTAGGCGCAATTACACTTATTTACGTCCTATGACCGCCTCACCGGCCTCGTGGGGGCCGGCCCGTAGGCTTCCATCCCGAGTTCCACCAGCGACCTGTCATTCTCCATCTTCAAATCTCGCAACCTCTACAACCCGGCTCCTTGGAGGCGCTTGCGAAAACGGCCGTTCCAAAGTTTCCAGCATCGCCCCTGATTGCCCTGTGCGACCTCCCACTTTGACCGGGTACCTCTTTCGGGGCGCTCAGCCCCAACACCATGGGCGGATGGCACCGTGGCACCGTGGCATCGTATGGATTCTGATCAATCAAGATGAGCCTCCCACGCCAAACGACCCAGACCGACATGCACAGTTGGTCGCTGCTGACGCACCCCGCGACAGCCAAGTCCGCCACGTCTCTCCCGTCCCTGTCCCGCGCCCTTCAGCCCGTCCGGATTAGTGGTCGAAGCTGCCACAGTCATCAGTCTCTTGCTCCATTTCTCCTCGGTTGAGATGTTGATTTGGCTTACTCTTCCCAGATTCTTCCCTGGACCGCCTGCAGCTCCTCAGTCGTCATACGTTTGCCCGTCGTAAAGTAGCCTTGATCTTCCGTTAGTTCCCGGAAATCTTCTAGACCTCGATATGAAACATACCAGCTGTAATCTTGGCGTCAATCTCGACTCTCGAGTCGGCCGGAATCAGCTCCTCGGGAAGCTCGACTCTCTCATGGATAGGGATCCTAGATGCGCGTTAATCGGATCTCTTGGTCCGCTCGGCCGGCCTTCCGGCTCCTGTCAACTTACCCCTGTCCCACGATCGCATCGTGCTTCATACTAAGCGCATCGTCAGCTGTTTTCACCTTGACGTGTCCATCGATAACCGCTCACTTGCTCATGCTAAGCATCCTGTCAATCTTCTTGATGCCTAGCCAGTGCAGGATGTCCGGCATCAGAGCCTGGAATCGCATGTCCTTGACCCCGGCAATGTTCTCGGTCCGCTTGAAATAGTCTGATGCTCGATCGGCTCCGCGTTTACGGGCATTGTAGACAACTACCCCAGAATTAGTACGCCGAGTCTCCACGCCGGTTGTGTTCCCGAAACGAAGGGATATCCTTACGATACTGCCAGTCATGTTAGATCCACTCTGTTGCGTCTACCAGCAAGTCACTTACCTTGGTAACTTCTCCCAGGGCTCGTCCCTCCTTTCTGAAGTAGATGACTACGCCACTTCCACCATTCTGCGCCTCCTTGACGGCTTCCTCGATACCAAAGATGAGGTATGGTCGGCAAGTACAGATGTCAGATCCGAACACGTCACTGCCGTTGCACTAGCAAGAGGTAAGCTGAGGCCTGACAGGAAGAGTTGGGGGCCGTACCTCGTCGTGGATTCTCAGAGACAGTCGAACAGACTCATCCGACATCTTTGCAGGGTCTCCGAAGCAGTAGACGGTAAGACCACCTCAAAGATGTTAGTCAACAGTTTACCGGCTGGGTTTTGTGACTTACCGATGGGTGGAAGAAAGACTTTGATGTCTCCACGAGTGATCAACTTGGATATGTCAGCACTTTGACTTCTAAGATCACTTGAAAGATGGACATACCTCTGGGTAACTTCCACCGGTATGTTCAAACAGGGAACGTCGGAGTGTAGCCTCATCTACTTCGTGTCAGTGACGGGTTCGGAGGTTATGCTATAGTCTTACCGATGCCAAATCTCTCTGCAACACCAGGTAGATACCAGACCTGTTGAAGATACGGTTAGTAGCGAGCTTGGTCTGCTTGCCAAAGAAGGTCTTACAGGTTCAACGGCGAACTTGGTGACAGCCAGTTCACCCTGATCATTGAGGCACACCTTGCCATCAGGAATCCTGATATCGTCAGTTACGCAAAACGTCGAAATACGTTCAGATTTGACTTACAGACGTCCAGCCTTGACACTCTCGGCAAGCTCAGGTAGCTAGCGACAACATATTCAGCAACCCCTTTAACAGTTCGGGTTTCAATCGAGTATCACCCACCTTCATATGAGCCTTGGTGATGGCAATGGTCGGTCGAATGTCGACTAGGGATTCTGTCAGCAAGTTTGTTGCAAATTTTGGGCTTCAAACGCTACCATTGTCTTTCTCGATGGTGTCTTTGAAAAGCCAGGGGGCAAGATGACCCCAAGGGTCCATCGCCACGATCTTGCTGGGGTCTCCCCACTGAGGGAAAGGACCAATGTTCGCGGCCGGCTCGGTGTTGGTAAAATCGGGTCTGTTAAAAGCATCGTCAGTTTTGTGTGTGTTTCTTTAGGTCAAGGCCACAAACCGATGATCGCCGCTCAGCTCGTTGCTGGCAACAGCGAGGGCGTAGTAGATAGAGTACGAACCACCACTGGGAGTCTTGTTTAGTATGTATTGCAATCATTCGATTGGTCCGGAATCGACTCACTGGGCTAAATAACGTTGTTAGCGAATAATAACGGACATTGACGTGGACAAAACATACCTCCAACAGCTGAACGACACGCATGGACGTTAGCAACACGGAATCACACACACATCACGGGCAACATGAACGAACCATTACGACGTCGGATAGTGGAGGCAGCCCTGGAAACTACGATAGGGCCGCGTTTAGAAGGATCTGAGTTTCCCCAGTCCATAGGCAAAGGCTTGATTCCAATTTGCTTAGGATACGTCCTATTTACCTTGGTGTAAGTGACCTGTGTTAGTGGGGAATGTGCGAGGGTCCTCACGTCAAGATAATGCGCGACGTAAAGCCTTGGCGTTGGCTGGGCGTTGGAGGAGCCGGAGCCTTCAATTTGTCCGCAGATTCGAGAGGAGAGGCCGCGGAAGGCGATTCGTCCTCGTCGGCTTCGTTGCGTGAGTCTGGGACATAGATGCTGTTGGCAGTAAGGTCGCCGTTGGACCCGGCCGCTTCGTCTATCGACTTGCCCGACAGCGACTCAACAGCGTTCACGAGAAGCGATTGAGTGCGCTGGATTTCACGGAGAGCGTCCAAAACGCTCGCCTGCTGTTCGCCGGGCTCCATGGTGAGAATCCAAGGTTTATACAATGGCGATAAAGGAAACTGCTGTTGTGAGTGTATCTCTAGGGTAGTTCCAGGAGGTTGACGGAGTGGAGTTGTAGGTATTGATTGAATGCGACGAGTGACAAAGAGATGAAGTGAGGAGATTGAGATTCGACGGGATTTAATAAATAAAAGAAAAGAAAAGTAGATTGGAAGACGGGGAAGGGGGGAGAAAAGAGAAGAGGGACAAGAAGAGCGGTCGGCGGAACACAAGGTGACACCTACCTAGACAGTTTCATGACCACGGACGACATGACTGAAAGCGACATCCTCTTATCCCCCGACCGCCCCGATGCCTCACGTAATACATAACGAGGCGTAGGTATCAAGCAGGAACCCATCGACCTTGCCTCATCTGTCGTATCAGGGTCACCAGACCTCGTGGGAAGGTCCCCTGTAGAATCATAACTTCACTTATCGGGCCGCCATCAAGGGGCTAGCATGAACTGTCAGGCATTCAGGAGGGGAGCTCTCCCAACAAGGAGAAGTCATGATAGCCAGTCGCTGGTTTCTTTGACGGGAAGCTTGCATCTAGCTCCTCACTATTCGCTGATAAGAGGCCACATGATAAGACGGCACATTGAAACTCTCAAGCCTCGTCCCCACTGGCGGCCGGCGGAGCTACCCCGCCAAATCGGAGAGGAGCCCCTTGCGTCCAGCCGCCGGCGCCGGCGACCTTAGCCCAGGCAGGCCCGTTGCTGATGAACGTCATCTCTCTGAATGACACTGAAAAGGCAACACGGCAGGGGCCACAAGTTTGCTGTTTGCTGTTTGTTGGGCGCCTCTCTTGGCTCTTCCTGTGTGTCTCAAGCCAACGCCTTCCATTCACACTGCATGCTTTTGAACAAAGAGACGCACCGTTACCGCCATGCCTACCCTGTTATGTATCCAGGCATCATCCTCCGAGCCCATCCATCCAACCTGTTTGATAAGGATAAACTAACTTACCTACCTAGGTAGGTAGGCAAGGCAGCTCGACGGAACCCGGCGTAGGAGATCTCAGAGGCCGGAGGTCGCCGGGAGGCGGGGGCGGGGCTCTTCGGTGTGCCTCCCCCGCTTGATGCATGCGCTATGAGCACACCTGCCGTTGATGCCACTTTCTTGACCGTGAACAAAGACCCGAGCACGTGCGACAGAAATCAGGCTGCTGATAAGATAACGCACCAACACCCCTGGCGCGTTTGTTTCTTGCGACAATCCCAAGCTTAACATCAGCAATATTGGTGGCATCTTTTTTCGCATTCTTCGACCCGGATCGCGACCCCGAAAACACCACCATGGGAAAGCGCAAGTCGTCTAGTAAGCCTATGGGGCCCAAAAAGGTTTGTAGTTTACACATAGCGGTCTTGAAGACCCTCCGCGCTCACGCTAAAGCCAGTCCACCCCCCTGCCTACAACTTTCGCATGCCTTTTCTGCAACCACGAGAACTCGGTCTCTGTCAAGCTTGACAAGAAGGCTGGCGTTGGCCAGCTTGACTGCCGCATCTGCGGACAAAAATTCCAGTGTGCCGTCAACTGTACGATACAGCCATCTCAAGCCTCGGGCGCATCAGCCACTAACTTTGCGACAGACCTCTCCGCTGCGGTCGATGTCTACGGCGAGTGGGTTGATGCAGCTGGTACGCCCCCTAATATCCCGATGCTTTACGATGCAACAAGGTGCTGACTGATTTGATTAGACTCGGTAGCCAAGGGGGAGAGTGCGGACGCCGGTTACACCGGAACCTCTCGCGGTGCAGGATCTGGACGTGCCGCGGGCGGCCGGTCAGCGGTCGATAACGATGAAGACGATAGACGGTCCTACGAGGGCGAGTATGATGATTATTGAACGTTTCTATGCGCCCTATCTCAATACCAAGACATACGTCATTCAATAACCGACAACCTCCCTCCATGCGCTTGCGACACAAACGAACAAATGACCTCCTCGATGGTTCTCTCAAATGGTGTAAAAACGGTCGCCAAAGTCTCCCAGACCAGGAACGATATAGCTGTTGGAAGGTCAGCATGTGCATTGACTTGTTTAAGTCTTCATACTTTTTCTCGTCAAGCCCCTGTGGATGTTGGTCAGCCAGTGGTTTCATGCGATGTGTGCAAGCGAAATGACGAACCTGGTCGATGAAAGCCGTCACGACCCTCAAGCGGGGGAACTTGGCAGAGAAGCTCTTGACACCCTCGGGGCTGGCAATCAAGTTGAGGAACAGAATGTGCTCCTCCGGCACGCCTCGCGCCTTGAGGACCTGAACTGCCATGGTCGCCGAGCCGCCTATTTCGTTTGGTCAACATATTTGCCTGCGTGAAGAGGATAAACCGTAGAGCGGAAAGGAAAATCGAGTACCTGTAGCGAACATGGGATCCAGGAGAAGCACCCATCTGTGGGCAATGTCCTCGGGTAGCTTGTCGTAGAACAACTTGGGCTGCGCTGTCTCCTCGTCCCGCTGGATCAGAATCTTGCCAATGCGGACGGAGCGGCAGCAATCTCGAAGACCCTGCTCCATAGCCTCGCCAGCTCTCATGATGGACACGCCGCAAATCTTTCCCTGGAACATGAGACCGTTGTAGGTGCGACCCACAGGTGTGGTGACGGTGTGCTCAATGACGGGCAGGTGGTTGAGACCCTCCTCGACCAGCAGTCGAATGATGCGGTTCGAGTAAAAGATGAAGTCTGCTCGGTCTGTTTCCTTGCTGCGAATCATCCTAGACATTCTCAGCTCCGTGATGTGGTGACCTAATTGGGATCTGAGACGTACGACAGGAGAGCAATGAGCTGAGGGGTCTGAGGCAGGACATGGACATTGTCGAGGTTGACATTGACAGAGACGGTCGCGGTAGGCTTCTGCTGGTGATCACGGTATTCAGGGCCGACGCCAGTCGTAGGAGCCTCCTGGGTCGTCTTGTCCGTCATGTTAGCGGTTTGGAACTGACGTCGGTATTTGGAGTAAGCGGTTGATAGTGGGAGAAGGATTCAGAGCTGCCACAGAGCTTTGGTGGGACAGGTGGGGTTATGATTTTGAAGTTGAGGCGTCGAGTGTTGCGTGTCTATTCAAGAAACCAAGAGTGAATAAGAAGATTGAGCTTGTGCGAGAGGAATTATCTTTCATATGAACCTTCGAGGATAAGAGTCTGGAGCCCTGCATTGCCCGCTATTTCGAAGCTACCTGCATATGCGCAAAACGGGGTCTGTAGAGCCCACGCGGGGGGATTCCAATGGCGATGCGACGAGGCCGGAGTCGACCGCGTCGCATTGATAACAGTGGAGTTGGCGCCCGGTACTTCTGCGTTCGCACCAAGACCACTACGCAGAAGGTACTCGTCGGTACTTTTTGTGTCAGTGACAAGTTCAAGGTAGAAGGGCTGTTTATTTTATTTTTGGCACTTGCAATATTCACACTAAAGGCCTGGCGTCGTTATCCGAAGAGCCGCAACGTTTCAACGTTAACAATTACCCTCACGCTACAGGACCCTTTGAGGTGCACTCAATCAACGAGCACCTCCCCCAGGACAACTTCCTCCTGTCATCCCACTGCAAGCACCCGAGCTTGCAGAAACCCGTGCCTACCCGCCCTTCCTTTGTGTGTTTAAATCGTACTCTGGCAATCATCGATTCCCTTGTTCACCTGGCCATCTCGCATCACGTCGCCTCGCCCAGGCCCTAGGTATATGGCTTAATCCCATCCCAGCCTCCGTCACCGTCGTCTCAAACGACACGGTCGCGATGGCATCGCGAAATGGCCCAACCGCGCCCACCCCGCGGAAGCTGGTGACGTATGGCAAGCCCTCGCGCAAGAGGCATATGCAGAGTGCGATGCCGCTGCGAACTGCCGAATCGTACACGACATCATCAAGCCACGTCGAGCCCGCCGAACCTGTCGCAAAACCATCGGCGCCCTCGCTCCCAAGATCAACATCGGATCCATCCCCGAGACTCCATGTTAACAGTCGACCGAGCGCGCCCGGTGGGTCAAGCCGCGCGAAAGCCGGGGAAGGACAGAAGACGGAGTCGCGAGATGCGACAGACTCGAAGAAGCGAAAGCGCCTTCAAGCTGCGCTTGCAGAGTCGATGGATGATGACGGAGCCCCTTCACCACAGAAGCAACCAAAGCCTACGAAGACGCTTCCACGACATCCGCCAGCCGCAACGTCCCAGAACGATGCCAAGATCCCTGATCTCCCTCGTCGCGAACCCTTGATGAAAAAGAGCCCTAAAGACGCAGGCGCTCGTTCCCGCCTTCTACCTCGAAGCAAGTCTGATATATCAGCAACTAAATCCAGCCTCGGACCGACGCCGATTCCCAAGAGCCGCGAGCCGGAAACGACGAGGCCTAAGAAGCGACGTCCACGATTGATTGATGCGCTCGCCGCCCAGCGACAGGATAGCCCAGATTCCGACGATTCAGCCCCAGAAGTCGATCATCACAGCCCGCCATCGCCCGTATACAGCGGGGCGGCAACGCCTTCGCAGCAATCACAAGACAACTCTCAAACCAACTCCCAATACAATTCTCAAGATGCGACCATTCGGCCGAGAGCTCGCCCTGCGGGTGTTCAAGGGAGACGAATAAAGTATACCTATGGACAATCTCGATCGATTCTAAGCGAGTCCTCGAAACTCAGCGAGCCTGGAATGGGGGCAGGCATGGCTACCACAGAGGAAGAGTTGGACGCGCTGCTCGCTTCACCACCCCCACCACCAATAAACCCGGACCCCTTTGATATGAGCGATGTCGACCTGGATGACGACGGAGATGTGCGTCCCGCAATCAAGAGCGTACACGAGTTGCGGCGGGCGGGAGCGAACAATCGATTCGCCGACGAGATGGAGGATCTGCTCGCGCGGATAGGAACCCCTAGCAGTTCTCCCTCAACCATGAGGAGGAATGCGTTACTGGAGCTTGCACAGAAACTACAGCACAAGGACTTTATCGGCCAGTTCCGCGACCATGCCACCCGCGATAAAATTGCTACCAACATCGGTCAAGAAGAAGATGTGGTCAGCGGGTTTGCTCTGACGGCCGTCCTCGTCACGTTTCTAAACTTCACCGATGCGGCGCATCTCCTGCGCCAGCTGGTAGATGACGGTCTAGGCAAGTTGCTCGGTGTCCTTTTGCATGCATCCGAGGACATTGATGAGATTGTACAACGAAAAATGAGACTTTCCAAGATGAGCAGGGCTTCTGTCAGCCAAGTCAAGACGCTTCTCATGAAGATGGATATTTGGCAAGGACGTCACCTTCAGGAGCTATCACCCCAGACGCTTGCTCTGCAGTTGCTGAACATAGTATGTCAGCGCACCGACCCTCTGCAGTCTTCAGGGGTCATCAGAGACATTGAAAGCGATCTCACTGTCATTATGGAACGTTGCACAACTGTAGACCCGAGCACCAACGCGGTGTTTGCTCTTGTGGTCTCAATTTTGGAGACACAATCAAGCCAAGCTGTGGGCGATGAAGAGGAGGTCTCATGGGTATCTCAGCAGACATCTAAGGTTGCCTGCTTCCTCAACAACAGTCTGCGGCAGTGGCCAGAAAAGCCTGGCACTGTCGAGACTACAACACTCAAACTCGCGATCAACATGTCAAACACATCACATGGAGCAGCAGCTTTCAACGACGAGGTTTTACTGGCGAGACTTGCCAGCTGCATGCGTGCAGGGTTCAAATCAGCGCTGGATGCGTTGAGCAACAAACGCCTACGAGGGGAAACTTATGATGGACTCCTCCTAGTGCTTGGTGTGGCAATCAACATCCTGGAGCATTGCCCGCCTGCTCGCGCTAACATCGCCGGTGAGCCATTGGACGGCCTGGTGACCTTGTACCTACAAAACCAGGCCTCGATGAGTGAGGTGAGCCCCCCCCCCCCCCCCCCACAATTCATGTATATCTCCAGAGCTAACAAGAATGATCCAGGCCGACTCTGTAGAAAAGTCACAACTTACGGTGGCCTTTGGGTACCTCGCGGTGCTGCTGGGTTATCTGTCGCTGATAGACTCAGCACGACAACGGTTCGCAGAGCAGGCGGGAAGTGGAGGGATCTCGAGCCTCATTGGATCGATCCAGGAGTTCATCGGAATGTATAGGTCCGTGGACAACAAGGTGACAGAGCTCGAGGGGCTTGTCAATGACCTCCAAATCCGACAGCGGATGAAATAGATGATATGGGTTGAGCTGGTGAGCATTCTGGGCATTATACTAAACTAGAGGCTTTGCTTGTAGGAGGAGGATATAAAGTCCAAAGGCGACGGATATGTGCTTTGAGAACAACTCTTATGACATATGGATACCTGCTTCAAAGTCGATGATGCCACAATGTGAGCTTGATAACCCAACATGAGTACCATTTCGTCAGGGAGGCTGATATGCACATATCCGGCTTGGGCGTGACGGATAACCAACCAGTATGCAGCGAGCGAGGAGCACAACTTTAACCAGCAATCCCGGAAGGTTTAGGCGTCACCTGCACGGACCAAAGTTACCTCAGGTATGATGCAAGGGGAGGGGGAGGGGGGAGATCCGGTGGGGGGGGGGGGGTTTAGTTAACTTGGGACTGGACCGGACGCAAGTCGGTTGAGTCTGTCTGGTTGCACTGACACTTACACTTGACGTACACCTGAACTTCCAGGCTGTTACACTGGCATCCATCATCCATCCAAACTCCGATCATACATCCCGTCGCCCATCAACTCGCATCCGTTTCGTTTTCGTCCGTACAGTAACTGTGACTGCGCCGGCTGTAGGTCTCGGCTCTGTACCGCCACCTGTTCCCTTTTTGGGCTTCTCCCCCAGCATCTTTACCCGGCTCCAAACCAAGCGGCAGTTTCTCCAACTGCCCTTCTCTTGTTCCACTCACTCTCTCTCGCCCTGCGTGTGCGATCGCGACAGGACGCTGTTCCACCATGCCTTCTCCCAAGCAAAGAAAGGTCGCCATTGTCGGCAGCCGCTCCGTCGGTGAGTAATGATCCGTACTGATTCCCCCTCTTGATGTTGGAATTTGCTTCTGCGAGTGTCTGGTGCAGACAGAGCTGACAGAGATGGATCAAACAGGCAAGTCGTCTCTGGCGGTGCGGTTCGTGGACGGACACTTCGTCGACAGCTACTACCCCACGATCGAGAACACGTTTAGCAAGATGATCAAGTACAAGGGCCAGGACTTTTCTACCGAGATTGTCGACACGGCAGGCCAAGATGAGTACAGCATCTTGAACTCGAAGCATTTTATTGGAATCCACGGGTACATGCTCGTCTACTCGGTATCATCGCTGCCCTCGTTCGAGATGGTGCAGGTCATTCGGGAAAAGATTCTAAACCACCTGGTGAGCCTCACACCTCTGCGACGAGAGCGCCAGAAAGCTGACAGTTTGATCGTCTAGGGCACCGAGTCGGTCCCCATCGTCATCGTTGGCAACAAGAGCGATCTGCGACCTGAGCAACGGCAAGTCACCCCCGAGGACGGGCAGAAGCTCGCCGAGAAGATCCAGTGCGGCTGGACCGAGGCGAGCGCGCGGTACAACGAGAACGTGGGCAAGGCCTTTGAGCTATTGATAGCGCAGATCGAAAAGTCGCAGAACCCTGGCGAGGCACCCGCGAAGAGCAATTGCGTCCTGATGTGAGGCAATTGCGAAACTCTCTCTTCTCCCCCAAAGAAGCCCATTCCACCACCCAGACGATCACGATCACGATGATGATTCGGAGCCGCGGGGCAAAAAAACCCAGGTGCCCAGGCCCTGTCCTGTCGTTTCACAGGGTCACAGGGCACAAGGTGGTTCGGGATGGTCAGGACATGGGCTTGATTCAGAGTCCTGTTTATGGCTAAATTCTCCGTGGTGTCAGATTTTGTACGCAGCCATCATCGACGACTGCCAACTTTGTCCTTGTCTTGTCATTTCCTCTTCATGTCTTGTCTTCTGCCTTATTTACAACTAGAGTATACGGTTCAATCAACGGGTTTGGTTTTTTTTGGTTTAGAATTTTCTTTGGAAGAATCTATCCCTGCCCTGACTCATGGCCGGGATGATGTCCTGATTCGTGACTGACGCCAGGGAACTTGTTAGCTTGGACATGGGGTTGACAATAGCTGCAGAGGAAGCTCGCAACTACCGAGAGGTGCTATCTGTCTTTTTGTACATCCCCGGTCCTAGGTAGGTCATTGGTTCCTGATATCTGGTTCGGGCCTTGTTTGTAAAGGCTCAATCTGCTGTTGTTTTCTTGGCGGTCTGCATCAGCAAGTTTTGGGACCATCATGTGAATGCTTGCGACTCGATTCCAGAACTTGGCCCCATTCGGCCGTTCCCGCTATCGGATCCTTGGTGGCTGCATCGGCCTCGCGTATGCAATTCAGGGTCGTATTAGCACCGGGAGAACGATTCGAGATCCGCGGTCTCGGTCATTGGGTTGCATGCCTGCACTGACTGTGCTGTAGAAGAAAAAGTTGGGAATCCGATGCCCTTGTCTTGGCTATTCACCGGTGAAATGAAATGAAATCCACGGGATTTGCTGTGTCGCCGTAAAATCCGGATATAGAAATTTGTATTGCTGCCATGGAGTTGTTTCCCATTGCTTGTCTTGTCCCAAAAGTACCCATCTTAAGTACCTTGCCGCCTAAACTTTGGGCTGAATGTACTTTGGCCACTGAGACCCTACGTACAGGTGGTACGTGTGCAGGCATCACAGCCTCAATTTACATCTCACCGCGCATCAGCCCTTTGTCCTCCGTCCTTTATCACGGCCCCTTACAAAAAAAGAACAAGACACACAAAGCAAAAGACTCACTCACCAGGTGGAGAATACCCAGATTAGACCTCTTCTTTTTGTTCTCTCTTTCTTTCCTTCCCATGTCCTTACAAGTGATACCCGCCCCTGGCTCATAACACCCATTCTCACCAATACCCTCAAACCTCAGCCTGATGCCCAATCCCGACCCTGCCACCGACTGCCCCTTCTGCGGCTTCAAGCCCGAAAGGGGTGAATATGAGCTCCTTCTAGTACGCATGCCTCTCTTCCCCTTTCACAACCCCTGAATATTATTGCTTTCTTCACCGCCCCTGAGGAAAAAAGCCCGAGGACTAAGAACGCACCTACCCCCTAGCATATTGACACTCAGCACCCCGACGATCAGTCCGCCGGCGAGGATCCCGTCCCCTGTCCACAGGATGGCTGCGGTGAGCTCGTCTCGCCGGATGAGTTAGCGTATCATCTAGGGCTTCACGAGCTCGAGGCACAGGAGCCAACCCCGGAACCGCCAGCCGTTCCCCCCAAGCCCGATGGCGGCGGTAGCAGCTCTAGGAAGCACGAACCGAGAAGGCCGAGGTCCTCCTCCAAGGACAACTCGCGTAAGCACCGAAGTGAGAAAAAGGTCAGTGCCATACAGGCGTGGAAGGATCTATTCTCGGGGACCAGCAGCACCAGTTCCGGGCGTGACCGCGGGTCGAGCAGTAGGACACGGCACAAGACAAAGAGGTCTGCCGTTGATGGAAGCACGAAGCGCTCCTCAAGTCGGTCTGAGGCTCCTCAGCCAGCAGAAGAGGGGGAGTCAAGTCGAGAGTCAAGCCGAAAGTCCAACCGGTTAGGGGTATGCGGTCTCCTGGTCTTTATGAGTGTGTAAGGCTGAGACTAACGGGACAGAAATCCGAGCTTGGTCGGTTTGCGCACGAGAAACGGATGCCATCCTGGCTCGTAGACCTCCTGCAGGATCAGGGCCAAGTTGTCAATGATGGTAAGTGCCACTACTCCTAAACTCCTTGTCCGTCTCTTACACACAATTAGGTGTCCAGCCAGTTCTCAAACAGCTCCTCGAACAGAACCCTGAAACTCAATATGCATACTTGTGCCATCCTGAAGTGCAGCATGTTTCCAAGTTACGACGAGAGGGTAAGCGCATTCTCCAGAACTCACCTTTGTCAGTAAAGGCAGTCTAACACTGGCAAACAGGTGGCTTCTGCGGTTACAGAAACATCCAGATGCTCATCTCGCACATGATTGGTGCCAAGACACCAGGTTCAGAGCACTTTGCTGAAACTTTCCCCTCTGTTTTCCAGATCCAAGATCTCATCGAGAACGCTTGGGACATGGGCATTAATGCTCAAGGTCGCGTGGAGACGGGAGGTGTGAAGGGAACCCGAAAGTACATCGGCACGCCAGAGGTATTCTATTTCAACACATTGCACGTGGACTGAGTTGACCTGTAGGAAATAGGCACAAGCTGTCTTTCTAAGCCTGGATATCACGTAAGTCAAGTCTAGAGCCGGTTGGGAACTGTGACTAACTTGAGCCTCAGTTGCTCTGTCCAAGCCTTCAAGGACAAGGAGCGAGGACGGTCCAAGTCACGCCTCTTCGAAGCCGTCGAGGGCTACTTCCAGGGCGGCATCAAGAACATCGAAGACAGGATCCGCGTAACAGACCTCCCGCCAATCTACCTGCAACATCCAGGTAAGTACATCTACATCACACACACGGGAAAAACACTAAGCAGTGAGTATAGGGCACTCCTTGACGATTGTCGGCATTGAGAAGCAGATGGACGGCCACATGAACATCCTCGTCTTCGACCCCAGCTTCCGCGACTCATCCAAGATCCGAAGCCTCATCGGCAGAACCGTTCAGCACAAGGCATCCTCAATCGACGAGTCACTGCACCCGTACCGCCGTGGAGGACACTACTTCCGCAAGTACAACCAGTTCGAAGTGCTATAGTAAGCTGTCTATCTCCCCCTTTTTTTCTCTGCATGGAAGTCGTTTTGCTCATCTAATTGCGAAAAAACCTCTAGTCTCACAGACTATGCCACCATCCCGTAGTCTCTCATGTTTTTCTATCACCGAATCTTTTACTGCTGCTCCTTGAACCAAGCCTGCAGCTTGGCCAGCGCGCGGCTTCGGTGGGAGATCTTGTTCTTTTCAACCTTGTCCATTTCGGCGAACCTGGGGATGTTAGCGAACAAAGCAAGCAATGTTTTTTATCTCATTTGGTTTGGAACGTACGTTTGGCCTTCATACTCAAAGACAGGATCCCATCCTGTTGAAAGTCAGCTTTAGAATTATTGTGCTCGCTCTATAGAACGCCTCACCAAAGTTATTGGGTCCTCGAGCAGGAACAATCTTGCCCTATGGGTACTGTTAGTAAGAAGAAGATGCATAGGATAGAGGGGTTTCCGTACGGGGCAGCGGCCTTGGAAGAGAATGACCTTCTCGCCTGGTCCAGCACAGTAGCCAAATGTGCAGACAGCCTCGGCAGACTTGTCGGTATAAGCAGCCAGGAGGTTGTTCAAACCCTGGTGACCGATGGTAGTCAAGAACCACTTGCTTCACCTATATGTCAGTATGGCGTTCGCTAGAAGCAGCTCCAATAAGCCGCTACACAACATACATGTACGCTCCAGGAAGACCACCCAGCGCCGTGTAGCACAGCGCGGTATCCTCGACCAGCACAGGGCCCTTCACCTACAATCCAGTTAGACAAGCTAAACATGACAAATAATATCAATAAAACTCATACCAACTCAGCAGCCCTGCGGCACTTGGACTCTGTAACCTCCTCAAGCGTACCCTGCACCTCCTCAAGATCAATAGACTTGCTCGTCACCTCAATCTCTGGCTCGAGGATAGCCTTGACCTCGCGCAGCTTGTTGGCATTGCCAGTGATGAAGTTGACCTTGTGCGCAGCCATTTCAAAAATCTGAGAGACAAAAATTATGTGTAGATCAGAAGGAATCTCGAGATACTTAGGCTGCGTAGTAGGTCCCACTGGTTGTGAAAAGATATGCACTTGTCCGGTAATCGGAGAGCACCTTTAGCAGCAAAAACACCATTAGAGAGATTCATCGCCTGTTCCAGGGCTTGCATCTAAAAATCTATTTTCACCAACCGAGTCCCCTTCAAGTCCATCCAGTGCAAAATCATCTTTAACCTCCCAAGCTGCCCATTAAATTGTCACAAGTAGCTTCCTCTGTAGTCCGATGTCATTGCTCGCTGTTGTCCTTCTTCCACTGCTTCGTCCAAGCCTCGATGCGATCAACATTGGTCTCCATCTCATCAGAAGTGTTGCTCGTCAACTCAATGACAATCTCCTCATCAAAGGCCTCGTGCGCCTCCTGTAGCAGCACCTCCATAATCTCAGAGTCGAGGTTTTCCTGGAGCTTAGACTCGGGGTAGTTTCTATAGAGTGAAGCCGTGTTAGCCAAGTGATGCTTGTCCCTCCCAAGTCTTCATGATCACAGTAAAAGCCTGGGAGTAAGGAGTTATGTTAAATCGCATACCTCGCCTTGAGACGATCATAAAGCGTCGAAGAGTCGACTCGGAGTACCACGACCAGATCGATCCAGCTCTTGGGGAAAAGATCGCAAGCGTGCCAGTCGATGATGCAACCACCAGCCTTGACATCATCCTCGATAGCATCCAACAGCTACAGCACTCCAGCATTAGCCTTGATCTTTGTCTTGCCTCTCCTCAAAACCTCCTAGGAGTATCCTCCTTGTCTCACCTTATCCTCGTCAACGATCCAGCTGTGATACTCATCACTCCATCCCTCATGGCACTCCTTGTCCTTGACCACTTGGTTGACAGAAAGGTGACGAAGACCAGTTCTTTCCGCCAGACTCTCGCAATGAGTCGTCTTTCCAACGCCGGGCGTCCCCGTGACGATAATGTTTGGTGAAGTTCGCATGGTGATTATTGTATTTGTAGCTGAGGTTTCATCTCATTCTGTGGTTGCAGAGATTGATTGGCCTTCAAGATTGGGCACTCTCTTGAATGCATGTAGGCGGAATTTTATCATGCACGTATCGAGTCGTGCGGCTCTGTTAGATGAATATCCATCCTCAACTCCAGATCCAAGTCACTCAAGATCAGGAACAATAGTTGAACAGAAAACAACCACAAGATCGATCGCTTCGTACTCTCGTCTCTCGCGCTCTCCAATACAGCCGTATCTCATCTTACAATAGATAGAGCCAAGTCCAGCGCCCCTGCCGACTTGCGGAAGGAGGTCACTGATCTTACACTCTGAATACATGACGCCGTCAAGATATGGGAGACAGATGCCCGAGTGCTCCAGTCCCTCCAGATCCGTTACGGCTACACGCCGCCATTAGAAAATTCGACATCGAACACCCTGAAAATGCGGCTTCTATCCCTTATGTGCCTTCGAAATGCCTAACCCAGCTTCATTATCCTCTACTGTTCTACCTCCACCTCATCAACACCAGCCAGTTCGTCCGGTGCGTAATCCTCGTCTCCCTCAGCATAGTCAAACTTCTCCTGCTGAGCGATAGCTTGTGCTGACACAATCTCAGCCAGCCTCTTGAGGCGAGGAGTTTGGAGCCCTGCATATCGAGTTAGTTATAATGGTTTCCCTTTGCAAATCATATCGGAAACTTACAAGAAGGAGTATAAGTCTCAAGCGCCGTAATGACACGGGGTTCGGCGATCTCGTAAGGACCACTGTCGTCCATGTCCACGGCCTGGAGGAGCAGCACGTCGCTCTTCTCAGTTACCCGCGAAGCCACAGCCTTCATGATCTCTCCATTGATCGGCTGCTCGTAATCAGCAACCAGGTACTGGTTGAGGAGCTTCTGGATCTGGTTTGGTGAGAGCCTACGAGTAGTTAGTACCAAAACTCTACGACGACAACTGAGTTCTGCAACTTACATCCAGCAAATGTCCTGAATGATTTCGATATCGTTCAAGGTGGCCTTCTTGAGCTGAAGAAGCTTGGTTGCTTGCTATTCGATTGTCAGTACGTTATTCTGCACAGCATCAAGAATGATACTCACCATCAGATGCTCCAGCTGAAGCGTGCCTTCGGGCATATCGTGGCTCTTACACCATTCCTCAATGCGCGTGATGTTGTAGTTGATCTGGAGGCCACGCTTCCATGAGAGGAAATTTCGTCGCATGAGGAGGTCGTTGAAAGCCGTCACACCCACCAACCGCAGGAGCTCAGTGATGGTCTGGGTGATGATGGAGTCTTCCAGGTAGTACGCCTTCATAGCGCGGAAGACGCTGTTCAGCAGGCTCAGGAGGTTGTCCATGCTGTACGCCGGTGTTGAGTTGGACTGGAGGAGCTTGCCCAGGAATCGACTGCTCTCGTTGGTAACGAAACCAGGCAGAGACTGGGACTCGATGATGGCCGGGATGATCATCTTGTGCAGCTTCTTCTTCAACACCTTCATCCAAGTGTGATAGATGTTGAACTCTAGACTCTCGAGGTCGTGCTTGACAATCTCCAGGAGTCGGTCGTACTCATAGTTGTCCGACTTCTGGGCCTCGTACCAATCCTCGGCAAGGAACACGAACGAGAGCATCTCGTGCACGTTGGACAGCCAGAAGGAACCGGGGTTGATGGCCTCGTCGCCATCGTGCTGCATCACCTCCTGCTGGATAGACTGCATCACATTTGCGAGGAAACGTTCCGACTCCTTGACGAAACCGTTGTTCCACATCTCTGATGTCACCAGGTTGATGAGATATGAAGGGAAGAGCACCTCCTTGTCTGAAGGTGGAGGGGTGGTGTTGGGAGAGGGGATCTTGAGGTTCTTGATCAAGCCCATTGTTACCTCCTCGTTGAGGCCATCCTCGTCCGCAAGAAGGCCCTCGAGCTCCATCTCGATATTATCAACGCCAGGAAGGAAGGTCGAGCCAGAAAGGTTCTGACGATGTGCCGTGCTAGTAACCGCCATGGAGACCGGCCGAGGGTTATAAGTACCGCTAAAGCGATCAAGCTCCCGTGGTTCCGCCCCGGCGCTGCGGCGCTTGGGCTTCTTGGAGGAGACCAGGTTGATAAGCCCAGAGGCTGCCGGAAGTGCAGGTACTGTTCCATTGGCGAGCTCTCCATTGATAGGAGCGTTCCTCCGAGCCATCTCCAGGGCGTCTCGGAGAGCCTCGAGCTCCTGTCGGAGGCTCATGTTGTCCTTCTCGTGCTGGGTGCTTGTCCTCCTTGCTGTCTCCAGTTCCGAGTTCGTTGTGCGCAGAGACTCCCTCAGCTCCCGTTCCTCCTCTTGCATTCTCTTGATATTCGCCGTTGACTCATCAAAGGCAACCTGGAGCTTCTTCATCTCATCCTCCATTGCTTGCAGTCTGGCGACGGCAATACCGGCTTGGTTGGCTTCTGTCTGAAGCTCCTTCGTTCGGGCTTCCAAAGCGTTATGGCGGTTCTTCCATGACTTGATCTGTCCCTCGTAGTTCTCCACCTGTGATGCCAGGCTCTTGTTCTTCTCCTTCATCGAGCCCAGAGACTGTGTGAGCTCAACGACCTTGTTTTCGAGCTTGTAGGAAATCTGCTTGAGGTCGCGAGCCTCCTCACGAATCTTCTTGTAATCCTTGCGGGCCTTCCTACCACGCCACAGGCTCTGAATCAACACCACCTTCTTGCGGTATTGTCTCCAAGACCTCAGCTGTCTTCGTGACCTCCATGATCTCTGGATCACAAGCGCGGCATTACCAAGGCGTGTCTCCATAATGTTCTTTCTCCGAAGGTATCCCTTGGCAGCTGACTCGAAGAGCACCATATCTCTCCTGATGCGCAGGAAGGTCCTGCGCTGCTTCTGTCCACGCCAAACACGCTGGATGGTAATGGCAGCCTTGATGGTGCGGAGCTCCATAGCCTGTTTCCTGGCCTTCCAAGCCCTGATAGCAGACTGTGTGCGGATAACCGCCTCACGGGCCTCAAGGTAGCGGCGTCGGTAGTATTTGGCTCTCAAGTTCTTCTGAATCATGATAGCACAGTCATTGAGACGGTTGGTTCGAAGATTCTCGAGGAAGGCAAGCATACCAGCTCGGAAGAAGATCTTGGTGAGACCGAGCTGGTACTTGTCAAGCCCCTTGCTGGTGCTGGTTCCGAGCGCCTTCTTAAGGATGGCATCGGCCATTTCGCGAATCTCGGAGGTCCATTGATCAGAGCGCACCAACATGTAGTATCGGAGAGCAAACTCCTCGTAGGTCCATCGAGTTGGGTAACCAGCACAACTAATGCGGACGGTCTCGAGAACACCACAAGCACGGAGCTGGCTGAGAACCATGGGTCCCTCGAACTTCCAGGCTTCCTTAGCCTCGTTAGGCTTGATACATCGGATGTAGTGGACATCGGTGTTGTTGATGGTGCCCATAAGCTCGATCAGCGAAGATCGGAAGATACCTCCAAGTGTGGGCTTCCTGTTGACAGCAACGCCGATCTTCCTACCACCGGCGGGCTTAACGGCGTTGGAGGAAGACGACGCAACATCCTTTTCTCGCACTGCCGAGGCAGCCTCCAGGACCTTCTTGAGGAAGTCGTTGCTCGAGGCACGCAGGACAGCCATGTGCTCATCAGGGACAGTATCACGGTTCTTTTCGATGAAGCCCTCAGACTCATAGGTGACATCGATGGCATAATGGCAGACTGTGAAAGCTGACTTGCCGAATCTGGGCTTCTTGTAGAACTTGTGCTTGTCGGTAGAGAAGTTGTGGTGAAGCTTGGTCACAAACTGCTCATCGGAACCCATGGGAAGACGAGACTCCTCGTCAAGCAGGGACAGAATACCCATACGGCCTTCAATCAGGTCGATACATGGCTGGTTGTCAGAGAAGTCAATAAAGGTCCAATCAATCTGCTCCCTGAGGTATTCTTCTTGCTCAAGCTTGAACACGTGCTGGTTGAATTCCTGCTGAAGCTTCTCGTTGGCGTAGTTGATACAGAACTGCTCGAACGAGTTCTTGGCAAAGTGCTCGAATCCGTAGATATCCAGGACACCAATGAATGAGGTCACGCGGTTCAGGACCTCCTCAGCAGCCAGACTGTAGTTAATGATTTCAACCAGCCAGTCAAAGAGACTGGAGTAGATGAACTTGGCGACGGAATCTCGGACAACGATGGCCTGAGCCTGGCTCAGGTTCGATGTGATCTTTTCACCGCGGGTGACGAGCTGCTTCTTCACGATCCACCGAGCAAACTCCTCCGCCTTGACACCGAGAATGTCACAAGCACGTTCCAGAGAAGGCTCAGTCGGGGCGAGCACACTGTCGTTACGCGATGCCGTGATCTTGACGTTACCGAGATGTAGCAGACCGGCCAAGAGCTTGAAGATGTCGGCTTGTTGAGCATCCGAGACACCAATGGTTGACAGAGACTTCTTGGTCGCTTCGAATTCGGCCTTGTCATCCACACCGTCGATGGTCGGGCAGTTTCCTTGGTTCAAGTACTCAAACTGCTCAATAGGCAGAAGGTTGAGCTCTTCCCGTTCCTTGTCCGAAGCACCAGCGACAAGCTGGTAGAAGATGTGGTAGTTTCGCTCCTTGAGAGGCTGGAACACAAGTCGTGAACGCTCGAGAAGATAAGTCCTGATCTTAGCACCGATAATATTTGTCTTGTCGTCGAACATGATCTCAATGTACTTTCCGAATCGAGACGAGTTGTCGTTTCGGGTGGTCTTGGCGTTACCGAACGCTTCCATGATGGGGTTGGTCGCGAGAATCTGCTCCTCGGTTTCACTCATGGCTTCACCTCGTTTGGAACGCGCACCAGGGTTGTCGGGAGACTCTCTGGTAGCAAAGTAACGCATGATGTACTTGGCACTGACAGTCTTTCCAGCACCAGACTCTCCGGACACGACAATGGTCTGGTTCTTCTTGTCTCGAATCATGTCCCTAGATCCAGAGTCAATCGCTGTATAAATAGGCTCGTTGGTGGGGCAGATCTTACATGAAGGCTTCCTCGGCAATAGCGAACAAGTGAGGTGCCTGGGTAGCTCGCTGTCTTCCGGCATAGACTTGGACCATGCCAGGAACATAGAGAGAATCGACTCGTGCGAAGGGGTTGGTAGCAATTAGAACGATACCACTGTATGTGTAGATTTCCTTCTGCAGGTATCGTAGCCTGATTGCTTGCAAGACTAGAGCAAGATGTCAGCATCAGCATTTCCAGTCCCACCGCGCAAATTCCGGTTCGGGGTTCAACGTACCAGCAGGCTCGTTGAGATGAGAAAGATTTGTAAGATCATCGCTGGCTTCGAGGACGGTAGGGTTCATCAGAGGCGGCAGAGAGGGATGGTTGCCGCTCTGGAGGGCCTCAACAGTGACATTGATGTCCTTGGTCTGCGGGGACGAAGATGCGGTCAGCTACCGACTTTGCGGAGTATATATAGAGAGATAGAGGGAATCATATTAAAGGAGGATATTGAGAAACGTACATCGCCATTCTCCAACTGAAAGGTGAGCTTGGCCTTGTTGCCATCAATGGTCTTATTGATAAGCTCTGAGGCTACCCATCCCTCAGCGGCATCGGGCTGCCATGCCCTTGTGCCAACCTCGTAGGTCGATGCCATGGCGGCAGTATGACCGGGCGCAAGGCCGGTGTATACAATCCGAGGATTTGAAGGCGCTTATATCAGAGCGGAGCGGTAGCAGCGGTTCTAAGGGGCGGACGAGGCTAGACGGCGGTGGGAGGCATTCAGTCGCAAATGGGGTCGTTGAGGAAAGGCAGCGCGGCCAGCCGGGGAACCAAGGTGCGATATGCAATCGTTGACTGTGTCGACGATGGCTGAAGGGCGTCTTGCGATCGATGCAAGCTGCAGGTCTGTTGAACGGGCCGTCGAACGTCGTTCAAAAGGTTATGCGCAAGTCGAAGCTGAGTATCGGAGGTCCTCCGTACTCGAAGAACAGAAGCGGAAGGGACCCTGAGGCGGCAAAAAGCAGCAGCTTCTTGACCCTTTTTTCTTTCCACGCAGCACACAAGAAGCTCGCCGACAAGGGGTCGAGCAAGAAGAGTCGCACAAGCCAAGGTAGAGTCAGAGAGACCTGGGAGAGTCAAAAGTTACGGATGCAGTGATGCCAGCACGCGTTTTGCTCCTGATTGAAAGGGCCGGGCGGCTGCTGCAGCGCACGGGGCACTGGAGAGTGAGAGGAACAGGGGGGCGGGGCAGCATGCGTTAGGGCTCAGATGTACATAGGGGCTCTGAGACAGGTACCACCGCAAGCATTCACAGCCACGCGGTACGCACGCTTCTCCTCCAGAGTACCTTTCGCACTAGGAGGGGCTCCCAACCTTCAGTTCATGGAAGCTCCTGGAGGTTCAGTGGATTAGGGGCTTAAGGACAGTCCCGCGGGCCAATGAGGGGCCGACCCGTCCGCGTCTTTTGGCTTTGTCTGGTCTCTTCTTGGTCTGGGGTGAGGACAAGCGAGACAAATGCATTTTTCCGATCATCAACGGCGCAAGCGGTGTCGGCACTGTGCTATAGCGAGGCGGTGGAGGGGAAGGGGAATGACAGTCGGTGAGCTTTCGACAGCGTTCTTCTTGGTCATGTTCCGACCCAGAACAAGCAGACAGCCCTGGAGCGACGGGGAACAGGAGCAGGAGACTTGAATGAGTGACTGGGGATCAGAGCTGAACCGTCTTGCCGCAAACCCCTTAACTTTGACGATCAAACACCTCTACTCCGTAATTAGAACGGCATTGTCCCGCCTACTGCTTCACTTGCAGAGCTGATTCCGCCCTTGACGAGAGGCTTGCAGCCAAGCAGCATACAGCACTCCGTCCACCATCAATACTTGGTCCTCAGCCTGATATTGCAGGACACTTACAGAAAGAACTTCTCATCTTAAAGGGGGATGCCAATTCTAAAATACCGGGGAAAAGATGATCAAACCCCCAGTCAGCTTCAGATACAACTCCAACCCCAGCCAACAACCGTCCCATCCCCACGTGTACGTACCACAGACGGCTTCATAACCCGAAACACCCTCGTCCTCCTGGAGAAACAGTCCAAGAAACTCAACCAACTTGTTGTTGCTCCCAACCCCCAGCAAGGCGCAAACATCCTTCTTTCCCTCCCCCGGGGAAAGCCCGTCGCGTTCGTCCGGTTCTCGACCGGTCCGGCTGACACGCATCAATCCTCTTGCACCTCAGTTGCTGCCCCCAAAAGCCCGTCATCCACCGGCTTATCCGCAGCCATCCACGCCTATGCAATGCATCTCGCATCGCATCCCCAACACTCAGTTAGCCCCTGACGTCAAAGAAACTCAGTCTACCTGAGCAAGGCAGAACTACCGTGTCTGCATCTCACCAACCATCAGCAAGCAACTTGAGCCGTCGGGTGCTTATCTGGTAAGCCAGAGCCTTCTGGTTAACTATTGGATCACACATCTTCAGAGCCAAGAACCACTTTCACACAGAGGTCAACAGAAAAGATATGGGTCCTTAACCTGTCTCACTTTGATGCGGATTGGTCCTATTTTGGTATTTCTAAGTTTGTGTTGAAGTCTTCTGCTCCATTCAAGGCCGCTAAATCCATGTCTTTTCCCATATACCCCGTACAGTGCTACCGACTCGCCCAGCCAGTCGATTCGGGGCTTCATTCCTGTATCACCAGCCCCTAGCACCAGCCGCAAAAACAATAACTACAGCCCCCTTTTGTTCCCTGACCGGATACATACAGTCCGCCACAGGGCAGAGTCCATCTCTTCCATCTTGCGCAGCGTTTCCTACCGGTCCACGATCTCCAGGTCGTGAGCTGAGTTGAGCATCCCATGGCTCGGTCCTTATTTAAGTATTCAATGCATCAATGCGTCATTGTCGATTCTGGGGATGGAGACGGGCCAGGAAGACTGGGCCGCCCCCTTTATTTCCCCCTTCGCTATACCATAATGACCAGTGCGTCGTTGGTCCCATCGCGTTTCTTTTGTTTCAAGGGTAAGGGTTGAACCTCACAACCACCATGCGGCCTCTGCTTCATTATTTAATACAGGACACGGGTCATGATACGAGCTGTGCATGCATTAGTTTAACGTCTTGGCTATGTTTTTCTGCGCTTGACTTACAGCTGAGAGCCTCGAGGCTGTCAAAGATATCCTTGATCTGCTCATACTTGACGCTGCTAACGTCGGCCATGAGGTAAGCCACGTCGCCTCTGCTGTCAGAGATCTGCTTGTCGACGTTGTGGTCACCAAGAATCTCGTTGACCTTTCGGAGCACACCGGGGACGTTTCGGTGGATGAAAATAACCTGTAATGCATGTCAGAATATTCCGATGCTTCCAAGTGATACAAGGCAAACTTACACGAGCGGTATCGGACTCGTCCAGAGTCAAAGAGCGCATCTGCACCTCGGGAACGTTGACGCTGCCCAGAGTGGTACCCTGGTTGATGTAGCGCACCAAAGCCTCGCTGACTATTAAAGAGTGAGTCGTGTTTCATCGAGATTTCTGCAAGGTGAACCTACCCTCGATACCAATGGCACGCTGAGCCTCCTCAGTGCTGCCACCAATGTGGGGAGTCAAGATGAGGTTCTTGAGGCTCCTCAGATCCTCGCCCCAGGTGTTGAGATCGTTGGTGAAGTAGTCGCCGTTAGCGGCGGGCTCCTGAGGGAAAACATCGATGGCGGCGCCAGCAATCTTGCCAGTACGGCTAGCCTTGATGAGGGCGGGAATATCGACAACGCTGCCGCGGCTAGCATTGATGAGGTAGGCGCCGGTCTTCATTTGATCGAACTGGGGGCCCGAGATCATGTTGCGGGTCTCGGGCAGATCGGGGACGTGCAGACTGACAAAGTCGGCCTCCTGGAGGAGCTTCTCGAGGGTCGGGACCTGGCTAGCGGTTCCCAGAGCCATCAGGGTCACCACATCGTAGTAAATGACATTCATACCCATGGCCTCAGCCAGGACGGACAGCTGAGAGCCAATGTGACCGTAACCAACAATACCTACGGGCCGTTAGTATTGACCTCCAAGCTCACGGTTCAGGGTATAATACGCACCCAGAGTCTTTCCACGAATCTCCCAGCACTTAGCGCTGACCTTGTTCCAGGTTCCACGGTGCATCTCATTGGATCGATCGCCGAGCTGACGAGCGAGGGTGATGATTTCGGCAATGACGAGCTCGGCGACACTGCGGGAGTTGGCGAAGGGGGAGTTGAAGACGGCGATACCATTGCGGGCAGCGTAATCGAGGTCGACCTGGTTGGTACCGATACAGAAGCAGCCGATGACGAGCAGGTTCTTGGCCTCACGGAGGACCTTCTCGGTGAGCTTCGTCTTGGAACGGATGCCGATGACTTGGACTTCACTGTCGCAATCGTTACGTTAGCACAGATGGCGGGGTAAGTAAGATTATAAGGGAGCTCAAAGCGAGGGGCATGTGAAGCTTGGTGACAATGGAGGGGCAATGTTGTCGCAGTAGAAAAAAAAAGTTGGAAATGGCGGGGCATTGCATCAACATACCGAATCTTCTCAATGAGCTGGTCCTCGGGCAAAGAGGTCTTGAGAGCCTCGACCTGGTAGCCCTGAGCCCTCAGGATCTCCTGTCCAGTGACATTGACGTTCTCGAGAAGCAGGATCTTGATATCCTGGGAGTTGAAAGGCTTGAGAACCTTGGGGGCGCCGCCACGGCTGGGGAGGTTGGCGGCCCAGCTAGGAGGAGGAGAGTGGAAAGAAGCGACTGGGGAGGTGGAAAGGTTCTGGTCCCAGCTGTGAGAGACTTCGCGCTGAGCAGCAGCAGAGAGGCTGCCAGCAATATTTTGAGGAGCAGGCGTCATGATGGTGTGTGGTTGTTTTGTTGGAGTAGAATGGAGGGGCAGATGGCGGCGGGGTGGTCGGGGGACTCGGAGGATGTTTTATCGAGAAACACGAGAGAGGTAAAGACAAGCCGCTTGCTGTTGTTAGGGAATTGCAATGCGGTTATTTTGGGGAAGCGAGAAATTGGTCAGAGACAAAGGGAGGGGCCCAATTGTATTTATGATGCGGCAAACGTTCTACTCCAAGCGCAAAGGCTATGATGACTCGTCCGCTTCCGCTCGCTTGGCGGACACAGCTACGTACGTTGCTCTTCCATCCAATGTATAAAATGTACCTCGACTTTGGATATCGGTCCGGGTAATTCACTGCCTACCACCTGCGACGGGCCGGACCCAGCTTCAGAATCCACGTGTAGAGATCTTCTACCGAGTTCCGATACCTGAGTCATCCAGAATTGATGCCATCGTTGCCGAATCAGAGCGCAATTCGCACTCGGGTGAGAGAGAAGACGGGATCAGGGTACCCTTGCAACTCTAGGTCACTCTTGGTGAAACTACATGAACTCGACGCAGCTGAGTGGGAGGGAAAAGTACGGGTACAAGGCGAAGGAAGTGAGCAGAAAAACTTTTCCCCCCGTTCTCGGCCGCGACCTGTCGTTCGACCTTGAGGATCGAAACAACAAATTAGAAGCCCTCCATCGAATAGCCTGCCTCGACTCGTCCCAGTGACTCCCCGCTAGCAAATTCCCGGGACTGACTGGACGCGCTTAGACGAGCCCAGCCCTGAAAGGGAGCCCCGTTGCAAGGCGGGTTCCCACATTATAAAAAATCGCCGCAGCATTCCTTTGACCCTTGGCCGAGACGGGTAATGCCACCATGCCGTCATGCAATGGCGTCAATCTCTGCATTTGCCGGCGGCGCGTGGTGGTCGATTGCTGGGCGATGCGTTGCCGCTTCCAGAAGTCCCGCGTCGGCCAAGTCGAATCTCGGTGCAGGATATGCAGCTCGGCGGCGGAGGCGGCGGTGATGGGCGGGGGATACACGGACATCACCCCGGAGCTTGCAGTACCTTGCATCGTAACCTCCGAATGGTTCCCCGGTTGATGAGTGTATAATGGTGACGGCAGTTGTCATTACCGGACCCTGTTGATGGCTCTCGGTGCTTGGTTCATTATGAAACCGTCGGCGAAACATTGTATTTAGCCGTCTACTTGTAGTAGCCTTACCCTATATGTGTAGAGTTGGCTAACGGATGCTCCTTTTTTGTGACGGTAATCGGCTTTCTACCTAGGGAGATAGTCATATGTGGATTTCAATGTTCATTCTCGTACCGATAAATGTATGGATCGTCTAGTGATTCATCATGTTGGTTGTCAATTGCGCATATGGTGAAATCCATAGTGTTGATTATTGATCCCCAGAGACTCCACACCGACAACCGCTTCAAATCGACTCCCATTGTCGTTGTAAACTCCACCAAAACAATCACAAGAGACACCAGACATTTCATGCTTGCACCAACATTTTCAGCTTACATTGTGGCAAAACTCATTCTCTATGTATTATGCACCGGAAAACCCTTGCACCCTGTAAGAACCATCCGTCACTAACCTTACCTCCATGCCAGGACGAAATTAACATCAGTGTAAGAAAAAATCAGAGACAAGAACCCCGAAAAACGAAGAAAAAAGAGGCTGCCAAAAACAAGGGAAACATGAGATGCGGGCCGACTCTGCCCCTCTGGCTGTCTATGAGATGGTTTCCAGTCCCAGAGTTTTGCTGCGAACTTTGCTGGTTCCTGCAAAAGATGCCTATCAACTGACCATGCTACCCCTTGAAAACGGCACCGGCTGGATCGCCGACCTGCTTCAACCGCTTCCTGTTTCTGTAGCCTTTTCTCCTGTCGCTCGCCGCCCGTCCATTTTCCGAGGTAGATCGGTGGCTTAGATGTAATCCTCAAACCCCACGGGACCCTTTCATGTCATGAGTGTGTGAATGCCTGGCGTCGATTTTATTATCGCTTTGCTCAGCTCTGTTTGCACTCGGCAGCCTCCTGCTTGGGCTTGCCAGACTCGTCCTGCACGCTGTTAGCTGAATAATGACATCTCGGGTGGGCCGCCACATACATCGTCGTCTGATTCCTCCTCGTCATCGTTCTCCTCGCTCAGGTCATCCTCATCCTCGTCATCATCATCATCGTCAAAGTCGGCACCGTCAAGCTCGTCGTCCGAGATCTCCTCGAAGGCGAGGGCCTCGCCAGTGAACCAGTCGATGGCGCGGGGGATCAGCTTCTCCTTGATGTCCTCACCGAGCTGGTAGTCGAGCTCGAGACGCTCCTCGATATCGGACTCGGCATCCTCGTCGTCATCATCGGTAGGAGCCTTGGGTGGCGAGAAGAAGTTGAAGAAGGACTCGGTAGGGACGGTCTTCTTAACGATACGGGTCTGCTTGGTGTCTGAAAAAGGGTCAGTTGAGCTGCTCGGTCTGGAAAAAGCGCAGCCGGTAAGTCATCACTCACTCTTGTTCCTCTGCTTCTTGCTCTCGACTCGGACAGTGAGGTCACGGCCGGGCAGCCACTCGATCTTGTCACCCTCAGCGTGGTCATAGATGAAGTCACCACCGTAACCGCTCTCATTCTGGTAGTAGTAGGTCTTGGAAATGGTGGTGTTCTTGAAGTAGTCGTTGGGGGCGAACTCGAAGATGAGGCGGAATCCGGGCTTGTCCAGGTACTCCATGCGGATGTCAGTGACGTGCTTGAGGGCACCCTCATCACGGTCGGTGATCATCTCGGCAAGGGAGATCTGGTTCTTCATGGCAGACAGCCAGAACTCGGGGATACCAGACACATTGTCGGGGATCTCAGACTTCTGCTCAGGCTTGGGGGCATCACCCTCAGCCTCGGGCTCGTCATCCTCCTCGCCGGCCTTGACCTCATCCTCGGTGGGCTCAGATTTTCCGTTGATGATGGCGGAACGCTTCTCGTAGAGGGGAGAGAACTTGGCGAAGTACTTCTTCTCGAGTTGAAGCACCTCCTCCTGGAACTCGGCCTCGAGCTTGGAGTGGTCCTTCTGAATGCCCTTGAGGCCAGCGACACGGCGGCGGACGGGAGCGGGCAGGGACTCGATGTAACCCGAAGATTGGCCCACGAGGGAGCCGAGACGACCCTGAATCATCTGGATGAGCTTGGGGTTTTGGGCGAAAACGGAAGCCGCGGCGGCACGGTCCAGATCCTCTATAGCGGGGTCAGAACAAGCTTCTTTGTGGTTTCTCGTTGACCGAGCAAGCGAAAAGTCGCAAAAATACACTCACCCTCCTTGATACTAGCGACGCCCGGCTGCTGAGCGTGGGAGGAGATGGGAGCGGTGGCAGCGGGAGTGTTCTGAGGCGTACTGAGTGAAGGTGGGGTAGTTAGCATCGTGGTCCGTGAAGCGGCGGGCAAAACATCAATAAAGGATGGCATCTGGAGTCGTAAAAATGACTTACGGAGCCACAGTCTCCTGAGAACGCTTTCCGCGAATCGGTTCGGCCATGGTGTCTGATATGAGGGGATCCGAAGATGCGCTTGGGATACGTCTTGGGGGAGACGGAAGATGAGGTTGAGAAGGAGGAAAGGAAGTTGAGGGAGCGACGGCCGTTGACGTTTGCTAAATTTTGGTGGGGGGCGACAAGTTGAAAAAAATTTGGCTGGTAGGTACACAAGCAGCGCTCTCACTTGTTGGGCCGCCCACCAAGCACCAAGCTCAACTGGTCGATCGCCTAAAAAACCCAGACTGTGTGAAAGAGGGGACGCTCTAGGCTTCTGGGAGAGGCGGGAAGAGGGGTGTGGAGCGTGGAGGCGCTGTGAGATAGCGGAGAAGGGAGACAACAGAAGGGAGACTGAGCCACAGAAGGACAGTGCGTGAAGCACAGTAGCCGCACTATTCCCACCGACCGCCCATTTCTGGGCCCGAATTGTGTGCCGGGGCCTGTGGCGCATGGCCCGTGATCTACCCCGACTTGCCCATTCGCGGCCCAAGGAAGCACTCGCCACAATCCAGAGAAATTCCAGAAACCCAGATCCCTTCCCTTCCCTTGCCTCTCACTCACACTCACCCTCGGGTCAGCCCTTCAGTCACCGGCCCTTCTCTTCCCAGACACCAAGACACTGGAATGGTGGCGCCCCAAACCAGGAACAGCAGGCCGTCCCCCGGATTGGATCTCGGACTTCTTCTTTTGTTGACTTAGAGACACCCGGACTCGCCCGATGGGGAACTCGGGATGTTTGATAACTACGTAGCCCCGTTCCGTAGGTTGCTCACAATCTCGGGAGCGGCATTGACCTCGAGCAAGCGAAGTTGGCCCCAAAGCAACGGTTCACACGGAGCCGGCTACCAAAAGAAACGCCCAGCCAAGAAAGACAAAAATGCTGACCCCTTCCTTGCCCTTGGCTCGGATGGAAGGGTTGAAGGGAAACATGTTTCCAACAACTCACCATACCCCTACGTGATAAAACGCGGCTCGCACGCACTGTGACAGACCCTGCGTTTTCTCGCAATGAGGTGAACGATTGGCTGGATCATGATCAAGGACCGATACCAACAAGTCAAGGGATGCGTCACGAATCGCGCCCTGATGTTACGCGGAGCGGGCTGCCTGGCCGGCGTCCCATTCGCCCAATGCTTCTTCCTTTTTTCTCTGCAGCAACTGTTGATGGATATTGGTGGCTAACAGAGACCGCCCCGGGCACACTCATGCATCCTGGGGCCATTTACCTAAGAATCCCTGATGCTGAGAGTACCATCATGAGATTTGCTAGCTTCTTCAGGTCTTGTGCATGAGGACCAAACTGCAATCGTAATATTATGCGTTTCCTGTAGATACTGATTCATAGAAATACCTGAATTCGCGTTGGTCTTGTCAGCCAATCATGTGATGCATGTTTCTCTCGCCCTGTTGTGGTGGCAGCCTTGCATCCTGCATCGGCAATCGTCCAATCATCGTCATTGCGGGGCAAACTCGGCATCGAATCGTTATGACTCGCCTCAGCCTGGCCAGGGCACGAGCGCTGAACCAACGACGTAATCGCATCGCGACAACCACCAACGAAGTATCCGCAAATCGTCAATCCATTATCAAGTATTTGCTGACGATGAGAGCTGGACCCCCTTGAGACATCTTGATGGAAGACGATGCTCCTCTCAGCCCTGATCCGGGCCAGGATCACAATGATGGCCATCACAGATCCAATGGTCGCGTCTCTCTGTATCGAGTTAGCTCTAATATGAGCAGATCCAGCATCTTTGAGGATGTAGAGATGGCTCATGAAGAGGTGAGACAGACCGTCCAATTGTTTATCATCTTTTAGCATGTATCAAACTGACTTAATTCTCTTATCAGCTCTACTCTGGACCCGTTGCTGAAAGTCTCCCCACCAGCGTATCAGCTTTTTCGCATCGCAGACCACGCGCCGACTCGACGACCAGCTTCACCTACTACGATGACGATGCCGATGGCTTTCCAGACGAGGAAGACGCAGAGAGTGTTGCCGTTCAAAGTATTCCCGGTGACTATATTCGGCGAAGCGTCTCGGACATTGGCGACTTGGAGTTTGGAGTTGATGGTGTCGAAGACGAGGATGAAGAGTTGGATCACGACTATCGTGTCTCGGAGGATGACTATGCCCTTCGAAGACACTCCTCATCGTACTCCCGAAATTCGGTTCATGCTCGTCTCTTGCGACGGGACAGCACGGCCACAGCCGGAAGTTTCCGTCGACATGGTCGGACCAGCCAGAAGATTTATATGGTCAACGAGGACCTCACAATCGCAATTGCAGGGTTCAAAACCAGTCGCGTCGGATCTGCAGTATATCTGCTGCTATGCATCCTGACCTGTGGGCTGGCCTACCTTCTTTTCCGTTGGCTGCCCCGGTGGTATGTCGGCCTTCTTGGGCAGCCATGCGCCCTGCGGGACTGCGAATGGGTTGTCATAGAAAACCAATGGGGTGAACTTGTCACCATGTCGGTTCGCTCTCAGCCATACGGGCGGCCGTTGTCGACCGTCTTTGGCCTGTCCGAAAAGTTCTACTCAGAAGTCTTGGACGATGATGATCCTATCATCGATGACCTCCGAACCCTCGATTATCGTTACGTCCGATTTTGCTTCCACCCTCTCAAGGATAAGTTTGTACTTTTCAATGGGTGGAAGGATCCGAATTGGACTGATGTGCGGCTCACTCGCTCTGGACTTGACAGCGATGAGAAGGGTGTCCGTGAGATTGTCTTTGGCAACAACCTGATTGACATTGAGCAAAAGACGATGGGTCAGCTCCTGGTCGATGAGGTGCTCCATCCATTTTATGTCTTTCAGATTGCCAGCCTTGTGCTCTGGTCTCTGGACAGCTATTACTACTATGCGGTTTGCATCTTTCTCATGTCTGTTGGTAGCATTACAGCTACACTTCTCGAGACACGGGCTACAATGCAGCGTCTTCGCGAGATCTCGCGCTTTGAGTGCGACGTTCGAGTCCTTCGTAACGGATTCTGGCGGTTTATTAGCTCCAGCGACTTGGTCCCTGGCGATGTCTACGAACTCAGCGATCCCAGTCTCACACAGTTCCCAAGTGACAGTCTTTTGCTCACCGGAGACTGCATTGTGAACGAGAGTATGCTCACTGGCGAGTCGGTTCCTGTCTCGAAGCTCCCAGCCACCGACGAGACGCTGCGCTCCATGGACCTGGCGGCTTCTTCGGTGACGCCTGAGACGGCTCGGCACTTCCTTTTTGCTGGCACCAAGATCATTCGTGCGAGGCGGCCTCAAGACGATCAGGATGGTGATGCAGTTGCGCTTGCACTCGTCGTGCGGACTGGTTTCAATACCACAAAGGGGTCTCTGGTACGATCAATGCTGTTCCCGAAGCCATCTGGTTTCAAGTTCTACCGTGATTCATTCCGGTACATCAGTGTTATGGCGATTGTCGCTGCTATCGGTTTCCTGGCGTCATTGGTCAACTTCATTAGACTGGGACTCGCCTGGCATTTGATTATTGTGAGGGCACTCGATCTTATCACTATCGTCGTGCCCCCAGCTCTACCTGCTACCCTGACAATTGGAACAAACTTTGCTCTAAGTCGGCTCAGGAAGAAGCAAATCTTCTGCATCAGCCCTCAGCGAGTCAATGTCGGTGGAAAGCTGGATATCATGTGTTTCGACAAGACAGGCACACTGACGGAGGAGGGCCTGGACGTTCTTGGTGTCCGAGTTGTCAACCGGGACTCCAACAAGTTCGGCGAGATCATCACTGAACCTCAGATGCTACTTGCTGAGGCCACGCGGCAAAATGCTCAGGACACTTTCCGAGCAGCTTTGCACACTATGGCCACCTGCCACTCTTTGCGGTCTGTAGATGACGAGCTGGTCGGTGATCCTTTGGATCTCAAGATGTTCGAGTTTACATGCTGGACATACGAGGAAGGAAAACAAAACGTTGCGGAGGGCGAAGATGAGGAACAAGGTGGACTTGCGCCATCGATTGCAAGACCTCCTAATGTAAGCAACTCGGGTATCGTCTAGTCAAGCGGATGCTAACATTCAACTAGGCGAACCTGGAACTTGGTGTGCTCAAGTCGTTCGAGTTTGTCTCCCAGCTTCGACGCGCCAGTGTTATTGTCCGTCAATTTGGCCAGAAAAGCGGCGATATTTTCGTCAAAGGTGCCCCTGAAGCCATGAGGGAGATCTGCCGGCCAGAAAGCTGTAAGTATTGCGTAATTTATCGAGAGATTTACGCTGACTGTCCCCGTATAGTTCCTAGTGATTATGACGAGCTTCTATCATTCTACACGCACAAGGGCTACCGTGTCATTGGTGTTGCCAGCCGTCACCTCAAGAAGCTCAGCTGGGTCAAGGCTCAAAAGATGACTCGAACTGATGTCGAAAGCAACCTCGACTTTGTCGGGTTCATTGTCTTTGAGAACAAGCTCAAGCCTACCACGGCGGGAGTTTTGGAGGAGCTTCTGGCTTCCAACATCGGAGCTGTAATGGTTACTGGAGACAACATCTTGACAGCCATCAGTGTGGCTCGGGAGTGCGGTCTTATGGATCGAACTGCTCATTGCTTTGTGCCTCGCTTCATTGAGGGTAAGTTTGGAGTTCGTAAGTAATGAGAACCATGTTAACTTGGTAGGCGATTGCCGCGATGCGGAAGCAAAACTACAGTGGGAAAGCATTGACAACAACCTGTACCACTTGGACGAAACAACGTTGCTGGTGAGTCGGCACTACAAGCTGTCATGAGTTGCGCTCGCTAACATTAGCAGCCCCTACCAGCGCCCCCGGAGGATGATGCATCTCTGCCATATGACATATCTAACTTGCGTAACTACTCATTGGCCGTTTCTGGCGATGTGTTTCGCTGGGTTGTGGACTTTGCATCACCTCAAGTTCTCCAACGAGTTCGTCTATCCAATGTCTTGTTTTGAGGCAGGCTTAGCTAACATGGAATGCAGATGCTCATCTCTGGCAAAGTGTTTGCGAGAATGTCCCCTGATGAAAAGCACGAGTTGGTTGAGAAGCTGCAGAGCATCGACTACACGTGCGGTTTCTGCGGCGATGGTGCAAACGACTGTGGTGCTCTCAAGGCAGCAGATGTGGGCATTTCCTTGTCCGAGGCAGAGGCTTCCGTGGCGGCCCCGTTCACCTCTAGAGTCTTTGATATCGGTTGTGTCTTGGAGGTTATCAAGTAAGTTGGCAGTGATAACAAGTTTAGGAGTGATCTAACAATTCCATAGGGAGGGTCGAGCGGCTTTGGTGACGAGCTTTAGCTGCTTCAAGTATATGAGTTTGTACTCAGCAATCCAGTTCACCTCGGTCACGTTTCTCTACGCTAGGGCCTCAAACCTGGGAGACTTCCAGTTTCTGTTTATCGATCTCCTCCTGATTCTCCCTATCGCCATCTTCATGGGATGGGCAGGGCCAGCGCCAAAGCTCTGCCGCAAGCGACCCACGGCAGATCTGGTATCACGCAAAGTGCTTACGCCATTGCTGGGCTTCATGACCATTTGCGTTCTGTTCCAGACGGTGACATACATCACAGTCAAGGAACAGCCGTGGTACATTCCCCCAGAGGTGCACCGCGATGAGCCCAGCATCCAGAACTCTCAGAACACGGCCCTCTTCCTGTTTTCTTGCTTCGAATACATCTTGTCCGGAGTGATCCTCAACGCGGGACGGCCGTTCCGACAGCGGACGACGCAGAACTGTGAGTATTTAACATTACGTCGTGTAAAGAGCTGGGCTGACTTGAGATGTTTGTAGGGCCATTCACCACGACTGTCATTATAGCTCTCTTGATCACCCTATACATGATTCTTGTACCGGCTCAATGGGTTACCAATCTGATGGAACTAACCAAGATGAGCTGGGACTACGAACTGTTCCTTATTGGACTGGGAGTTGCCTACTTCGTCGTGGCCTGGGCATTCGAGCACTTCTTGGCTCTACAACTCGCTCGATATATCGGAGTTGTTAAGGAGCGAATCACGGGAAAGACAAAGAAGCGAAAGGAGTACAAGATCATCAGGGAAGCAGCTCGGGTATAATATTGAGATGGTTGATGTGGGCCAATGGCTGAGTTGGATTGGTTGGCGATGTTAGAGCCACGGTAAAAGCATTTGGATCTGATGGAGTATGAAGTAGAATATTGATAGCGAGTTGACCATTTTCCTATCGGAAGACTCGGATATTCAAACACGATTGCGTGTATGCAATGGTTGGATATGAGACCGACAGCCGTTTACATGGCACCGTTTGTCGATTTATGCAGAGTCAATGACGTAGTTGACTTGGTGTGGACATCACGCACAGCCCCAGCAACCAGAACAACAGCCATGTACAAATTGGCGATAACATGAGGTTTGCTTGTAGACTTTGATCAAGCTGAACGATACCTTTCAAGCTGGAATAGGTGCACAGAGCAAGTATACGCGGGGTCTTTGAAAATGAACTACGGTAAGCCTCATCACCACTCTCATCCCACTCAACACCAGAGACACCATCTAACATGTTCACAAGACTGGATTCTCGATGGAGGCTACCTCCCCCATGCTGTCATTCGCGTCGGCATCAGACGCCAGCTGCGAGAGCGCATCGACTCCATCGCAAGCACCTCTCTCAGCGCCGCCTTTGGCCGCAAGATGAATTACCTGGAGAAGCTCCGCACCCGACCCATGGCCATCGAGACGGCCACGGCCAACACGCAGCACTATGAGGTCGGAACTGGCGTGCTGGCGGCATGTCTGGGCCCGAGGATGAAGTACTCCTGCTGTCTTTACCCCAAGGGTAGGGAGACGCTTGCTGAGGCTGAGGAGGCCATGTTGGCGCTGTATCTGGAGAGGGCTGAGCTTAAAGATGGGATGAGAATTCTTGATCTCGGGTGAGTTGAGCTGGAAGAGGAGTGAGTTACTCATGAGAGACAGGCTAACTCATGATATCTAGCTGTGGATGGGGATCTGGTGCCATCTACTTTGCCGAGAAGCTGCCCAACTCGCAAATCACAGCCTTTTCCAACTCCCGGACACAGAAGGAGTACATCGATTCGGTAGCCAAGGAAAAGGGCATTACAAACCTCCAGGTCATCACCGGCGACGTCGTCGACTACGAGTTTGAGCCCGAGTCTTTCGACCGCGTTGTCTCCATCGAGGTAAGCCCCCGTTTCTTATATCGGTAACATCTCATTGACAGCCTGTAGTTGTTCGAGCACATGAAGAATTACGAACTGCTCCTGGCCAAGGTGTCACGCGCCCTCAAGCCCCGGGGCAAGCTCTTTGTACACATTTTTGCTCACAAGACGGACCCCTACGACTACGAGGAGGGCTGGATGACGACTCACTTCTTCACGGGCGGTACCATGCCCTCGGCAGATCTTTTGCTGTACTTCCAGCGAGATCTCCAGATTAAGAATCAGTGGTGGGTCAATGGCCAGCACTACTCCAAGACGTGCGAGGTGAGTCCTGTCCCTTTTTCCTTTTATTTGAATCCCTCTGACTTTCTTTCTGGCAACAGCACTGGCTGTCCAAGATGACAGCCAACAAGAAAGAAATCTGGCCGCACCTCATTGAGACGTACGGTGAGGAAAACGCAACAACGTGGTACAATCGCTGGCAAATCTTTTACATGGCATGTTCGGAGCTGTTTGCGTACGAGGGCGGAGACACCTGGGGCGTATCGCACTATCTGTTCGAGAAGCCGGGCGCGTAGTTTGGGAACTTGGAAAGTGTATTGCATCTTTGATTTGATTCCTGAGCTTCTCCATCTGCTCTATATACACCGCACCAAAGCCAATTGTCTCTTGGCGCCCCAACGCTCGTGTTGTCGTAGATGCTGCGGGAATGGGAAGTAGTCGTACATGGTTGTCGTTTAGTGGTCCCAAGGGTGTTTGAGACCGAGGAGCACGGCACCTAAGGAATATTAGCCATTGTTGCCCAGGCACAAGAGTTCCCCCGTAAGAGAATGCGCGCTTCAACAAACCATCCTTCTTAGCCCGGTACATCAGCTACAAACCCCAACCCAGTTAGCAATTCCACTTCTTGAACCCTCATTCACATCGGCTCAGCTCGGTCTGGGTCGACTCACAAAGAACCACATGCCAGCACCAAGAGCAGTGGCGGTGAATCGGTAGATCCGGGGCACGTGAGCCACCGGGGGCTTGGGGGGCCCATTGAAGCTGTGGTGACCGTGGCCAGCCATGATGAAGCGTCGGTTGATATGTCGGCCGGGGGAAAGATCGGGGGTTCGGCCTGGAGGAATTAGGCAGGTTAGCGGTTTCTGAGCTGTTGAAAGAGTCGTTCGGGAAGAGGGGAATGTCGCTGACGTACGGACAGACCGAATTGAGGGACGTGGACAAGGCGATCGAGGTCGTGATGGTACGGCAATGGTTGGATGGAGTCGTGAGCCGAGCCAATTCGGAAGAGGCTCTGCTTAGGTAAGGATGGCCTCTGATTGGCTGCGAGATAGATATGCATGTAATCAATCAGAGACTCTTTTATGTACATGCAGATGCATATATCGAGTTGTCAACTCTATCAGATCTTTCCCACAGTGGGGTTCCCGCTTCTGGACCCATTCCGCGCCTGTCTGAGGTAATGCGAGTGATAGCTCCGAACGAGACGACAAGGCTGTCCATGTCATCAAAGATACCACCTTGCGTCTAAGAGCTGTCTTGGCCAAACTATGTTACTCGTATAATTCTCTTTGTTTATTCTTACTCTTCTTTCAACGTCTTGCATCGTTTGTGTCAAACATTTTGTTGTTGGAAAAGAATATTCATTACCTTTGTTCCTCCTCTTCGTTGCATCTCACCTTTACTCAGTTTCATCAGCCAGAGGCAACCATCTTGAAACCAGCACGCGACACTTGGAAAAACATCTCGAATTCTAGGTCACAGAAATCGACGTAAACAGTCAACAACGGGAACAGGAGCCAACCATGGCGACTCCCAAGTTCAGCACAAAGTCCCCTACGATTCGTCGTATACGTCAGTCTCCCCGCCTCAACCATCACTCCCCAAAGCCTGTCAATACTCGTCTTCTTAACCTGATACTGACATCCCACGACAGTCAAGGAAGCAGCTGAACTATCCAGCTCTCCCTCCGCCGATTACACCGCCGAACCCCTCGAGTCCGACCTCTTCGAATGGCACTTTACCCTCCGTGGCCCTCCCAACTCAGTCTACAGCAACGGTCTCTACCATGGCCGCATCGTCCTCCCTCCTACATATCCTCTGCGACCCCCCAGCTTCCGCTTCATGACACCGAGTGGTCGATTCGAGGCCAATCGAGAGATCTGCCTTAGCATTAGTGGCCATCATGAGGAGACGTGGCAGCCAGCCTGGGGAGTGCGAACAGCTCTAGTGGCGTACGTTGTATCCCCCTCATGCGAAAAAACATTCATGCAGAGCTAACGTGATGTAACCCACAGGCTCCGAAGCTTCATGGAAACCGACGCCCGTGGTCAACTAGGCGGCCTGGAGACAACCGACGCCGTGCGACAACGCCTCGCAGCAGAGTCATCCTCGTTCAAATGCGCAGCCTGTGGCAAGACAAACGGCGAAATCATCAAAGAGTGTGAGGAGCGAGCGAGCGAAGCTTCTTCAAGCGCTCAGGAGGTCGAAGTGCCCAAGGAGCTGAACATGGGTTGGCGCGATGAGATGGAGGCCAAGAAGAAGTCCGAGAACAAGGCCGACGAGGCAAACGACGATGCAGAAGCGGCAGAACTGGCTGAGGGATTCGTTCAAACTGCACCTATTGCCGCTGTCAACTCAACCCCCGAGATCAACAACCCCACCCCAACCCGAACCACGGCCCCGAACCCCGCCCCCGTCCCGGCCGGCCCAGCACCCAACGCCGCCGCGGCCCCCATCCCTAGAGCGGCGGCGCCCGGTACACAGCGACAACAAATACGGCGCGCATCCGACGATGGAGTCCCAGTCTGGCTTGACCGGACGATTGTCGTCCTGGTGGTGCTTCTGGTGGCTCTCGTGCTCAAGATCCTTTTTGCCCTGTAGGCAAGGATAGAGAGGGCATCTTTTTGGGTCTGAGTTTGGCGTATGGTGAATTGGATTTTTCTTTCTTTTTTTTCAAGTGTAGCGTGTTATATATCCAATGGAAATGAGTATTTATCATGGTACACAGTTGGTGCAAGCTTTGGCGTTGAACAATGTCTTCTCACACTGACCCCTTCCTGATGACCTCCTAGAATCATCGACATGAGCTGCAACAGCTTCACTTCCAAGCACATACGACCATAGCCCTTTGAGAATACGGGATCCCGTCCGCTCTCCCATAGTCAAGCAGAGGAGCGCTTGAGTAGTAGTTGGGTCGGTGACGACCAGCGAATGCCGAGTGTTGTATGTCTTTCTTTTTGACCTTTTTGCCAGCCTTTTGCTCTCACCCATCATACAAAGGCATCAACATCATGTATTGAATAGACAAGAACAAGTAACTTCAGTAATAGTCGATATTCAAAGGCTAGCTACTGCGAGTTATTAGAGCTACCTGATCTCAGCGAATAGCAATGCTTTTGTCATACACCTCACAACCCTGTGCTTCTTCCTCAGGGGTATCATGATACTCGTACATCGCAGCCCCTTTCATGGTCCTGCATTAGTCGTCCTCTCGTGGACCCCTCGCTCTGAGTTGCCGTCCCCATTGCCATGGGACTGCCAGCCACCACCATTCTCCTGTCGTCACTCCTAGTCCATCCTCCGACTCCTTGAGCACGCCCGTCTTCTTTCCCCAGTCAATGATCATCTGAGCTTCAAACTCTTCTAGCACTGGTTTGAGTGCGCTACACACTCCTTCTATCGACAGATATCCCCTGAGAGCAAAGATGAAGCAAAATGCGCCCAAGACATCCATCCAACGTTGGGCATCTCGTCGCCCAAAAAAGTCAACCCACTGCGGCAGCACGCTCTCCTTGCCCGCTGTGGGAGGGCCCTCATAGATGGTCTTGCGGATCACATCAATATCCTCGTCATACTTGTACGTGTCCGTCGGGACCGCCTCGATGCTGAAATGATAGTACGACTTCGGGAACTTGCGACTTTCGTAGTTGCCTGGCTCGAATCCAAGAGGAATATTGGGCACATCCACGGGCATCAGCTTGATTCTCTCGGAAGCGTTCAAGTTTGTCAATGCCATGACAGCTCCGTCTTCAAGAGTGTATGGAACCTGGAAGGTTTCTCCACGACGAAAGACGGCATCCAGCTTGGCCTTGAAGTCGGCTGCTTCTTGGTACTTTGTCCGCTGTGCTAGTTTCCCCAGCATGTGGTAATACCATTCGTTGAGTCGGTATGGTCGACCACCAAGGGGAGCCTTCTTGCTCCTGCAGATGATTCGTTGCTGAGTCAAGTCATCAATGGCCTGCTTGAGAAGCGCGTTGTTCCGATCCTGGTCTCCCTTGGCGAGTGAGGAGAACTTTTGCCTAATCTGTTCCACTGAATACCGGCTGTCCTCCGTGCAGCACAGAGATCGCACCCAAGATCTTGCAATGACCCTGTCAGTGAGTTCGACATGTTCGTCAAGGCCGGTCAACATCTTGTCAACAGATACAACAGCTGGGCTGCCAGTAGTGGCCTCAAACCGAGAGAAGACAGATGACTGCACATGGTGAAACTTCTCTCTCCAGTCATCCACCACACGAGAGGCCTTGTGAGAGGTAAAGTTCTCCTCCAGAAGAGCCTTGGTTGACGGCAGATCAACGCCCTTTCTGCGTGGCAACTGAAGCGTCCAATCAATCAGTTCATGCCAGTCATAGTCCAAGGGGTCATCAAAGTCAAACTCTGGAAGTTCTTCCTTCTGATATGCAATCAGAAACTTATCCTGAAAGTCCTTTGTGAGTTTTCCCACGTACGCGCCCTGATCTCTACGGGCGGTGATCCAAAATCGACGAAGCTCCTTGAGCTTGAATGATGGGAAGAGTTTCAACAACAGTCCCCAATCGATGGCCTTGTCGGAACCACCGAGTAGCACACGAACAGCAACAAATGCAGCGAGCAACCTGTCCGCTTCCTCAGAGTCAGAAGAGTCATTGGCCGAATTCTGGGCGTTGAGACCCTCTGGTTGTTCTGCTTCGGTGGGGATGTTCGTTAAAGCGCGGGTTAGGAGGCGGACACGCTTGACTCTTGCCTGCTGGCCTTGCTGCTGCCGAGCAGTAGTGGTGCGCGCGCTCTCTCCGTCGGGTCCTGCTTGGGGCACTGATAGTCTCGTCCACTTAGGACTGTCGTCTTCCTCATCAGATGTCGAGTCAACAAGAAGCTGCCGGTCTGGCACGGCTCCTGGGAAGGACTCTGGTGTAAGTTGCCACTCTGCAGGCCACGTAAGGCCAGGAACATCGACCAACTCCATGTCGGCTCCGCTAAAGAACGTCACGAAGGTGTTGTGAGGGCCCGCTGCACCGCGCGGCGCATGGACGAAAGACTCGGCCCATGATCGCTCCGTATCCATACAACACTGTAGTCTCTCGACGAAGCGCTGGTATCGACCAAGGTCGGTTCTATGCTGACGCTTCTGGCGTTTCAGCTCAAGGGTGCGTTCGTCAATCACATCCAACATAGATGACCAGGCGAACCAGTTCATGTCAGGCATCCAGCCCTTCAGTGTGTAGCTGGCATCTTGCAGCTCAAAGTCTTGAGCGCTAATGTAGGGCCAGGCACCAAGATCGCCGGAAACCAAAATCGGCTTGTCAAACACCAATTCCTTGGGGACGTCGTTGAAAGCTTCCTCTTCTTGCACATGACGAGCTGCGGCCTTGGTGGCGCGCTTCGACAACCACCTCGGGGGTTCCTCGTCCAAGAAAGTATTGGGCTCGAGGAACCGAATTGACTCGGGGGCACCATGAGTTGCAACGCCCGCAAAGTGTTCATACCACTTTCCTTGCCCCGTCTCGTAATCTTGATGAAAGGTAATATCGTTCCGTTTGGATGCCCTATCTGGGGATGCGCTGTTGTCTCTTGCCGCTCTCTTGCGTCTCCTGCGCTTCTGAGGTGGAGGAGCATCTTCGTCATCATCGTCCAGGTCTTCTAAGGCTCTCTTTTGTGCAGCTCGTGCCACATACACTGGGGCATCCAGCATCTCAACCTCGATCGGAAGATCTCGACGGCCGCGGTTGAGCAAGTCGTGGTCAGCCAGAGCGTCAAATGGTGGCGGTATATATGTATCTGGGTGAGCTGCTTTGATCTTGTCGAGCAGATTGGTGGCTTCAGGGGAGAATGGATCAACACCGGCCTGAACTATGACGTGACACTTTTCAGTCATGCCCTTGGTACTGCGGAAGCTGTGCCAGTGTTCGGCAACGACCTTGTTCTTCAGCATATCCCGAAGCACGGCTTGATACGCGCGTACTTGGGGGATTGCTTCTGTCGGGAACATTTGTGTCCAACGTATCGTGATCGCATGCCAAAACGGCTTACCCCCCGGAAAGACGCCGGACTGCTCTGTTAGGATCTCTTGAATAATCTGGCGAGTTCGAGCACTCAGAGCAGCCCTGGATATAGGGGTATCGACAACTGCCGGTGATCTGGGCTTCACAGTCGAACTGCCACCATTGAGTACACCGTTGGTACCTTCCTTGCCGTTGGTTTCAGGCCCCTTTGGCTGGGGAGTCTCAGCCGTTGACTCAGGTGCCTTCGTCTGCGATCTCGGGCGAGGGGTCTTTGGCGAGCTTGCAGACAAATCGAAACGGTGCAGCGGCCCGAGAACAGGCCGCGGCTGCCCGTCCTCATTCTGCACAAGGGCGCCGTTGGTTCCATTCGATAGGGATGTTTTTGGGGTATCAAAACTGGTGACCGGAGGGCGTCGCCATTCTGGGTTAACATGAAATGAGTCGCTTTTGAAACTGACGGTTGGCCGTGAGGACCATGATAGTCGGGCAACTGGGCCTCGTAGTTTCGAAACACGTCGAGCTGGAGTCGAGAAGCTCTCCTCCTCCACCTCTTGGCTTTGATCTTCTTTCTCCGGCTCCGTCTGTTCCGGTGCCTCGGCTTGTGGTGACTTGTCCTCTGCGGGAGTTGGAGTTTCGGGCTCTTCAACCTCAGAGATGACTCGCTTCTTTCCGCGCCGGACTGGACCTGCCGTGGCTTCATCGAATGAAGGGTTGCAAGCCGTCCTCGACTTTTCCAGGTGGTATTTCAAACCAATGTCATTCTTCCAGCTGCCGCCGCACTTTTCGCAAACCCAAGGACGTGGACCAGAGTCACCTTCGGTAGTCTCTGCCGCATTTCCCTTCTTCCTTGTCTCGCCCCTTCTTGGCTGACCACGTTTTCTATTGCTCAAGGGGTTCTTGATTGCCACTTCAGCCTCAGGATCCTTCTCATTTTCATCTCCGCCCTCAATCTCTTCGGCGTCAAGAGCAGCGCTCGCGATTCCGGTCTCTGCTTTCTTCGCTGAAGATCTTGTTGACCTAGCTCGGGTCGCTCGTGCAGGTGTTGCTCGTACGGGGGTGGTAACAGTTGGCTGACTTTCAGAAAGCACGTCTTTGAGATGGTCTGAGGACACCTTGAGAGTAGCTACAAGCGTATCAGCGTCGCCTGGTCCCGATGGCGCATCATCTGGGTTCAAGGTTTGTGGTTCTTCCGGCGCTGTCTCCTGCTGTGTTGTCGAATCTTGTGAAGGTGCGCCCGGCTCTTCAGCTGCAGAGATACCGTTCTCCTGAATGCCGTTCTCCTGAGTCGCACTCTCTTGAGTTGTGTTCTCTTGACTTGCGTCCTCACGGGCACTGGTTTCATGAGTTCCATTCTCCTGAGTCATGTTCTCCCGATTCGTGTCCTCCTGAGCTACTTGTTCTTGTTGTGGCACTGGTGATTCTTTAGGCTGTTTTCGGTTTGCCCTGGCTTTTGTAGCAGGAGCAGGTTTCTGCTTCTTTGCGTTGCCCTTCTTGGGGCGTCCCTTGTTCGTCTTTCGAGTCGCCAGCCCTAGGCTGCACAGTTCCATCAATGTGGTGGAAGTTTCGCTAGAGATGCTTGCAGCAGGTATCGGGGAGAAGCCGTAGGAGTCGGCAAGAGTTGCCCCATGGCTGTGAGAGTCGTCGGCGCCATTGGCGATTGGAGGCGGAAGTGAATCGTTTTGAGCAAAATAGCGATATGAAGCTACCTTTCCAGTCCTGGTGTGTTCACTGCGAAGTTGAAAATGGGATAGATGAGCCGGTTGCAGGTTTGGAACAGACAAGGCAGTGGTCATGGAAGAAAGGTGGCGGCTATAAGACGGGCCCAGGGTCAAGGCATAAACGTCTGGGTTTGTCAAGCCGGTCTCACCAAGTCGCTGTGCCATTTCCGCAATGATGACAGGAACTGGCTTATCCAGCGACCATGGTGGTGCTGCAGCTACTTCTGAAGCGTTAGAGCTTTGGCCGTCGGCCTTGGTTCCATCGAGGCCATCCAGGTCAGGATTTCTGGGCGTTTTCGCCTGCTTTTTGCCCGTAGCCAAGTAGACCGCCCAATCCTCAGAGTTGAAGTCTCGGACATATTTGATACAGTCTTTGAACACCTTCTCCCCTAGTTTCGCGGCGACGTATTGGATGACACCTCGGGAGTTGAGAAAACGGCACACCTTGGCAAGGACCTTCATCTGCCAGCGCATTCCCAACACGCCGAGCTTGGACTTCATGTCGGTCATTCGCAGGACACCCCATTCCTTAGCGATGGCCATGATGGTTGTAGCCAAGGCTGTGTAGTCGATAGACTCTCCAGTCCATCGAATGTGCCAGGGAACCGGGTCGAGGTTGTCAACTAAAACTTGGCGGGTGAGGGTCATGTCAGGGCGGACTTCATCTCCCCCTTCACCATCCTTTGGCAGCGGCGGCGCGAACAGTTTGAGCCACATCTTACTCGTCTTGGTTCCTCGCACCAGTGTCGTTCTCTTGGCGATGTAGCCCTTCTTAAGCAGCGCATCGGTTCGTTTGGGAACAGACCTCTTGTCCTGGTCGACGAGCCGGCCGAGATCGCCTTGCAAGATACCTTGGGTAGTCGTAGAAGCAATTCCGAGCAACAACATCCATTCAGACTTGGGTACTCGCTTGTAGTCAACAGCGTGACCGGTAAGAGACTCCCACATGGTCTCCTCAGAGGCGTATACCAACACATGTTGAGGAGCTGTGCGGGTTTCTGATGTTGATTCTGAGGGTTCTGCACCTTGCTCGTTGGCATCTGCGGGTGGTTCAAGTGCCAATATCTCATTCAATGTGAGATGGTTGTACTTGCGATTGGGACCAACAGAGATGTCTCGTCTTGAGACAAGCCAGCTCCAAATAGTAGAGGCAGTACGATGCTGTACCGCGGGATCACCCCCACGCAGTTGTGAGAGAGGTTCAGCGTGAGCTTTTGAAGGATGGTGAATCGCGTCCAAAACGTCGCCCACGGGACACCCTGAAAGTTGATCTTGTCAGTTTCTGTCACTACAACAACGAAACATAACAAGCAGTCAGTCAAACTTGCCCTGTTCGCCGGCGCACGAGATGTGCACCAACAGGCCCGCGATCAAGCCTTCAAGCTCCGATGCCATTTCATCCAGGTTACCTTGTGGCTCATTCTCGAGTCGAAGCGATGCCTTAAAAAAATCTGCACAGAAATCGTCTGGGGCGAATTGAACAGAGAAGCCCCGGGTCGTTTGGGTGTGTCGTACTTTTTTTTCCGGTTGCTGCAGTCGAGGCAGATTGAAGTGGGGATGGCGGGGTGCGATGGAGAATGAAGCGACGCCAGCTGCGGCGGTCGAGACTGATGACATAATCACTCTTGGCAGATTGGGGACTCATATCTGCACCACCGGCGGTGCAAATAAGATCACGGGACTGGCACCCCAGCCACCAACAGCTCCTTCGTCCGGTCATGATAAAGGCATATTACGAGACGAAAGGCTCTCACAATGGGAAAATGTTGATAAAGAGTATCATAAGTAATTGCTCGACTAATTCGTAACGTCTGAGCTAAGTTCATCAAGTCATTGGCTAGAGCACCCTGCTCTTAGCTCCCTGTTAAGTACCTTTCCCTCGATTGAGCCGGTTCCATGCTGGCTCTCAACTCACTCGTTTGACCCCATACGCAAACCACACCTAAACCTTCGAATCACTCCCCACTCAGTTGAGAAGGGAATAGTTGATCGCCTCAAGGCGAATCTCCTCCAGTGAGGCCGGGTGAGCAACAACACACAACAGCTGAAGCTCTTGAATCGCCGTCGCGTGAGAGTTGACATCCTGAGGATCCACAGTCTGCCCTCCAAAGACGTTGAGTTCATGTCCGCGGACCTCTGCGGCGACCTTGCTCCACTGCTCGACGATCTCGTGGCTGAAGCGGATGCGATACGTGGCCGACCAGGAGATGGCGGTCCAGTCGCTCTAGGACTGGTAGACGAACTTGGCGGCAGCCTTGGACTTTCCGTGCCAGAGCTCCATGAAGTGCAGCTTGGGCATCTTCATGGCAACCTGTCCTGCTCGCACAATCAACTTGCAAGTCTCCGGGGTCATGCTGTACATCAGGTTGGTCGTCAGGGCCAGCTCTCGGAGGTTGTACCAGACCCAGTGGCTCTTGCAAGCGTTGAAGAACTGAGTCGCATTGGTAATGTAAGAGACAGAGAGCTTCTCAAGTGAGAGACTCAGGTGTGCCATGGCGATTCCGACTTCAGAGTTTGGGCTTCGGACGCGAGGCTGAGACTGCACCCAGAGGGCGCGGTTGAGGATGTGCTTCTCGTGAGCTTCATTGAAATCCTCAAAAATGACCACGCGTCGGAGTGTCCCGGGGAGTCTGAGCAGCGCGAGGTCTGCATAGCCGAGGCCTGCAATGGTTAGTCTCCTGGTGATATCTCTTAGGGGTGAGTGTGAGTACTTACGGGTGTTAATGTACGGGTCCAGGTAATACTTGCGACGTGGCTCATAGAAGATCTCCTTGAGCTTTGGAAGGCCATCAAGGATCTGCTGGATGGTCGGGATACCAATGTTGCATCGAGTCTGTCGGCGAACAAGCAGGCCGGTGATGGCTCGGACACGAGGGAGGTCGTCGATGTTGGGCTGAATGCCAAGGCCGTAAGGACGACGCCACATGTTTTCACCATCCATCTCGCGAAAGGTCTCATCGCAAGGACCCTCAGGTCGGTCGAGCTCACAGATCAAGTTGAAGTCGGAGTCGATGTAGACATCCTCCCGGAAAGTATGGTCAAAGTCGCTGCGGGACCAGACGCTGATCTCAAGCTTGATATCTGAAGCTCCGTCTTCATCCCAGTCCTGAAGGATGGTGAAAAGCCCCATGAGGGATCGTCGAAGCTCGAGGTGATCGTTCTGGGAGGCTTGTTGCAAGAGTCTGTGGGTGCAGACATCGCATTCATATCGTGGAAGCTCGATACGGAGCCAGATGTACTTGACAAGGTGTTTCTGGCGATGAATGATGCGGTAGAAAGCTCGAAAATCGCGTCGCTCGACGGTGATGTGACGATAAATCTCCTTCTCGAAGAACTGCTGCCATTCCTTGGAAACGAGAGAGTAGTCGGTCAGGCTTCCGGGAGGGTGAGGGTGGTCTTCAAGCACCCATTCGTAGACCTTCAAGCGAAGCTCGTAGGCCATGTCGTTCCAGCCAACCATCTTGGCTACGGGCCTAAGACGAGGCAAGGGCGAGGCTAAGACTGGTCAATGTCTGAGAGTGATTCAGAGACGAGGAAGATTCACCTTGAAGTTGAGTGGAACAGCTGTCAGGGACTTGGAGACGAAAGACTGTTGTTGGGATGTCTGAGGAGGAATTGGGAATGACTTCAAGTTTACTGAAAAAGTATTTATATGCTGGAACAGGTTATTCACATCTTGCACTGACGAACACTGAATAATACTGAAGCAATCAAGTTCGCCGTTTGATACGTTTCTCCTTTTTTGTTGCCAAACGCCTCGACTCCAACGCACGCTACAATTGTAAGTCTCCGTTCGCTATGCCCGATTCAACTTGGCCTGTTCGTGTTCCCGAATCCGTCGATACGCATCCACGACGTCTGCGCGGATCTCCTGCAATTCCTCCCGGCGCTTAAGACTCCCTGCCGATTTGGGGACATTTCCCACGTTTGCCGTGGCGCCCTCCACCTTGAGCTGTCGCGATGTTCCCTTGTTCAGCTCAGGGGGTGCTTGAGCCTGGTCGTGCAGCGCAACCTTGGCCTCAGCCCTCTTCTTCTTCAGTTCAGCCCATGGGTCGTCATCGACCTTACCGCGCTTCCTCCTAGATCGCTTGCTCAGAGCTTCGTTGAGCTCTGACTGTGCTATCGCCGTAGCACCTGTAGGATCCTCGTCCAGTTCGCGGCCAATGGCTTCATCGGCCTCCTCTTCGCGCTGGTCCTGAATCTTGGCCTCCTCAGCGCGCCATTGATCGTAGAGCTTGTGCATCTTCCTCTCCTTTCTCGTACGGTAGATCTTGAGACCAGCCTCGTCCTTGCCATCCTTGATAACCGTCTTCTTTGTGAGGCCAGCAACGGGTAGAGCAGCATCTACACGCTGAGAGAAGGACCGCAGATCCTCTCCAGGCCGGATCTTGAGCTCGTGCGCCTGTTCCTTCGCAGTCGGTTTGCCATCGGTTCCATCGTCGAGCCCAGACCTCACTTTCTTGCCCTGCGCGACAGCCATGAGCCGCCTAAACGCTCTCGGTGCGTCATTCTCCTTGCGCGCCTTCTTGCCCTTTTTTCCCTTTTGGGAACCATCTTTTCCGGCATTCTTCGATCCGACAGGTAAAGATTTCGCTCGTTGGGAGGGGGGCAGATTGAATCTACAAACAAGTGTCAGAAGCGCAAACGGAGAATCATTGTAGAGGGCATCACTCACGCTGCTTCATCGTCACCCCTCTTTCTCTTGTGCTTGTGCGGCATGGCTGTGACTGAAAAGGAATTTTACAGCAATAATTTTCCTTGTTCACTTTCGAAACAGTAGTCGTTTGATCGGAAGGCGGAATCGCGAGCGAGGTTGCAAGGTTGTCAAAGAGACGTTCAAGTTGAAGTTGTCGCAGTTGGATGGAGCAGTCCAAAAATTCTCTTATCGGTGTTATCTGGGGCTTATCGCTCTTAGGTTCCCCTCAGTGGAAAGAGGTCACTGGCCGTTCGAGTACAACCCCAACCTCCCAAATAACGTACTACTGGACGTTTTCCGACTAGAAATACTTGGCCAAAATGGTCTATACTTGCCGGACTCGGCCGAGTCCATGGTTCTCACCTTGGTCTAAGGCACCACCAATGGCGCCCTATAGGTAGGCAATAAGAACTTTATCCTGCCACGGAGATAATTTAAAGTAAAATCAATAAATAGAAATACAAAATGAATAAATTCTACTCTCAAGTATTTATATATGAGCTTGGTTTTATAACCAGAAGCCTTAGATGCTTTGCTTGTGTTGATTAAGCAGGCAAAGTGTCAGCAAGGTGCTGGAATCACCTACTCAGTATTTTACTAGCCACTCATTCTTGATTTAGCTTTTACCCGGATTCTAGAAAATATTAGCATGGCTCCATGTCGATAGTAAATCTCAAATCTATCCGTCTGGCCCTCGGCGCCGTTGAACGGAGATGAACCCAGCCATCCATGTTGAGTGGGGCCTCCGCCTCTACCGAACAACGACAACCATGGTGGTGAGACTTCCACTGAGACTCTTTCACTACATGTCCATGACAGGGCGAATATCCTCAACATTATAACAACAGTTTTATGGGATTTGTATCAAGTTCAAGGCCAATCTTTGTTTGAAACATGGCTTCACGGAAGCCCAAAGCCCGCAATGAGGCCAACAAAGCAGCAACTCGCCTTACCGCTCAGTTAAACCCCTATGTCTTCGCCTTGGGCATGGTCGGAGCAGCTTTGAGGTAAGTTTTGGCCCCAGTTGATGTCTTCCTTAGAAACTGACCATGAGAAGCACCATGGCCCTTGTGCTGGCCCTCATTGTTGGCGTCACACCCCTGATTTGGTCTCAAAGCCCAAGTTCATCATCAGTTGAGTCGACCGCCGATTTAACTCTCGGGCTCGGCTCAGCACTTCCAATTCCCTGTCATTCACACAACGACTATTGGAGGAGGATCCCCTTCTACTCGGCCATTAACGCTGGCTGTATTGGCATCGAAGCAGACGTGTGGGTGGTTCGAGGTGAACTACTGGTCGGCCATAACCTGGGATCCCTTTCTAGCGGCCAGACTTTGACGTCCATGTACATTCAACCGCTAGTTGAACTTCTCCAGACAAAGAACTCAGTCAAAGACCCAAACATTCCGTTTCGAGGGGTGTACGATCACGACCCCAGCCAGACGTTGGTCTTGCTGGTTGACTTGAAGGCCGACCCCAACAGCTCTTGGCCACTTTTGTTGGAAAGACTGGAGCCTTTGCGTCAAAGAGGATGGCTGAGCCATGTGAACAACGGCGCTTTCATCTCAAGGCCCATTACAGTTGTGGGAACCGGTGATACCGAGGTTCGTTTGGTGAATGAGGAGACTCCTTTCCGGGACGTCTTCTTTGACGCACCGCTTAATGAACTCGAGGAGGGTGAGTTCAGCTCTCTCAACTCATACTACACCAGCGTGTCGTTTGAGAAGACGATCGGCAAGATTGGCCGTGGAGGCCTTCAGCCGGAGCAACTGGCCAAGCTGCGGAATCAGATTTCCCAGGCTCATAGTCGAGGGCTCAAGGCACGATATTGGGGCATGCCCTACTGGCCGATTGATGTGCGGGATCAACTCCGGGAGCTTCTAATCGACGAAGGTGTTGATGTCCTCAACGCTGATGACCTGGTGGAGGCCAAGGGCATATTTGCCAAGCGCGGACACTTGGCCAAGTAACGTCGATAGTATTGTATCAACACAAACCGATCTATTCATGCCGACATACCGTGATATCACGAAGTTTATGTTGACGCTTTCTGCCGAGTTCCGCACATCCACCCTTGTCGAACCATCTATTCCCGAGTCTCCGGAATATCACCGAATGCAGACCCCATCTAGATCAGTATACACCTATGACACGTCATGGAGCACAACCCCGCAAGTTTGTCAGGAAAGGAAACCTCTCCGATGTGCCGATCTGAGGTTCCTTGATAAGATCTCGCCTCTCCCTCATCCAAGAACCAACAACAATATCCCGCCACCATATCCTCCCTGCATCACCATGGCCAACGAAGGACGCATTGCTACTCTCGATGTGAGATACCCGTGACCTCATCTTGTAAGATCTCGTGCTCATCAGTTCCAACCAATTAGTCAACGGTTGCCGACAGGCTCCCGGTTTACTCCAAGCTGCTCTTCGACGGCAAGGCCGCCAAGGGTCTTAGCTTCGAGACAATCGCAAAGCATCTCGACAGAAGCGAGGTTGCTTGTGCGGCCCTGTTCTATGGCCAAGCCACAGCCTCACCTGAGGATATTGACCGCCTCTCGGACCTGTTGGAAATCTCCAAGGAGACGTTGACAACCCAGATGACAGGGTTCCCCAACCGTGGCCAGGCCAGTCCCATGCCTCCGGTTGAACCTCTCATCTACCGATTATATGAGATTGTGCAGAACTATGGATACGCCTACAAGGCAATCTTGAATGAGAAGTTTGGCGACGGAATCATGAGTGCCATCTGCTTCTCTACCACAGTGGATAAGGAGGTGGACGAGGCTGGCGCTCCATGGGTGGTTATTACACTGAAGGGCAAATGGCAAGTTACCCCCTCCCCCTAACGGCAAACTCACGCTAACCGTCTCAGGCTCCCTTTCAGTCGATTCTAAAGATAGTGTTGCTGTTAGTGAGTGGGAGTCGGCTGGCTGCCCATCCCGGATCCAACTCTCCCGCCTCATCCGCCGCCTCTACGGGTATTAAACCGGTAACTCTTTGAAATGAGTCAACAGGATTAGGCTATTACGAAATATCATGAAAATCCGAGTCATTTTCATTAAGTCTGACCACTTAGACAGAGGTGGTTGTGGCCTCTGCTGAAGAACAATACTAAGCCCATACAAAGAAACCCCTGCTCCATATCCCTGCCTCTCACTTACTGTGCATCACACGATGACATTCCACCTGCCATGTTCAGGAACGGGCTTGTTTTGACGTTCTCTAGCGTCTTTGATGGAACATCGGGAAGTTTCTGCAGACGAGCCATGACATGGTGGCGGTCGTGATCTTTTTGTCCCCTGACAACACCATGTGAAGAACAATAGTAAGGCATCTCGCACGGATCACAGGCCTCACAGCCAACTTCTCACCTTAGCAAGTCTTGGGTTTAAACTCACCTGTCACAAATGTCAGAACCAACTAGAGAAGTGATCAAAGTCCAAGTATAAAGAGGTCCTCATCCTTCGCCAAAACCAGAATCTTCATAGCACGACAAACGCACAAACATTCACTTACAAACAACACTCTTTCCACCATTCTCAACACAGAACACTCTCTGACTTTTCAAAGTCTTTCTACCCCAGCCTTCATTATGCCTGCCTCATCCAAGAACACCAACGTCCAGGCCGTCGGCTTTCCCATCGGCTGCAGCGTCATGGCCAAGCCCATCCCCAAGGAAGCCGTCGGTTTTCCCATTGGCTGCAACGTCATGGCCAAGCCTGGTCCCAAGGAAGCTGTTGGCTTCCCCATCGGTTGCACCATCATGTAAAAGCCCTGTATTCCCGGGCTGTCTTGAAAATGATGCCCCTGAGCTGGTAATCTACAACCTTGAACCAGCTCTCAACACTCGACCACAACTCGATACGCAATACACACGAGCACCGGACGAATAATACTCACCTTCTCGACAACCAAGGGGAATAAATGACATGGGGAGAAGACGGGTACCATTGGCTTGTAACTTTTATTACCTGGCTCTGGGTTGAGGGACGCCAACACTCGGAAGCCACTTTTACCACGACATGCTGCCTAGTTTGATCAAGCGCAAGATGGGAATAGGACAGCCACTAGCATGACGGGGGAGATTGATTTTTGCCCACATTTTACTTTATCATTTCCTGAATACAAGCCCTTGGACCAACGTTTGGTGTATTGCCCGTGACTGTGATTTATAGACTTGGCCATCCACATTTGGTCAAGACTGACTAAAGACTGTAGAAGCTGTAGAAATCACGCCAAATTATCAAGTAAGTTCCAAAAGTCTTGAGCAAAGAAATTCTTGACACAATGTTGGTGTAATAAAGAGTGAGGAGGAGTTGAGTTGTCAAGTTCTTAACGTCTCAATTAGGAAATGGCCCAAGTGAACCTTCCGCTGCAGACGCACAAGCGCAAGCGCAGTGACCCACTAAAAAAATGTCAAGGCGGTGAACCCCATGGCGCGGCAGAATTTGGAGATTTTTCCTTAGCAGGCGCCGCCAAATGCTCAAACGATTTGTCTTTGTAGCGATTAACCCAAAGAAAACGCGCCAACGTCCACACTTTGTGTCAAAATTTCGCAATCATGGTCACCAAGGGAAAGCTCAAGATGGCCCTGGCCGCGGAGAAGGGCACAGACTTTAAGAAGCTCAAGTTGAAGCGGAAACAGAAGGAGGCTGAGAAGCGCAACAAGGCTGCTCGTCGCGGGGCAGCTGAGGAGAGCGATGAGGAGGAAGAGATTGAGAACGAGGTCGCTGAGGGTGACGACGATGAAGATGAGGAGGATGAAGAAGTACAGGTTTGTCTTGATCTTCAATTGAAGAGAAATCGCAGCTTGAACGGCACACTGACCAGTACCAGTACAACCTAGAAGGTATCGACGACAGCGACGACTCGGACTCGTCAATCGAGCTTGAGGAAAAGATTCCCCGCAAGTCAAAAAAGAGCGCCTCGCCCGCAGCAAAGAAGGTCGCAGACGAGGAAGATGATGAAGAGGAAGAGGACGACGAGGACATCCCCATGTCGGACCTTGAAGACCTCGACGACGCCGACAAGGAAGACCTCATCCCCCACCAGCGCCTCACCATCAACAACACCACCGCCCTCCTCGCCGCCCTCAACCGCATCGCCATCCCCTCCGACAAGTCCGTCCCCTTCGCCACCCACCAGTCCGTCCTCGCCGGATCCGAGACGTCTGCCTCCATCCCCGACGTCCAGGACGACCTCCAGCGCGAGCTCGCCTTCTACTCCCAGAGCCTCGACGCCGCCCGCCAGGCCCGCAAGCTCCTCCGCGCAGAGGGCGTCCCCTTCTCCCGCCCCAAGGACTACTTTGCCGAGATGGTCAAGGAGGACGCCCACATGGAAAAGGTCAAGGCCAAGCTCGTCGAGGAGGCGTCCAACAAGAAGGCCGCCGCCGAGGCCCGCAAACTGCGCGACCTCAAGAAGTTTGGCAAGCAGGTCCAGGTCGCCAAGCTCCAGGAGCGCCAAAAGGCCAAGCGCGAGACCCTCGAGAAGATCAAGACTCTGAAGCGAAGTGAGTATCACACGTTCTCCATGCTGTATTTTTCACCTGCTGACTTTTATCCTCCTAGAGCGACAAGAATCTGGCGGTGCCGACCTCGGCACCAACGAGGCCGATCTCTTCGACGTTGGCGTCGAGAGCGAGATGAAGAAGCACAACCAGCGCTCCGGCGCCGGCCGCGGTCAGATGGGCGCCGGCTCGGGAACCGTCAACCACAAGCGAGCCAAGAAGAACGAAAAGTACGGCTTCGGCGGCAAGAAGCGCCACGCAAAGTCGGGCGACGCCATGAGCTCCAGCGACCTGAGCGGCTTCAACGCCAAGAAGATGAAGGCCGGTGGAAGCAAGGTTTCCAAGGCGCGACCCGGCAAGGCCAGGAGGAAGGCCATGGGTGCCCGGTGAGGGGGTTCGAGTTGATAGATAGAGTTGCTGAGAAGGGTGGTTTGTTCAAGGCGGCATTCCCATTGAAAGAAAAGGCTGGAGATGAAGGAGAAGGGCTGGCGTTTCGGGTCCTCATTCATACATGTAAATCGAAGCCATTTGGTCACTATTCACATTTTTGTCTCAAGTTTACTCTAACAATACCCTGTGAGCCGTACAGGCATGTCTTCGTCTTCTTGTCTACCCACACCCTCGACATATCTCACTCTTCATCAGGCACTCGAGTGTTTGAATTCATTGGTCATTTCATCTATACCCAAAGGAATATGTAGAAGATTCTGAGTAGCGACTGCCTCATTCGCCGCGGTCCAACGCCCATGATGATGATGAAGCCTTTTTTCAGGACACTTCACCAACCAAGAGACCGTCCTCCAACGCCGTTGGACATGTCCCCCCAAACCTCCAGGTCAATTTTACGCAGCTTCCGCAGACCCTGCGAAAACGAGTACCTCCCCCTTTCCTTCAATCGCTCCTCCCGTCGTTCTCCGTCCGTCATCAGTCATATCCAGAGTTCCATGGCCCCCGAGAGTATCGCCCCCGGTGGGCCGCCAGCAATCAAAGGTATCTATATACATGACGAGCATCGGCCGTGATATGTTTGATGCCCGTTCGCGCCAAGGAGCGGCCCAGGGGTGACAATATCTCTGGGAAGCTCCTGGCAAGCAATGGGTAAGAATTAGAAAAGGGAAGCCCTCCAAGGGTGAGGAAGAAGTCGAGGAAAAGAGACGGCAAGCAAAAAGGAACCAAGAAAATTTCAAAGTGCAATGACATGTGATAATGCCCCCAAACCCAACGTCCATTGTTGATGCCCAGCCTTGAGACGCCCATGAAAAGATAAAGCAAAAACCAGTGGTATCGAGAGGAAACGCCATGCGCTCATGACACGCTTTGCTGTGCAATGCATTTGCAACCCTTGGAAGACTGTGAAACAAGCATTGAGATGCCGCAGATTGCGCCGAGTTGATGCTGTCACGGATCATCGTGAAAAAGTGCTCCAGTAGATGGCCAGCTTGCTTTACTGTGTGGCCGCCACGCACCAATGGCGATGGAAAGCCCAAGCACTCTTCTGGCACTCTTTGCTGCAGTACTTGGTCCGCCGGCATCGGCGGCACTTGGCAAACTGACGGGTGTACTCTTCCCACTTGCCACACTGGTAGTATGCACACTGGCGGATACCTCCACGAGTGTCGTCCTTGCGGCAGAGGTTTCTCATAACAACGCCAGCCCAGTACTGCATATCAGTGCTGTGGTAGCGAACTGTGAACTTCTCAACAAGTGGGAAGAGGTTGAAGTCGTTGGGGAGCAGATACTCCTCATCGTCGGCGTCCTCATCATACACCTCGGGAACTTCCTCTTCACCATCGAGCACGGCGAGTTCCTTGCCAATCTTGAGGCGAGGGACAAGATGGCTCTTCTGGAAATAAGAGCGAAGACCGCAGTATTTGGAGACGTAGGCAAGGAGCTGCAGAGACATGAGCACATCCTCCTCCCGTGGCATGGCTGCGAGCATCTGAGGGTTCGGAACGAAGTGGCGGTCGAGGAGATATCGAGGGACGGTAGTGGCGGGCATGGGAGGCTGAGGAGGGGTGGCCATGGCGGGACGGTTAGGCGAAAGCCCAATTGGGGGCACAGGGGTGGGAGTATTGTTGTTAGCAATACTGCCATCCATAGGGCTGCGGTGGGTGATGTTGAAGGTGCTGGCTTCCTGGTGCGTCTCGGAGACGGTTGGTGTGGTCAAATCAAGAGCGGCACCAGCAAGCATAGCATCACCGTCCTCCATGGTGATATCCTGGATCCCAACGGCAGACTGCATGTTGTCGGTTCCCGTCATTTCGGCTTCAGGAGATTCGTCCGAAGGCATGCTGTCTCCGTTAATGTCATCGGCATCAGCAGTCGAGTTCTGATGACGGATCGACGGGCGTCTTCTGGATCGACCCGAAGGTCCTAGAACTGAGGCTGGGCGGACTGTCGGCGAGCGCATCTGAGCTGGCGGTAGAGGTGTGGTTGGGGAGGTCGGTTGGGAAGTAAGGTCTGTGGGGCCGAATGGGGCCATGGAAGCAAGGCGGTCGACATCACGGACAGGCCTCACAAAACCTTCAACAGTCTCGGTCGCTGGGACTGCAGTTGCAAGGGGCTGCATGGTCTGACGGGGAGCTGAAGTCGTGGCGTGACGGCTCTCAAAGCCCCTCAAGCTCTGGTGACGGGTCGGTGTGAAAGAGACAGCACGGTCCGGCGTGCCAAGGGGGTATTGAGGAGTCGCCAGAGCAGCATCGAGGGGCTGTTGCTGCAATTGTTGAGGTAGGGGCTGAGGAGCAGCGGTAGAAGGGCCAGCGTAGGTAGCTGAAACGTCAATGGACGGCGGAGGGCCGTGACGACGAAGCGATCGCTGGTCGGCGGCATCGACGCGAGGAATGGAGCGATGGCCGAAGGGAGCAGAAGCGGCGATGGTGGAGGTTGAGGACGAGGCTGACGAAGAGGCCGAGTTTGATGCTGAAGGCTTGGGGCCTGAGCGATGCTCGTGACTCCTATGGCGGTGGTGGTGATCATGGATCTGCTTCTGCTTGGCCTCCTCTGCCTTTTCACGGCACTTGTCGATGGCCTTGATGTAATTGTCGAGGATGGTAGCGATGACCGGGACCATGTCGGCCTCGACAACGCGGGTGCGGACGTTTTCCGTTCCTCGGACGCCGATATTGACGACACACTGGAAGGCAAGGTTCCACTTCCACATTCCCATCATATCCTTACTGCGACCCTGCTTCAGGATGCAGACCAGACGCTCGATGCCGCCATCGACAGTGAGGATATCGCGGATGCGAGCAGACGATGTGGTGAGATAGGCGAGATGGTTGAGGGAGTTGATGAGGGGGAGAGTGGACGTGCAATCCAGGGCCCTTCGATCATAAAGCGCCGTGGTAATACCAACAGACGCCTTATTGACGTTTGGAATGCTAAAGTTGACTTCCCTCATGGTTGCTGTTGATGGCGATGGCCAGGGGGCGAAGAGCCAGGCAGTCGAGGGAGGATGCGGGAGGGATTATTCAAGGAAGCAAAAGTCGGAGTGGCGTGGCGACCAGGAGCCTCCAATAACGACAGGCGAGCTGGGCCAGTTTTGCGGTGGGAGAGCGACGATATGACGGCAAACGGGATTGGAGAAGGCTCTGGACAAACCCCTCGATGGGGGACTGGCCAAGGAAGAGCGAGTCGGGCAGTTTTTTTCGAGGTTATCGTAACGGGTCGTGACGCGGTGGAGCGGATAGGCGCAGGATGGCTCGCGAGCAGGCAGGGGAAACGTATGCCGTGGGCGGAAGGGCGATATTCGAGGGCGGGCGACGGTATATACGTACAAGAAGAAAAGACAAGTGAAGATGGAGATGAAGGGATTTTTTTGATGGCGTTGTGAGCAGGCTCGGCGGGAGAGGGAGGATGATGGGGGAAGATGGGAGAAAAGAGGGTTGAGGGAGTGAGTGCAAATGAGGAGGAAGAGGCTGGTTTGGTTTTAGGCGGGTTTTGGAAGCCCAGGCTTCGGTAGAGCGTAGGCACCTGGAGGTGCTGGTGCTGGCGCTGGCGCTGTAGGGGAGACCGAATTTGGCGGCGCGCTAGGGGGCCTCTTTTGGGGCTTCTCGGGGGAGACAAATGGGGGAGGGTCTGTGTGTTCTCCAGCCCAGCCCAGCGTGTACGGTGCGGTGCGTGGGTGGCGGTGGAAGAACCTGGTACTTCTACCACCTTGATGAGGGTATTGAAAATGGATAATCTTGAAGATGAATTCCAATCCGAGTCCAAACGGGAGAGTTGTCCTCTTGATGTTCAGCGGTAGTGGTGATGACCAAGCTTGGTGGTGAATATGTGACTAAGGGGATAATGCAGCAGGCAGAAAATAACGAGTTGGGTCAAGAGGAGCATGAATGTACTGCTGTAGCTCGAGTGAATCTCTCGTCTCTTTGTCCACTCGAAATCGTTGTTCCGATTCTCGCTCTGAGCTCTCTCACTCGCCTCCCTCATCAGCAATTTTCCTCAGCGGACAGATGGATTGTGGATCATTCATCGATGGGCGAATAAGTGGATGGATCAACGGAGGTCTCATGGCAAAAGCGGCAAATAACCGCAACAAGGGAATAGACAATTATTGATGAATGAGCCTTTCCGAGCAAGGTTCGACAGCCGAGATGGCAATGCCAGGCTGGTGTTGCGTCTAGTGTGAGGTTGGGCTTCTCAGTGGTTTGATTTTGATTGTGGCCACTGGTGGAATTGTTTCAGGCGCAGTTGGGGGCGACAAGGGCTCGCTCTCCCTTCCGTCTATTATTCTGCTACCCATTGTCGTCTTCTTGCAGGGTCTCCTCAGGGCTTCGGATCCGACTCCCGGGAATACCTCCTCTGAAGCTTCATTCCTTGAGGATTTTCCGTGCCATCGGGTCGAACCAACGCCTGGAGGTCAGTGAGCACACGGGTAATATCAGCGTCTCTATACCTGGAGAATGGATCCTTGCACAGACACCAGCAGCGGCATGTGGGCGTCTCGATAGATGCCAACGTTCTCTTGGAGCTTCTGGAGCTTCTGGAGCTTAACTCAATCTCGACTTTATGCACCCTCGAGAGAAAAAGAATTGAGTTCCATACGAGAAACAGTCTGGCCGTTCTGATGCAGTGGCTTGCTTCGTATGCAGGTGAAACCCGACGTTGCAACATCAAAAGGATAAAAAAGCACCACCACTACCCGCACCTTTTTCATGCCTGGACAGCCAGCTCTCTCCCATCTCGCTTCTCGGCCAGCTCTCGCTACTTGTCACGAGACCACTGCCCCCATTTCAAAGATGAGGCTCGTCCTCTCCTTGAAATGTCACGCCAGGGCTGGGCGCCGTTGCAGCTTCTATAAACAGCGACCACTCCCCCATGACTGAGGATGGGTCGACATTGAGGGTGGAAGAACGTGAGAGGGCACGAGGGGTGTTGACCGTGTTGTGCTTGGACGCCAAGCACACACTTCCGTCCGGGTTCTCAGCTCGTTCTGGACTCTGCTCTCTCTTGTCGCGGCTGGCGGACCTCTCCCCCACGTCGCCTCACGCACTGTGATTTTAGTACAAATTACCTTTGGTTTTACTGGCCCAGTCACAGTAAGAGTCACAGTGCGATGCTCGTGTCAGGCATGATCGTCTCGGCCGGGGGCGGCGAGTTCTCGATGTTCCCCCAAGCCATCTCTGACGACGTTCTTGGGAATGGTCATGCCGATCCCTTCATGCACATCACCGTTTTATCGCTCAAGCGTGAATCAGGCACGAGGTGACAAAGCATTCTTGTCTCCCACCTGGGGGGGTTCAGTCAGATCGGGAATTTACTAAGCGCAAATCTCGGAGTTGGCTGGGATGGCCGGGTTTACCAAATTACGGCTTTCTCCTCGCTTCTTCTTCATCAATCATCCCCCATCATTGTGCTGATGCCAGTAGACATAGGCTTGCCACCGTTTCCTCCCGCTAGCAACGACAGGCAGAGGACAGTGACGTAGATTCTCCCGCCGTGGACCCTACTCTGACAGCGCTGATACATCCACTCTGGAGCCTAGGTCGCGATCGTGCAAGGACAGCATCGCTGAGCTGTGGAGGCAAGTGTTTGAATCGGTCTCTCCGCATGGATCTTGGTTCACTCTGTCTTGGGACAGGCCTGCCTGAATAGCTAGGTTTTCAGCTTGACTCGCCCAGCACCTGCAGCGGCTCCCTCTGATTCATCGTCATTCCCGCGATTGAGGCTTGTCGGTCCCCGCCGAAGGGAACCACAACGAGATCGACCAAAGCCACGGCTGAGCATCGGCCAACCTTGATTGGCTGCCCTGGCGTATGTTGCCGCCGAACCGGCGCTTAGCTTTCGACGCTCCATCGAAGGTCTCGCCTCCTAAACCCAATCAAGAATCGTATAACAGCCAACAACTTCTTAACCAACAGCTTCATTTACCCCTACCTAGAGAATCTAGCTGAATGCAGATATAGGCACAGCAGACAGGAGCTGGCAGCAAGACCAACGAATTGGAAAAAGCATGGTTCACGGTCTCGTTCGTGTTGGCGCCGCTATTAATAAGAAGTTGCGTGATAGTCTTGATATCTAACGCAGGTGTTCGAACCGACAACACCATCTTTTCAGTCACCGCTGATTTTGGCATGTCTAAAGTATTTCATGCCGACCCAGGCTACAACAACCCATACCCAAGCCATAACGCCAGTAAGTATAATCAATGCCGGATAGTATCCCACGATCGGCAAGGTCTCGTCGTCCTCGAGCTCCGGCGGTGCATATGGTGTTTTGCCCACGTCCCATGCCCAGCTCCAGACGTCGAGGCAGGATCCCATCCCGATAACGAACACAAACCATGTCACGCATAACACCACCCATCCCCACCATTCTGTTTCTGCATAGTCCCAGTCCTCGTGCTGTGGTAGTGTGTTGGTTGAGAGTCCGCCGTATGACAAGGGTGATTTGGCTCGGTTGATTGACCGCCGTCGCTGTTGGGAAACCGCTGAGCTCAAACTGCTAAAGTATGAATCTGGTCCCGGTGACATGGACAGTCCTTGCCGAAGCGTTGTCGAACCTCTCGGGATCTGAAGCATATCCTCTTCGTCCGTTGATGTATACGATGCCGCATCTCTGTCCACATTTGATGTCGCATGTGCGACTGACTGTGATATCGAACTTCCTTGGGCCAGCGCAGATGATGCGCCAATGCTCCCTGGCAAAGGTGTAAACCCACCAATTGATGTGCCTGGCGTGTCTTCTGAAGTGGCATTGAGGTCCAAAGCCTCGATTTGCGTGGGGCTCTCCGTCCGAATGGCCGCCGGATCAAGACCATACGCTGCGGCGTGCGAAGTATCGATGCTCAGGGGTCTGCTCTCTCTTCGTTCGCGTTGCGCCCCACGGCCAAGAAGCGCAGCTTTCCTGAGCGATCCTCTTCGTCGGCGCGTTCTCTGCTGCTGAATCACGCTTGCAGAAGGTCTCGGTGCAGTACGGGGAGCAGACGTAGTGTTTCTGTCGTCGGTAGCGGCGCCATCCTGCCCTCCTCGCTTCTCTGACGATTTCAAAAAGGGGAACTTGGACATGAGACTTGAATTTGAGGGGGCTCGTCGGTGTGAAGGGGACGGAGTAGGCGAGGTTTCGCGCTGCGTTCGAGGGGTATCCTCCATGGTCGCGAGAGGCTCGGATCGAAGGTTGCGGGTGGTGGGAGTATGTCGCTATGAGGTGCTTCGAAAACGTTGATGAATGCGCTTCTACAATCGTTCGAGATGAGGGATAGGATCGAGTTTACGGCCGTATATACGTGCCGTAAGCTACTGTTATTGATACAAAGAAGTCTTCTGCATGACCTCTTCTAGCGGTCGTATTCTATTCCTTGATAGATAACGAAGCTTGGAGGGGAAGCCAGATTTGACGATGACGATGATCCTAGATGGCAGTTGGACTGCGACGCCACAATGGTTTCGAAACAGCCCGCCCACCTTCCGTCCCGTCCACTGAAGGTTAGCCGACCCCCGCCTACCGCACTGAGCTCCAGGCGTCGCTGCAGCCTCCCCCAGCGGGTATGGGGATGTGGCTTAGGCGCAGCAAAGTCCCCTGTAACCCCTGCATCTCTTGGAGTACCCCTGAAAGTCTGTGCCACCTTCCACCTCTATCGCGACGTCAACGCATTCCATCCTCCATCAGTCCCGTCTTTTGTCCCTCTATCACGCGCGCCATCGCCGCAAGCAGAAAATCGAACTGCGCCAAAGTCAAAAAATCACATCAATGACATAGCATATCGGCCCCTAACAGGACCCTACATTCCCAATCGCCTCGTCGGTCGAGTCAAGGGGACGCGTCTACCTTCCGAAAGCAGCAGGAGCACATGTCGAGCCATCCAGGTGCTCAGCTTCGCATCCCCGCCCCGCCGAGTCTCGTTGTCCACGGTGACAGCGACGACGATATCAGCCAGAACAAACGCCAGTCGCTTATCGATATCAATATTGAAGACGAAGACGACGTCGAGGCCGAATCTGTAGCTATTCAGCGGCAGCTCAATCACGACGCCGCTCTTTACAACTCGTCCGCCCCGAGCCTCCTCTTCCCGCCATCGGCCACTGCGTCTTCATCCTCCCTATCACTTCCCACAATGGGTCTCGAAGATGAGACCGGCGACTCGTCCGCCGCTGCTCCCAAGAATCCCTTCAACTTCCAGACACAAGTGATATCTACTGGTCCTGTAAAGTCGGTATGTGGTTGTTCTCTTGGACAAGTCGGTATCTATGCCTTGGGTGCTAACGCTCTCCCAGAACATTGGACAACGTCGCGGTCACCGATACAAGCACAGTAGCATATCATCACAACACCAGATCTTCAAGGAGCCACCCCAGAGACCTCCGCCCGTTCTCCCAGCGTCTCTTCCTATCCCGACCATCCGCGAAGCATGGAAGAGCATGACCAAAGACCAGCGCATCCACTGCTACTGGAGTCTCTGCCATCTGGCCGTTGCCACATACGTCTTCTTCCGCTCCGAGGGCTCTCTTGCTACAACGGCGCTCTCACACCTTGTCTTCTTTGATGCTGGTAGTGCCGCTGTCTGCGTTATGGTGGACGTTCTTGGCAACTTTGAGGTCTGGCGTCGCAGCAGTATCCGCCACCCGTTTGGCCTTGAGAGAGCAGAGGTTCTGGCTGGCTTTGCCATGTCAATCTTCCTCCTCTTTGGTGGATTCGATCTTATCTCGCATGCTCTCAAGCACTTCCTCGAGTCTCTTGGTAACCACGAGGCTCACCATGCGCATGGACATGAGGGCCCAGATGGTTCCATTGACTTTGTCTCTGCTGCTGCCATGATCAGCACACTGGTCTCTGCGTATGGTCTTCGAAACCACGCTCGCATTGCCAAGATCATGCGTGTCTCCTACCTCGCCTCTCTCCCCAGTGTTCTCTCCAACCCATTCCACTTTCTCACTCTATCCTTCTCTGCCCTAATTGCTCTTCTACCCCTTCTCTCCATTGCCCTATACACATGGCTCGACCGCCTAATCTGTGCCGTCATCTCATTTGCCATGTTCGCCCTGGGCATGCGTCTCGCTGTGGCTCAGGGCCTCATGTTACTCATGTCCTATGGTGGTAACGGCGGTAACAACGGCGTTAGCGCTGTTCTGCGTGAAATCGAAACAGAGCCCAGCATCGTTGCCATTGATGATGCTCAGTTCTGGCAGGTCCACTACGGCCTTTGCATGGCCAATCTCAAGCTGAGTGTGGTCAAGGGTTATGATGAGATGTCGCTCAGCAGGCTGCGTAGCCGTATCTCGGCGTTGATTCAGAATCGCCTAGGTGAAGGCTATGGTCACGGTGGAAGCGTTCGATGGGAGGTGACACTCCAGATGAGTACCGATGGAAGCACATAACGGCCTAGACGATGGTATACCAGAGAGGGGAAGATACATATATGGCCAAAGCTATTGCCAGATAGATGTCCTATTTCATTACTTGGATGTCAGATGAACATGTCACGACAGATAGGATTCAGGAGTAATTGATCGCCATCATATTTTTGGTAGCATGGAATGGAATAGTCATGTTATTGAGGAGGGTATCCTTGCACGTAACGAAAGCACATCTATCTACAGCCTCGCTCAATGTGCTCTTTGGGTTAAAGCATCCGGGCCTCTCTTGACTATGGACAGCACAGGGGCCAGAAGAGACCCATACGGGTGAACAACTTGAGCGTCCCCCTGACGTTATATCCGATCCTCACCACCGCAAGCAAGAAATCTAAATCCAATGGCCAGCCAAGCAGTCAACTCCGCTAACTCCCAGTGTGGTTCTCATGACTCGTATTGGACACATCAGGCGCTGACTGGCAGCTTAGAATAGACCCCAGCGACCACGCTGCTTTCCAGAATCCCTCCTGGCCACGCGGTCACGGTCGCCGCGGCCGTCGAGCTGCCGCAGGCTCTCCATCTTCTCGAGGACCAGCTCAAGCAGCTCCTTGCGGCGGATGACCTCGAGATGTCGACGGATCTTGGGGTCCTCCTTGGCAAACTTCTCGATCTGCTCCTGGGACAGGTGGCGGCCGAGGCGGAGGTCCAGCTCGCGGGGGAAGTTGTAGTAGAACTCGGAGAGGAGCTCAACGTTGAGGAAGAGAACCGCAGTGGAGGCCAGCTTAGTAGCGGCAGCATCGAGGAAGACCTCGGGGCAGTAGTACTTGTTCTTGGCGTTGGCGCACTGCTTGGACTTGACGGCAAGCAGACGCATCTTGATGATGTCGGCTCTGTCACGAAGGAAGACAGCCTCACGTCCTATATCATAATTAGCACTCGTCTCTCCAGGATCTCTTCGTTGACTTACCCTTGCCCAAAAGAGCTGCACTAAAGCCACCAGCGCCGCTTCGTCCATCACCCTCCACCACAATCTCGCCCTTTCGAGCCTTGTCGACAAAGGCAATGACCTCCTTCAGCTTTCGTCGTCCGCCGACAGTATCCTCGAGTCGCTTCATGGCTGCCTCGCAGTCCTGAAGCTCCTTCTTGAGAACACCACCGACGTGGTCTCGTCCCTTGGCCCATTCTCTGTCTTCAAGTTCAATCTCAAACTTGTATGGCTTGATACAGTTCTCCACCTGATCGCTTGTGCTGTAGAACCGCTCGTTGAGGATGGTAGAGGCAGCTTCCATGATGGCCTGGCGAGCGAAAGGATGGGTTGCAAAGCTGGAGTGGGCGAGGAGAGAATCAATATGGGCCTGAATCGAAGATGCAACAGCTGTGGTCGCCAGACGTCCCACGCCGAGCTTCGTAAGTGCGGAGGTGGACGCATCAAGCTGTCGGTGCCAGTAAAGGGAGTCAGGATCAGCCTTGGGAAGATCCGCCAGGTTGTCGAGGTCAGGCTTGGCCAACGACAGATCATCGATAGGCTTATTCCAGTACCTAGCTGCAAGCAAGTCAAGAACCTTTTGGTCCAACTCCTGCTTCAAGAGCTCATGCATTTGAGGTCGGCCGAATTCTTCTGCGAACTGCTTGAACGAGTGCTTGAAGGCGTCAAGGCTTTCAGCGAGGTACGACTCAGCTGAGAGTGGGCGATCGTTGTATTGCACCTTGAACTCGTAGGTAGCTTCCTCCAGCTCTTGTCGGATAGCGTCGCTCGTGCCCTGCAGGCTAGAGGACATGGTCTGCTCCAGAACATGCATGAGCTTCTTGCGCAGGGTTGTGGTTCCCACGTTCACGCCGGCTTCGGGGCCAAACTCCATGGGGTGAGACGAGAAAAAGGAATTCTCGTTCCTGACAATATCTGAGAGAAGGTTTGTAGAGCCGATCTTGAACAGACCCTGGCTTTGCGGAGCCTTAGGCACGACACCAACGTAACCCAGCCTCAAGGGGTACTGCTGGTCGTTGAGAATAGCAGCACCACGTACAGGGTCAACCAGGTCCATCTTTGTAACAACACCAATGGTTCGCTCGCCTCGGGGATCAACTCTGCGGGATGCTCGCAGAGCAGTCGAGTTCGCCAAGTCCACATCGGCGGCCGAGATGGCGAGGATCACATTAGGGGGCTGAATGTACTTGTCGCAGAGCTCAGTAATCTTTTGCTTCAATTGCAACGGCTGGTTTTGTCCGACAACTTGAATGTAACCAGGCAGGTCAATGAGTGACAGGTCAGGAACGTTAGGGGAATAGATGGTGAGATGAATTGGATCATCAGACACACACTCGGTGTCGGGGACGGCAAGGTTGAGTTCGGTCAATGTCCTCTGAATAGATGAGAAGTCTGTGATGTGTCGCAGGCCGAGATCGGGGAATTCGCCAAACTCCTCCTTGGAAGACGGAGTGTTAACGAGGGTCAGCTCAATCGGTCGTCGTGTGACCATGTTTGAGCCCTTGGGAAGAAATTCATGGCCAACAATTGCTTCCAGAACAGAACTCTTTCCGGACGACTGAGAGCCAATGACGACGATCGAGGGGAGGGTCAAGGTGCTCGACTGTCCAATCTTCTGTAATATGCTTCGAATCTCGATCATCTTCTTGGTCAGAATCATCATCTGGTCGTCCTTGGCCGCCTCTTCGCCATCACGGGGATCATCGGTGTTTGACTTCTCATATCCATAGGCGGCAGCTGAAGCGCCGGCGACAGCTGCGGCACCAACTCTGCTCTGCTTTGGGTCACCGCCACCGCCTGAGCCACCGGGTCCACCGGTGCCGATATCTTCATGAAGTCGAAGGACTTGTTTGACCCAATCGGGTAATTCAGCCTTTTCTTTTGTATTTTCCCAGCCTTGGTGAATCTGATCAGCAATATCTTTGGCGCCGCCGAAGAGGCTCGAGGCAGCACCAGTGACCGTATCGGTGGTCGTGTTGAAGAGGTTGATGGCGAAGGTACCGGCCTCTGGTCACGAGTCAGTATAATGACTCCAGATCATGATTGAAGGTTAAACGTACGAGTAGCTTGATATTGAACCCAAGCGAAAGCACCGATAGCTACGCCGCCAAACATTGCTGGCACTCTGAGAAACTTGACCATGAGCTTGGGCAAGAATCTCGCAAACGAGACATTCCTAGCGGTGACGGCATTGTGAAAAGCGTTGCCACCGTACCACATCCGCTTCCGAGTCGCTCGTATCGTTGCATCGGCCTGGAGGAGTCCGCCCGTAGAATTACGATGTAGATGTCGAGCAGGGTGAATAGCCGCACGCCGAGCCACAGGCCGGAGCCCTGCAGCGAGGACTCGTCCGCTCATGGCTGTGGATCGCCGTCCGGTGATGTTCGAGGCTCAAAGTCTTGGTGTTGAGGGCCGTCGACACGCCCGAGTTAAAGTTGACAATGGCCGGTAAGAGTGTGTAGCATCCAAGGTCGAGTCGTTATCGGGTGATCCGTTTTCTATCGAAGTTCTGATATCATTCAAGTGCTCATCCATCTGCCAATGCAATGCAATGCCGAGGAGGCATTAACTTATTAGGTAAGCGAGATCCACCCACCAAACTGGCGGGACGTTGAGCGCATGCCAGCAAAACCGAGGCGCAAGGAAAAAATGGCAGGTGCTTGGCTTATCTCCACGTGAGAGGCCGATAAGGCTGACCGTGTCGCAAAATTTCTGGTTCGCGGGGACTTTTTTGGAAGCCTCTCGTGCTACAGAGTAGGTCGCTCCGATCAATTCTTTTGCCCCAACGCCGTCAAGATGGCGATCCAAAAGAAGCACGGCAAGGGCCGCTTGGACAAGTGGTACAAGTTGGCCAAGGAAAAGGGCTATCGTGCTCGTGCTGCCTTCAAGCTTGTTCAATTGAACAAGAAGTATGGCTTCCTTGAGAAGAGCAAGGTCCTTCTGGATCTTTGCGCTGCTCCTGGTGTAAGTATTGCGATTCCTGGTCGATCAACTTGAGCTCACATCTCGCAGTCATGGTGCCAGGTCGCAGCCGAAGTTATGCCCCCCAACAGTCTCATCGTCGGTGTCGATTTGGCTCCGATCAAGCCCATCCCCCGAGTCATCACTTTCCAGAGCGATATCACGACCGAAAAGTGTCGCGCTACAATTCGACAGCATTTCAAGACATGGAAGGCCGATACCGTGTTGCACGATGGTGCTCCCAACGTCGGTACTGCCTGGGCGCAGGATTCTTTCAACCAGGCGGAGCTTGCACTTCAGGCCATGAAGCTGGCAACGGAGTTCCTCATTGAGGGAGGTACCTTTGTGACCAAGGTTTTCAGATCGAAGGACTACAATCCCCTGCTATGGGTTCTCAACCAGCTCTTCACCAAGGTCGAAGCAACCAAGCCCCCGTCCTCCAGAAACGTCTCGGCCGAAATTTTCGTTGTCTGCAGAGGCTACAAGGCCCCGAAGAAGATCGATCCTCGATTCCTCGATCCCCGAGCCGTCTTTGCAGAGCTTACTGGCGCGACACCAAACAACGAAGCCAAGGTCTACAACCCCGAGGTCAAGAAGCGAAAGCGAGACGGTTACGAGGACGGTGACTACACACAGTTCAAGGAAATGCCGGCAAGCGAGTTCATTCAGACTACGGACCCTATCGCAGTTCTCGGAAGCTACAACAAGCTCACCTTCCAGCAACCCCTGAACGGCGATGTGGCACTGGCTGCGCTGGATAAGCTCCCCGAAACGACTCCGGAGATTCGAAACTGCTGTGATGATCTCCGAGTGCTTGGCCGAAAGGACTTTAAGCTCCTGCTCAAGTGGCGCTTAAAGGTCCGGGAGATCTTTGGGTTCAAGACAAAGGAGACTGCTACAGAGGAGCCGGAGGAAGTGGCTGAGGTCGAGTCTATGGACGAGGAGCTCAAGATCCAAGAAGAGCTGCAAGCAATGAAGGACAAAGAAAACAAGAAGAAGAAGCGAGAGAAGCGCAAGGAGAATGAGCAGAAACAGCGAGAGATTGTTCGAATGCAGCTCAACATGACTGCTCCCATGGATATCGGTATGGAGGAATCTGGCCCTATCGGTGAAGGAGCTATATTCTCTCTCAAAAAGGTCGACAAGACGGACGCCATGCGAAGATTGAATCGTGGTAAAATGGCCATCGTCGCAGGCTCGACTGCCAAGAAAGACCAGGATAGCGGCCTTGGATCCTCCGCTGAGACGGATGAGAGTGACGCTGAAGAGGATCGCCTTGAGCGGGAACTTGATTCCATGTACGACGAGTTCAGAGAGCGCAAGTCCGAAGCTGATGCCAAGTACCGGGCGAAGAAGGCGCGCAAAGAACATGGCGATGATGAGTGGGAAGGAGTGTCTGCGGATGAGGCACAGGAGGAGCAAGATGATTCTTCAGAGCTTGATGAGGATGACGACTCATCTGATGACGATGATGAGGGTCCTTCATCTGGACTTATCCGAGACTTGGACTCTTCACAGGGTGCCAATGGATTGTCCAAGAAGGCAACGGCGTTCTTCAACCAAGACATCTTCCAGGGGCTAACAGGCATTGTTCCTGAACCTGAGGAGGAAGTCAACGCCGAGGACAGCGCTGATGAAGAGATGGACCGGGCTGCAGAGGCTGCTGCTGCACAACAAGCCAAGAACCGCAAGACAAAGACACTTGCCAAGCAGGAAGAGACAGCTCTCGACTCTGATTCTGAGATGGAAGATGCTGGAGATGGGTTTGAAGTAGTCAAGCGGGATGAGGAGGACGACTGGGACCAGGAGAAACGAAAGGACGATGGCCGACTTGGTAAGTGCTTTGCTCACATTGACATGAATAGAGACCAGGAGCTAATATGTTCAGATATCGATATTATCACGGCCGAAGCCATGACCCTGGCACACCAACTCGCCACAGGACAAAAGACAACTCACGACGCCATTGACGATGGATTCAACAAGTGGGCCTTCCGAGACCGCGACGGCCTACCTGAGTGGTTCATCGATGATGAGTCGAGACATGACAAGCTCCAGAAGCCCATCACCAAGGCTGCTGCCCAGGCTATCAAGGAGAAGATGAGGGCCTTCAACGCCCGCCCCATCAAGAAGGTGCGAGAAGCCAAGGCTCGCAAGAAGTTCAAGGCTGCGCAGAGGCTGGAGAAGCTCAAGAAGAAGTCAGACATGCTCAATAACGACGAGAACATGACGGAGAAGGAGAAGTCGGACAGCATCTCCAGGTTGATGGCCAAGGCTGCCCGCAAGAAGCCCAAGCAAGCCGCCAAGCTCGTCGTGGCGCGCGGTCTCAACCGTGGTATCAAGGGACGGCCAAAGGGTGTCAAGGGTCGTTACAGAATCGTGGACCCCAGGATGAAGAAGGAGCTGAGGGCGCAGAAGAGGATAGCCAAGCGGAAGTAATAGGTAGATCTTTTATTGGCGAAAATAGATTTGGGGCATTTGTTATTCTGCGCTTGCTTGTGCACCATTTCCCAGGCTGATGTCACGAACGAATGTCGATGTAGGATACAAGGGACCGGTAAAGTCCAAATCGTACCTGGACAGTATTAGTTCCTAGGACTGGGAGGAGTTTGATAAGCCTTACCAGTAGTTGACAGCAAGTACAAAGCCTTCATCCTCTTCGGCGCACGACTGCGATACCTTGTGATACCTTGGATGCATGAGTATCCTGAGATCGGCTTGGATGGATCATCTTACCACATGGCTGGGAGGTACAGCATATCTCCCGGGTTCAGAGTAACTCTCAGGGGTTTAGCCAGGTGCGAGAACCGCGTGGCATTCTGTTCCGGCTTCTCGGGGTCCCAGATTGCAAAAGGCACAGCCTCATCATCCGAGTCCATCACAAGCTGCAAGCCGTCGTCCCCTCGCTTATACGTGGCAGGCCTCAGGGGCTGCTCGTTGACGCAGGGGTGGCATAGCGAGGGGAGCAGGACAAAGTGCTTTCTTCCCAAGACCTGGACGTAGATGTTTTCGTAGTTGTCCTTGTGCATTGCCGTGACTGACTTGGAGTTGCCGATCCACAGGTTGACGGCGTCGGGGTTCTTGTCCAGTGCTATCCTAGCGAAGGGGATGTCCTTCTGAACGTCTGAGAAGAGTGTGACGTACTCATCGCGGAGATTGTCGTTCTCTAGGACCTTTTCAGTATGAGCCAGCTTAGATGAGGTAGGTGACTTACGAGTTTGTGCGTATCGAATCTCTGCATCACTAGGAAAGTCGGGGTCCGTCTCTTGACGAACAACATATTCGAGGAGCTCCTCAAAAGGCTCATCCTCGTAGTGGGGTTTGGCAAAGACGGGAGAATCCTCGCCAGGAGGAACGGTTGGCATATCAGCATTTCTATGTGATTATTAGCATCCATCTTTTGCTAGGCCATGTCCGCATTGTACGAACCCATACGGTGTCACAGCAACGTTGACAGATTGATTCTTGAGTGCAGAAAGCAGGTAAGCCGAGTTCCATTCCCGACAGGCCTTCCACGAGGATGCCCCATCCCTAATCACAAATGGCGTGTTCCGGGCCACATATCGCATAAACTCGAGCGGACTAGGCTCCTCATGAAGCTCATCAATAACGTTACTGTTGAGCTCGTTAAAGGTCGAGATGAGGTTCTCAATAGCGGCATCTGCAGCCCCACCCGAGTTACCCTTTGGCTTCCCACCAGTAGTGAGATTCTGTCCAGCTAGATGCTGGTTAAAAAAGAGGCCGTTCATGGTTGTCGGCCCAGTTTCAAGGTGAGTCCAAAGTTGAGTGAGTGAGCTTATGGTGGAGTGAGAAGTTGAACGCAACCTTCTGCTACCAATGAGAAAAGCGGCGAAAATGCAGGTCGGCCCGTTGCGGATGAAGGACCCTATGAATCCAACAATAGAAAACAAACGCCTCTGACAATAATTGTTTTCGAAAATTAGAGTATAATTGAGCTATAAAATCCGGGAAAGAATCATCATTCACTTTCGCTGATTGGTGTGTTTTACGTGCTTTCAGCTTTGCACGTATTGGATTGTAGGGTAGGTGACCAACATCGTACAAACTTAAACTTTCCCTGAGCAAAATATCACATTTCTTCTCCCCCGGGATAAAAAGACCAATCGAAGAGAAAGAACATGCTGAACGATAGTTAAAGACCTACAGTTTGAGACCTAAACAACCCTTCTTGGTTGGACATCTAAGCTTGACAACTGCCACAAGGAAAGGAGCCAAGTCCCGAGATATCGATCCTGACTGAAGACACTCAATCAAGCATAGGTAACTTCAAGAAGCGAAGTGGCCATCACATGTCATTTTGATCCATTATCAATATTTTCACATCTCGATGAGGTTCTAGAACGTTAAAGCCTCCTCCAAGTTGCCCGCGTTTAAGGCTGGTGATCGACCCTAGTGCCGGAACCTCCCGCGCAACTCAATTACAACCTGCACCCAGAATACCACGATATAAAAAACTTGACTATTTCACAGGCGCCCATGCCACAACAGCTTGAATAAATGGTTAGAAGAAGCTAGAATATAAATTTCATAGCCTAAGAATACTTCTGGATACCACAAAATGCATAGATGCCCATAGAGATTAACAAATAATAATCTCAGCGGCATGCCAAGTTGGTGTGTCTATATCTGCTCCCATCTATACGTGGATGGGCACGGACACACAGACACTGGTAGGGTCAGGTTCGAAATGACTTCTCTGGATGACAGGACAATGTTGTGCATGAAAGGTAACATCCCATTCCTTCTGATCGAGGTCAAAGCCCTGCCAGCTCGCTTCTTCCCCAAGCCCCCATCTCGAATGCAACGCCACCATTGCAGCAAGCCTTGTGGCCATAAGCTCACATCCATCTCTTGGGAAAAGCCTTTGCGACCACCAACTCCTTGCGTGGGAATGCCATTGCGAGTGAGACCCGCGACACTTGACCCAAATTAAGGATCACACTCCCACGCTTCAAGTCGAGACCCGAACCGATGGCAAGAATGTGGGGGTCCTAACCGTGTCGGCAAATGTCGCGGAGTAACTTGGATGCTTGAGCCGTAGAGTGGTTAGACTTTGAAAAGGTCTCAGAATCGCCTCAGCTCAGTCTGGGTTGATGGATGTATTACCATTGGGGTCACTCGACCGAGCTGAGATTCGACTCATTCGAGAGTGAAAAAGAAGAGGGCTGGGCTATCAAGGTTATTAGGATTTCAAGCCCAAGTCCAGGTCCAAGGGCCCATCCCTTTTCGGGATAGACAGTTTTACCTGGTGGCTTAAAGAGTACATGAGGGTTGAGGAGAGTTGAATTGCATTGGGCAGTGTGTTTAAAAACCAGGAGGTAACACTGAACGAGGGGAAGCTGAGAATGAGCTTGAACATTAAAGCCAGGCCAAGTTCACAAAAGACTCTGACTCCTCGGCATTCCAACAAATTGTCAACCGTGTACCGACATGAGAAAAAGAAAAAGGCGGCTTGACTTCAAAGGTATCGTTCAGGACGGGAAGCAGGGACATGGGTGCCAGGGGGGTTACCGGAATAGTGCGATGCGGTAGCATTAAGGCTGGCAAAGTGCATTCCCCTGCCTCAAAGGGTATCCTTGGCCTTGACCACTGGCTTGATGTACGATTAATTATCCTCCAACGACCAATAGCCAGCGTCGCATATTCCCTTACCAAGCTCATCGTGCCGTGGACGAGCGGGTTTCATTTCAGAGTATTTACCCCTATCCAAGCTTGTGCAACCGCCAAGTATCACAAAAAGGGCTTTGTGAATCCAAACTGGGACACAGCGGGAAAGCAATTCACGCTACGTGCAAGGTACGCCGTGAGTACCTCTGACCGCCGCTTCAGTGTCGTTGGGTTAAAGGTATACCGTCTGTAGCTATTGTGGGCCATTGCATGGATGGCCCAGGACCCGGGTCCAGGCAAGGTACATCTTTCTTTCTTCCATGTTGCATTCTGGAGGCGGCGATGGGCGTTAAACAGCTGATCTTTTCGCGGGCCCTTCCCCGTCGTCAAAAGCCCATTTTCGTCATTTCTATCGGGTATTTGTTTTAGTGGTGTTTTCACCCCATGTTTTCCACTCGGGAAGCTCCCCCCCTCTCTCCCACATGCCATTGCCTCTCTTCCAAGGCTAGGTACCTTGCTTGGTTCACCTCGGTCGACCACTGGTTAGGTAGGTTCCTCTTAGAACGCGTCGACTGAGGACATTTGCACACGGGCCGCGCGCCCAGAGGCTGCGGATGCCAATGGGAACGGCAAGAGTAGCCCTTAGCGGCTTGTTGATCTCCCTTTCTATTTCCCTTCTGGGTTCCAGTTTCTTTTCATCTGCGAGCCCCCATCCCCAACTCAACTCTCACCGTACCCCAATCGGTTTCCCCTTCTTGCTCCTTCTCTTTTGAGTGCCTCCCATCCTTGAAGTTCCCGCCTTCCTGCCATCCCGTCCACGGCCATTCCCCAATCCAATTCCATCCCATCCCCCCACCTGCCCAAAACCCAAAACCAACCCAAAAAGACGGGAAGGCAGGGTCGAGTAACAAGGAACAGCCTCGTGCCTTGCCGTCATCGCCGCTATCCATCTTAGCTCATGTTTTCCACTTCCCGTAGCGTCCAGCTGCCAATTTTCCATCCTCCATCACCATCTCGTCACACTGAGATCTCGACGATCCTCTACGCTCAAGCACCTCTGTCTCTGTTCACCACGTCGCCATTGCCGGAAACTCACCAAGGCTGACGGCAACACCCTTCCCGCGACCTTCATCATCTCGAAAGACACCTTACATATCATCACGGGCCATCTATTGTCCATGCCAGCCACCTTCTCCCAAAGCCACACCCTGTCCTTGTCCTCCCAGTGTCGCTGCCAGTCCAGCGCCGGCGCCATCGAGTCTCGTGACCTGATCTGCGCTGAAACTGGCCTGACCTGACGACACGGACGCTTGCGGCGATCGCTAACACGAGCCTCACTGCGCCCTGGTCATCGTCTGCGGTCCTTGGCCTCGCCCTCGTCCCGTCGAGCATCGCCTGGTTTCCCGGGCGGCGCAGCCCGCGTTCGCACATCGCACCACCGCATCACTTCCTCATTATTAGACGTTTAGTCCATGTCACGCCAACCGCCTCTTGACGCATCACGAAGCTTAAGCTACTGCTTCATTCCCGCCTTTGCTGATCTTTCCACCTTGGACTTACGAATTCACACATGGGACAGTAGGCGGCATCCCTCTCATCTCCCGTCCTCATGATTTGGTACTTGTTGTACCCACTCCGAGGGTCAGTCATGTTTGCTCCGAACTCCCACGAGCTCTCCCGTCTTCTCCATCTCCGTCTCCGTTCCCCGCTCCGTTCCGTCCTCAGCTCACATCCTGCGACAGAACAACGGAAGCGCCGGTGCTTGCGCCTACTCATCCTCTCCGTCATGGTCTCTCTCGGTACGGGTCTTATGCCGCCAACCATGTTGTCACCACACTCCTCGTCTCGGTGGTGGTTGCCACCATGCTCATCTACCCTATCCCATACCTCTTCACTAGTGACTACGTCAACGGCGCTTCCAATCTACCTCACCATGCCTGGACCGTTGCCCAGCCCTTGCCCTATGGCGCCAGCATCAATCCCGATGTCATGATGCGGTCTATCTGGGTTCACGGGACTTATATGCAGGCTCTGGACAAGGAACTTCTTGCTTCCGCCTTGGAGTTACAGGATGAACTACTCGGCAAGACTGAAAACTTCAGGCCCGGCCGAGCTCATCAAGTCCCCCGCAACACTCCTCAGCCAGGCGCAGATCTTTCTACAGGTGAACGCGATGCGTTCCACGCCATTAACGGGCTGACCAATCAGTCTTGGTTCTTCCATTCTCCTCTTCAGTATTGGGACTGCACCCAGGAGCGCATCTTGGCGGATCCCGATATTTTGGCAACTGTGAACGACAGGAAAACCCAGTCGACCTCGGTCAATGTCACACTCAGGCATTCCATCGTCTTCAGCGGCAAAAGATTCGAAGAACGTCGCCTCCTCGCCGCAGACGCCCTGGTCATCACCCTCGTTTATCTTCGAGATTCGCCTGTAGGGAAGCAATGGGAGAGAAAGGCTGCCATGCTTCCGGGCAAGGTCTCTGAGAAATGGGATATCTACCCTCCCAGCGGTCGTTCCATGGCAAGCCAGCTCTACGAGTTCCAGTTTCGTCCCATATCTCGCCAGGATTCAGTCATTCTCGCCGTAGCTTACGGCTTGACTACCATTTACTTCTTGATGAGTCTGTCTAAACTTCGGGCCTTCAAGTCCAAGTTTGGCCTTACCGTCACGGTCATGGCTCAGATTGCATTTTCCGTCATGTCAAGCTTTACCGTCTGCGCCATCTTCAGGCTTGACTTGTCACGCATCCCCCGAGCTGCTTACCCGCTGGTTGTGCTTGCCATGAGCCTCGAGAACATCTTCAGGCTGATAAATGCTGTCATACTAACCCCAGCCGAAGACTCGACGAGTAGCCGCATCGGCCACGCCTTTGGTGAGACTGCGTATACAGCTATTGCCAGCTCCATGCAAAATGTCTTCCTTTTGCTGATGATTTCCCGTTGGGTGTCGGCTGGCGTTTCGGCATTCTGCATCTTTGCTGCCGTGGCCATTGTGTTCGACTTCTTCTACCTCTCAACCTTCTTCCTTTCGGTCTTGAGTGTTGATGTGCAGCGGACGGAACTCAGTGAGGCGCTTGCAAAAGCCTCGATGCGACACAACCGTGGCGCATCTGAATTCA